AGATCACTCGCAACGGAAATGATTTGCCAGTCAGACCTTCTAAGAAGGATGGCTTTCCACTTGACTGGTCTCCCAACACAAGCTTTACAGCATCAGCTTCACTGAAATACCATTATCTGAGCTGCCAATGTACCTGAGGCAGAGAAACATTCTCGCTCACTCCAAGTTCACGTAGTATATCTATGACCCCAAGAATGCGCACTCGTCTCTCATTATCGAGTTGGTCAACTGCTTGACCAATTCTCTTTGTCATCGCGATTCGAGTCGATTTCTGTCTTTGAGGAGGCACCGTGCAAAATTTCATCAAAATACAGCCTTTGGACTTCAAAGATGACATCTGTACGTTACCGAACGCCCTTTATATGGTTCATCAGCAGCATCTTCACCTAGTTGCATCGCAACTAGTAATCCCTTCTCAGTACTTGGCATGCTCATTTCTTATCCCTTATTGGCAATGATCGGAAATTCCAGCTAAGAAAAACATCCGCCTTATCTTGCATCAACCTGCTCCAGTTGGTATGTTAGGCAACAGCATTACGTACAGGATGCAGATGATAAGACTGAACTGTGAGGCGCATTTGAAAATAGGAATGTGAGTGGCGCAAATACTGCATTTGAGCATGCTATGAATCTGTAGTCACGAGAGAAAACATATAACCCATAACGCTCTTTTAGAAGCCAGGGCGATATTCAAACGTAAATCGAGGTGCCTTGCTAAAGGATGCAACATGGTAGATTATATTGTCAAGTGGCATACGGGCGTGAAGAGACCGGTACACATGTGTAAAAATTTGGTTTCATTTACATCTCAGGAAAATCGGAAAGACGACACCTTGTGTGAAGGGCTGGCTACTCGGAAACTGTTCTTTGGAGATAAGCCACACAGAATGTCATTTTCAGAGGTAGATCGACGCCGCGTGTATCTTGCTTGCAGACCTATTTTTACAGGCACTGCTGCAAAAATCCAAAAGAATTCGCGAGCTCCTGTTGATGCACCTAAAATCAGTTCAACCATTAGTCCAAGATTTTGCAATCGAGACGGTCGCCGATATAGTAAAAGTATTGCTTAAAAGGTGTATATTTAAATCAGATGTCAAAGCTAACCTCGAGTTTCTAGAGCTGTTCCACTCGTCATCTATAAGAGATACTTAACAAGCTACATCAAAGAATAATACTGCAAGATTAGTTGCTGAGGTGCTAGAAGAAGTGGCTTTGCAAGAGGAAAATAGTAAATGGGATAATGAAGAATAGGAAGCGCTAGAAGATATAATTCAGAATTCCAATAATGTTCAGCTTATGTTTAACAAAGATTTGACATCGAAAGAGCAGCTATTGTATAATATTTCCTTATATCCAATATTTTTTCTATATAGTGCACAACATGCCATCCTTTCCAAGGTACAGTCTATTTCAGAACATTGCTGCTTTAAGTTTATGCGTAAATAGCAACCGTCAATCTTGGAAGATCGTGCGTGGAACTGTGCTGCGGCCATGGAGTAACAAAGTGGACAAGGATGCCTGCTAAGAAGGCAGAGAGGTTTCCCTAGCATACGTCACTGAACGAAATTCTCTTTACCACCCAGAAGCTACGTCACACCGCTGTGCATCGACTTCCTACTACCTGTCTTGGAGTTGAAGCCCTTGTGAAATCCGTGGTCATCCTGGCTGAGACGCTTCAAGATCCGCTGCGAACTGCCAAGCTCGAAGACTTACAACTTGAGGTTGACAGCAAGATAGTAATAGCTAATACCACGAGTTGAATAACAACTACAGAGACCAGCCAGATTGGTCCAAAGCGCCAACTGCCGGAGTCAGTTGCTGTCCAGGAGCTGAGTGTGCGGGAAGAGGATGTAGTTTCTGGGTGGTTAGGGCCTAGGGCTTTGATTCAGAGCTTAAAACATTCTTCTATCAGAGCAAAGGCGACCTGGATATTTCCGAGTGATTTCTAAGTATAGGCAAGATTGCACATGCTAGTTAGAGTATTGAGATGCTTAGGTCCTAAACCTGTTTTTAGGTCTCTATCACCTATACCTGCAGCTCTTCTGCTTCTTTCTATTGTTCTTGATTCTGGTATGTTAATAAAAGGTTGTTTATATTAGTTAGAGTATTAGGATGCTTAGGCTCTAGAATCTATTTATAGATCTCCATCTCCTGCACCTGTAGTGTAAAGTCCGTAATAAGGGGGTAGTTGGTGATTCTGAGAAAGCGTGACTAGTAAGATAGATATTCGATTAGTTAGGAAACTGATCATTGACTATTTCGAAGCAATGATTATGATATTAATATATATACATATGTTCGAATAAGCTTTTCGAATATAGGAATATGTTTCCGTATGGTACAACTTTGGGATGGAGTTCTGTAAGTTTATATCATGGAACTATCTTCCGTCGGATTTGGTATTCGTACGTTTTTGATGAGCATTCGTATGTATGAACGAAGGATTCATATTGCGAAGTTTATTTCGAATGTTCGATATTTCTTGGCGTTTACATGTAGCTCCTCTGCTTCCTTCCATTGTCCTTGATTTAGATATATTAATAAAAGGTAGTTCATACTGGTTAGAGTATGGGGATACTTAGGCCCTAGCACCTATTTCTGGACCATTACTATCTATACCAACATTTTCTCTGCTTCATTATTCCTACCGTTGCTGTACAAGCAGCGCCCCACATTCTAGATGTAGTCATTATACTAATCTTATTGCTCACAAAACTCATGTTCACTCAACAAGGATAGAGCATAGGATAAATGTTCCCTCTAAAGCTATTGATTAGGATAATCATTATAATTATTATAATAGAAAATCTTATCCAATCAGTCAGCTGCTTTAACTATATAGGTTAAAAATTGTTTCTTCTTCCTCATCTAGATTCGAGTTGCTAGATATGCCAAGCGGTGAAGAGAAATAGAGTAATTCCTAGATTAAATAGTAATAAAAGAGTATGAGCTGAGAAGCTTAAGAGCATTAGTTATCTTCAATTTAGATCCTGGCTATAGTAGAAATCTATAGAGAATATTACGTGGATTGATATAAGCTATGAGCAATAGATAGTTAATAGCAAGTTAGTCTAGCTTCTAGATCTAATAGAATAAGATTAGCTATATCTTAGCTATTAGATTCTATATATCCTTGTAGCGTCTATCATCATTAAAATCCTTGCTAAGGAGCTCTATAAGGTCTATCTCTTATTCTTTTAAAAGTATTAAATAATTAAACAATATTATGTCTTTTTTTTTTATACACAGTAGCCTAGCTAATAGCTAATGGAAGAAATGTCAGCTGCTTAAGTAGAGTGATTGTTGTATAAGAATCATAAAGCAGGTCTGTGTGAACTAGAGACTTCTTTAGAAACTCTATATCAGTCTTTTTATTGAGTTTGCGAATATGTATCATATAAGAGGATATTAAATCTACCGCTAAATCTTGATTGCGGGTTGTAAATATTATATAGCTATGATTATTAATAGAAAGAAAGTTCTTCAATAATAGAGCTGTTTTCAAGGTAACCAAATTAGAGCTGATGAGGTGACTAGCTGCAACAACGGCCTCTTTTCTTCATCGCACATAGCTTTGGAGGGATTATTCTTGCCCATGTGGGCGAAATTGTAATATTTTAATATGTATCTACTGACATAATCTTCCAGTGCCTAGTCAGAGCGATCCAGACGATAGATGAAGACCACCTAGCGATTACGTCACTTCATCGGGTCAGGGCCACATACAGCATGATTTTCTTTGGCATCCCGCACAAAGGGTTTGTCGTGGAAGATATTCAGCAGATGTTGGCTGGCGATGGAAAGCATCCATGCGAGAAACTATTGCAGCAGATCTTCAATAAATCCGGGAATACCATATATCGGACCCGTACGAATCCAGATGGCAGTGGTCTTCACGAGTTGATCAAAATATTGGCGGATTAGCGTGAGATTCAGTTCAGCGTTAACTGCTTCCGCCGCCGTGGTACGAAACACCCCAGTGATGAGACACGCCGCCCGCTTTTGGATATTCGCGAATTCTCGTGAGATCTTGGTGAGGTGAGCTTGCGTCATATTCCCAACCTGATACCACGAACCCCTTGGACGCAATTTAGCGCTGTTAGACGTCTGGAAATCCTGCTTCAGCAAGCAAATCTAACGACAGTGATTTCTCTATATTACATGACTCTGCGCGGATGCTATTACTGCAATCAATCTCTATCTAACTGCTCTATGTAGTCTCCCTAATTCGCTAGTCAAGGATAGATTTGCAACTACGCCATATACCCTCTAACTCAGCTATGTATATTATCGCCGTCTATTGATCACCATACGCCCCCCCGTTCTCTGTTCAGCTAGTGTCACACTATTATCTACTGCTTTGGGCTGTTATTCCAGTTTTTACACGCAATCTCACTGCCGTACCGTTTAGGCTCTCATGGCCTTGCTCACCATCAATCAAGCTAACAATTCCACGAACGCCTGCTCATCAGATTCACCACTCACCTTTTCCTCTCCAGTGGACCCTCAAGGCCAATACACTCTTTTTGTTCGTGTCTCTCGCTTCACGCTCGTCAATCAATAAAGAACGACTTTAGCTTATTTAGACCCGAGGTCAACATCTCTCGCGCGCTAGTTCGAACTTGCTTTTCTCTCAAGAACACACTTTCAATTCATCTCTCCTCATCCACAAGTTTCCCCAGTGTCCCCATTAATCCATCACTCTGGCTACTACCAGCCTACTACTACTACCAGCTATTAAATTAGTACTACTTCTTACGATAGTTGTTCAAGTTAGTTAAGTTATGTTACGGCTCCGCCAACCGTTTGCTGAGTCATCGCCTCCCCTAACCGGGGTGATGGGTCCGATATCGGCATGATTGGTTTTTCAGCCTTCTCAACCTTCGCGGGGAAACCTGCCCAGCATTCATTCTCTAGCATATCCATCATTCCTTCCTGACTGCTTCTCGGATTCGTTCAGCTACTGGTTTGGTGCCTCTACCGCGTTGCTACAACCCACAATGGCTTCAGCATTCCCCCCACCACCTGTCGATACCATTGGTGAGCAAACCTCACCATATTAAACGTTCGACGAACATTCGACCGCTAATGGTGTGTCAATTGCAGACTGGAACAATGTCGGATTCAAAGTTCGCGAAGGTGTGAAATCCATCCGTCCTTCTTTGCACTAAAACATCAACAGACCATCGCTAAATTAATATCTAGTCAATGGCCATATCGAATCGCACTTCAGCTACTCTGGTGGCGGCACGTGGTCGGAACCCAAATTCGTCGCATCTCCCCATCTACAAATCCACGGCATGGCACCTGGCCTGAACTACGGCCAACAAGCCTACGAGGGGATGAAAGCCTTTCGCTCCCCCGACAACAAGACCGTTACGATTTTCCGACCGAACCGTAATGCAGTCCGCATGCAACGCTCTGCCGACTTCGTCTCTATTCCACGTGTACCAGAGGGGCATTTCATGAAATGTGTGAATTTGGCTGTTGCTGCGAACGCCGAGTTTGTGCCTCCACACGAGACCGGAGCCGCAATGTACATCCGTCCTCTGATATTTGGATCTGGTGCTCAACTAGGCTTGAACCCACCGGATGAATATACGTTTGTCGTGTTCGTTATGCCGACCGGCGTCTATCATGGCGTACACGCCGTCGATGCTCTGATTCTAGAAGACTTTGACCGCTCTGCACCCGAAGGAACTGGTTCTGCCAAAGTCGGTGGAAACTACGCTCCTGTCCTTCGTCACTCCCAACGCGCATACGCTGAGAAATACGGAATCACATTACACCTTGATAGCAAGACTCGCACTGAGATTGATGAATTCTCAACTTCGGCATTCATCGGTGTGCGAAAAAACCCCGCTGACAAAGATGACGTGACGATCGCTGTGCCTGATAGCAAAAATGTCATTGACTCTGTTACCGCATCATCAGTTTACGAACTCGCCTCCAAAGTGCTTGGATATAAAGTTGAAAGACGTCGAGTACCATATGAAGAACTACAGGAATTCGATGAGGTATTTGCGGCTGGAACAGCGGCTGCATTGGTGCCAATCAGATCGATCACGATGAAATCGCGGAATGACAAGTTCACATTCAACGTGGGTAAAGAGGAAAGTGGCGGGGAGGTCTGTGCGAAGCTGCTAAAGATGTTGAAGGGAATCCAGAATGGGACGGTGGAAGATAAGTTTGGCTGGAATTTTGTGGTGCAGGAGCCCCCGAAGGGATTTGTCGATGGTGTCGGTGCAGAGCAAGACGCGGATGGCGTGAATATTCCATAATCTCCATTCTTCATTGCTTCATGCCGAAAAATGCTTCGAGCGCATAAGAATTACCGCAGTCCTTCAATATCGAGCCGTCGCTCTCAGCAGCGCTGACTTGTGGTATCTTTTCTTTCTTGATCTATTATGTAGGGGATAGACAAAAGTGGTAACTTCAATCGAAATCTTCACTAACTTTTCTCTATTCCATGCATCTGCATTATGCATTCTTGTGGACACTTTATCCCTGACTTTTCGAATCGGTCCTGGTAACCCTCGACTCTCTCTCCTGGACACAAGCATTGAAAAAATCAGGGTGGGTATGGTCGCCAACATAAGGTTGATCCTCTGGTTTCCGTAAGCGCCAGTTCGGCTCGACTGCCTTTGGCGGCTCCTTGAGGTGAACAGAGAGTTCAGCATCTACGTCTGCATCGGACTCGCTGGCTAAGTCAGAATCAGAATCAGGCTCGTTGTCATCAGAAGTCACTGCTGCCTTTTTTTCTGGGGTGCTGACCGGGAATTTCATGAGCAAGTGGAACAGAGGGTGCTGCAATCTGACATGGAGAACCACCACAGGATGCTTTAGAAGGCGAATGTAGTTGCTTTGTCGTAGTGGAGGTTTGAGAACACAAACGGTGAGGCGATTGAACTGGCGGCTGGTCATTCTCTTTTTTGCTTTTCCGCATCTCTCTTTGCCGTCTCGTTTCTTCTGCCCAGAGATTCTTCTTCTCTTTCACTTCTCGAATATTCTTTTAACTCCTGTTCTCACTCACAAATCAAAGCTTCTCTTGCAGCTTCTTTTGGTCATTGTTCTTCTCCGTACCTGAGTTTGGATCAGGGTTCGTGTGATTTTTTATGACCGAGACCGTGGTTCCAGTTTGGATATCTCTACCTGATTAAAACGTAAGATCATCTGACGATTGATATGCATTCGGCCAGGGCTAGGGCTACTGGTGATTCTAGTCTTAGACTTCCAGGTGGTCGATTAGGATCTCGGGATCTAAGGGGCACGGGTAGGCCAGTGACTAGCCTTCTCCGTATGGATGGGGCAGCTGGAGAGAGGTTTGACCGAGCCAGGCTGCGAGAAGGTGGCGTAAAGGGGATACACGGGAGCTGCTGCTTAGATGGCTCTGGCGCGTTGTGGGAAGCGTCAGTCATTGCTGAATCCCCGTCTGCGTCGGAAATCAGAGCGATCATTGCTTTGTCTTTCGTAGTTGCGAATGTGGCCTGATCCAACCTGTGAAGTGAGTCGATGCTGGTCTGAAAATTCATCGACAGTGAGAATGAAGGAAAGGTGATAGAATGTGTGTCCGAGATCTGAAGAGAAGACAGTTGAACGAAAGTGAGAGAAGGAATATTTAAGCGAGGGAGAGAAAGATCAAGGGAGGGAAAAAAGCGAATGAAAAAGGAGGTGGTAGAGATATTCCATTTGTTGAGTCGGCTGAAATAGGCAATTGACAAAGAAAACGTTTTCCACTTATTGCGACTGGGTGTACAATCAGCAGCCAGTTATGAAGGCGGTCTGCAGAGCTGTCGTATCTCAGATCTTATCAGGAATTTGCCGGACAAGCGCTCCGCGTGATGTCATCTGTGCCGCCATCTTGAGTGTGTAGGATCCTTTCTACCAAACCGAGTATGATCGCATATTGCGTCTAAAGACAAAGTTTACATTGTCCTAGGCTAATATACTGACTGCACCAAGCCGTCGTTTTTCGAATGTGCAACCGTCTAAGCAAAATAGCATGAGAATGTTGAATTCGCAAACCACACCGTATAACAAGCCCTTTCAGAAAAAGTCGGTCGTGTCTAGCTTTCTCTTCAAGCTCTGCGATGCGAATGGACAAACTGCTAAAGTGGCCCTGTTCCGGCGAAGCGATAAAGTTCACACCTACCAGTAAGTTCATGTCTTTACTACCCTCACAGCTAGCTACAAGGTATGGGCAAAGTAAAAGAAAACTGACAGACTCGCTGGTGATAGACACCATCTCGCACCAATATCCGGTGCCATCGATCCTCGCACGGATGCGACACCAGTAGAGACAGCATGGAGAGAACTAAAGGAAGAAACATCTCTGACAACATCGACTGTTAAACTATGGCGAAAAGGAAGGGAATTCTCTTTTCAGGATGAATCAGTTGGTAGAGAATGGACGGTCTACCCGTTTGCGTTCCTACTTAAGCCACCAAGTGGCCGCACTGAAGCCGTGCGTTCGGCTGAAGACTGCGATAGTGACGATGGGAACGGCATAACCTTGGACTGGGAACATGACTTCTACAGCTGGCACGACCCGGAAGAGGTGCTGTCACTCCTAGACGAGAAGGGACTTAACGCAACCATGTGTGGCCAGAAATTCGTGCCACGTATTGCCGACTCGCTGAGAAATGTGTACCCTGAATACGAGCTCGGAACTACAGCGGGGAGACTTTTGAGAGAAGGTCTACAGCAACTGCAGAACGACCACGAAAGTGGTGCAAGAGAGCTAGCCACTATTGCCCTGAAAATACTCAAAGATATTCTGTTGGAGATCCGACCGTCAAAGTTGCGGATTGAGCGAAACGAGGATAGGTGGAACGTCTGGTGGAGGCATGTGCGGCTCATATCGTGGCATATTTGGAAAAGCGGTAGAGAGTCAATGGGCGCAGCGATCGGCAGTGCGATACTCACTGTGCTTGCGGACATGGAACAGCTGCATGAGGGAAGGATTCGCGAAGATGATGTTGCCCACGTTGTTGAACGCTCGATTGGAAAGAGGGAAGCAATGACAAGGCGGCTCTGCGGGGCATTCGAGTCTTATCTTCGAGAGAAAGTGCTCGGGAATTTACTGACGGAACAGAGAAGGACCTTGACAATAATGACATTGTCAGCAAGTTCTACAATCAGGGAATCTATCTTACACTTTCTTAAAAGTGATGGCTGTAACAGCGACGTCCCATTCGACAATCTAGATTTGCGGGTCTTGGAGTCAAGGCCACTATATGAAGGTGTGTCTCTCGCATCGACGATATTATCGTCAGTTCAATCGTTTGATGACGATGTTCCACGACCAAAAGTCACCGTATCTTTATACACAGACAGCTCAGCAGCGTTGGCAGCCAGAGACATCGACGTGCTACTAATAGGCGCCGATCGTATCGCAGGGTACGACGGTGCAGTGAGCAACAAAACAGGCAGCCTACCTGCAATCCTAGCAGCGAAACACATCTCGCCTCGGGCCCGAATACTTGTCGTCAGCGAATTAGATAAAGTAGCCCAAGCCGAGTCGATCGAGAACCATTCAGAAGAGGAGAATGATGCAGAGGAAGTGTTGCGAGCTTGGAGACTGGCTGGGGKGAAGGGAGCTGACGTAATTGACCGTCGATTGGGCGGAGAACATAATAAATACGGCTTGGCAGTCAAGAACGTCTACTTTGAGTGGGTTCCGTCGTCGTTGATTGATGCCTACATTACGGACGAGGGAGCCATGGGGGTCGCTGGCATCCGTGAGAGATCTACCTGGGTCGACCAGCAAGTCTGTAGGTTTTTTGATCATTTGTGACTGCAAGACTGGGTACAGAGATAGGCGTAGTGATCTGTAAAGTGCGAGCAAGAAGTGGTGTGATGAGGTCAATGTAGTCGCCGCCAAAGAGAATTCATTTGCCTATTATGGCCTGTCTTAACTAACCAGGTGGCGAGTCACAAGAGCAAGACAGACGAGGCACGTTACCTTGATTTGATTCGGCACTACAAGCCAGGGGTTGATGCAGCCGAGTGATCAGTGACCAATCATGGACCGCGCGAGTACACGGTCGCAATTCGCTTCCCCGAGGGTTGGCTTGAGAAACGCAAGTTGTCTCGAAATCGTGCAGTTTCCCTCGCAAACTGTACAAGGGTCATTATTGACTGCGAATGAACACACGAGTAGTCACTCGTGATGGCGTGGCTGGAAGTACTTTGATCATTTGCGCGAAAGAGTGTACACGTCCGTACGATACGTTCTGTATGTATTGACTGAGTGGGGGTCGAATCCGGGGTTGCCTCCACCCCCGGACTTTTCAGAGTTTAGTCTGGGTAGACGACTCCACTAACTCCACCCTTATCGCCATGCATGGTACTTTATTTACCATAGGCCGCTCCATATATTCGCAGGTACATATTTAGCCTTCGGTAACCCTAGCCGGCCTGGTCTGACGGAAACGACTTTGCTGGCAAGTACACTCTACGATACAACCCCGCTCCTTCGCTCCCACTGATATTCCATACCCAAGCCTATGATTCGTTGTTTGTCAAAAAGAGGGCGTTCAGGCCTCTCGTTTCGCAGGTGTAACGGAATTCGATTGGTTCTCGGCCCTGGCTGACACCTTTTCTTCCAGATATCATCTTACTAGTCGTCGACGACGGGGTCATCGTCGTCACCCAGGCAGTGTACTTATGCGTGGTGTGACCCGATGGTATATATGCTTTGTACCCCCTTTCTCGATAACTCTCTCTTGTTTCCCACACCATTCATCCAGTACAGTGTCTACTTCATCTACGCTCAACCATCGCCTGCATTTTGTTCCCACTAAGCAAGGCTTTTAGTCAAAAATACCTCGTGCGGATACTCGACGCCATTCTTACTCAGTTTGCTTTGTGAAAGTTGCACAAGCAGTAGGAAGCGACAGAGCGATTGCCTCGCTTCTCCTTTAGAACTTTCAACTTTTATCTCCAATCTCCACTCATCCAGGACCGAGTCATCATGTCTTCCGCTATCGTCTCTCAAGCAGGTCAGATCCTGCGTGAAATGTTCAAGATTCCCAGTCGTGCCCGCGAACAAGTGGGAACGACTTGGCGGAGTCTTAGGCAGACCGGTTCGTTCCTCGTCATTCCTCTGCTCCACCAACGAACTCAAACTAATAGTGACTTGTTTTGAATAGAAAAACCCAAGAAGGAACTCCTCCAGACCTCGCTCATGATTCATCGTCCCATCTGGATAACTGGTGTTGCTGGCACTTATACAACGGCTTACGCATGTTACCTCACGATGAAATACATGCGAAAACTGAAGCGCTAGATTTGCTAGCATTCTGTTCATTATACATCTCTATCCACTACTGTCTGGAGAGAGAACAAATTGTCGCTTTGTTGATTTACACTTATGTTATCGATGCTTGTTCCCTTCTTGTTCGCACGGTCGTACATGACATGTCCACTCCACTGTCCACTATGAACCATCGATTTGATTGTATCATGCCATGGCCGACGTTTTTACGTCCCTCGTCTTTCTTAATAAAACGCAGATAGAACCCACACTCTATGCTTGTGTGTTGTTCCTTGTAGTCCTTTACATCATGTTGGGTTTATTTGATACCTAGGTATTACTCTTAGATACAGAGGAATGATAAGACTTGTTAGATCGCGATACACTACCATTGTAAGTTTGAGAAACATATGGTGAGACTACGCTCACTGTTTTCAGCCAGCTTGTGGGCCGATGAGCCCGGTTATGCGGTGCAATGCCTATCACACAAAATAACGGTAATGCGAGTCTTTTCCGGCACACACAATTCACAACAGTAGGGTCGATTCACATCAACCACTAATCCATCCGAGGTTCTTCCTTTGAACGACTGATGTGTCAAGGACCATAACGTTTCCGAACATGCTAGTGCTGTCTGACATGAGACTGATGGCAACGATCTGACCACCCAACGTGCAGTTTTTCCTTTTCTCGTGCAGCAATGGGATGCGCGCCACAAAAGAAACAGGCCAAAACAAATCTGTCGTACGTCTCGCTATCCCAAAACTCTGACGCCTCTCCGTCTTCCTCACTTATCAACCCCACATGATAATTGCACATGTTCGTGCGCCAAATCACACATCGAGTTCTTCATTTCTCACATATGTCATCCGACTATACGTTCGCAGTCTCCGCGCAATCGAGTTGCGCGTCCCCGCCGACTCGCTCATCCTCCGAAACACTGTTCGTATTAATGCTAGTCATTGCTATCGGTTGTTCTGGCTCGTAGATCATGCCGACCTCTTGCTCAATCGTACGTAATTTCCCCACCGGCTTAACCTCGCTTGATTCGTCGTTATCAGCTGTTGTTGTTGCAGCTCGTTCTTCCTCTGATTCGTATGAAGAAATTAGATGAGCGGTCTCTATCGTGCACAAACTGCGCAACTGCGATCATCGCTTTGTTGCTCGATCACACTGGTAATGCGTTTGTTCGATCCAAATCTTTGAAACGCGACTATATGAATAGCATGAAAACTATCTGTTTGCATCTGTTTCCTTGGGTGACCCGTAGGGTTGGTCCGATGTGTGAGCGGTGATTGTACTTATATGTACTTGCTAAATATGGTACACTCATTATTTAATTCATATTTTTAGCAAGAGTTATCGTTATTCATAGATTATCTTGATTTGAACTGCCTCACAAGTAGATAAAAGCGAGCCTACCCGCTACACGAACTTCGAACCTTTTCACCTTTCGTTCAGTCAGATGGAACTAAATGTACAGACTCCTAATTTACACTTTCCGTATCTTCCCACCTAATCACGATTGGACGAATTTCCCAAGCGAGTACTCTCTGGAATCATCGGCATGCCTATCAACGCCCCCAATGAAGGCTAAGTTTTTCTCGATTCTAGGCTTTCATAGCTAGGCTTTCATAGCCTCAGGGGAACATTGAGGACATACGTCTCCGGTTCAGGATTCCCTAGATTTGCTAGATCAAAATTGGCCTCCCGGCCCTGCGCTTTCAAGTCTAGAAACCCAGGTGCAAAGGCCTCCAACTGTCGCGCCCAATCCCAGACAAGCATCTCCCTAAAACATACAACAACTGATGATAGGCATGAAACAAGCTCAATGTGAAAGGTGGCCAGGCTAGCTACCCGGGTGCCTACATATAGCGAATATCGAACATGGGGAGAGAAAAAAGAAGATATCAAAAAGCTCGTGATGCATTCGGGCACTACCAAAGTAGTGCGAGAAAAGTGTTCGTTGAGTTCAAGCAACCTCTACAAACTGGACACAAGCATCCTCATCCCTCTTGACATGATTGTGAGCCTCTCGCTTCCCAGTCACTTCCAAGTCGTGATCCGCTTTAATGGCCTGCTGCATTTGTTGAATTTCATCAACGTGGTCGTTCTCTCCAAAAAGCTGTTCAGAATCATCAGCGCATATCAATCACATTTACTGAAAATTGTGAACCTACCGCATCAATGCGTTCAATAGACAGTCCTTTTGGTTCCTTAACAAAGAAATATACAAGAATAGTACCGAATGCACAAGTCCCCAAAAGAATAAGATACGACTTAGCACCGATCGCTGCAGTGGCATTTGGCCATTGTTGCCCAAGAGCAACAGCGACTCCAATGGGGATGCTATTAGCAATTCCAACTCCGAGCTCACGGCACTGAGTTGGCATAATTTCATTGACATAGACGACAGCTGGTCCTGTGCCTAAGAGCCAGTAAATCATATTGTTCAGAATAATAAAGGTAGCTATTAGCTGTTAGTCATCGCTTTTCTTCATTTCCAACATCTGCATGAACAACATACCTATGAAGCCATTCGCGACGGTGTTGGTGCTGTTACTACCTGCAGTACCTAAAGCCAAACCGCTGATACACACGAGTCCAAGAGTTTGGATCATAGATGCAGACAGAATGCAAGTACGTCTACCAAGCCTCTCAACAAAATAAGAAGAACCTAAGGCAGCGCCGGCATATAGAATCTGCGTACAAGCGTTGAGTAGCAACGCGTGATGTTGAGTTGAAAGTCCCAGCTGCTCGTAAATGACTGCGGCATATATCTATTTGTTATTCCGTCAGCGTTGACCAACGTTTTTGTATACAGAAAATAGAGCATAAACTTACAGTGAGAACGCCAACTCCACACAGCTGTTGCTGAAGCAGTGGCACCATTGCGTAACCGATTCGTCGAGCAAGTCGCTTTTCCTTAAAAATATTGAGAATGCTTGTAGACTCGTTCTCACTAGCCCAAATCTGGTAATCTCGGATTTCTTTCGCTTCGTTCAAGACCTCTGGATGGTCCATGGGCCGACTCCGAATGTAGGACAAACTATTCAGGAGCGGTACGTCGTCATTTAAGTACTTCCCAGCCAGCCATCTAGGAGATTCTGGCAGTCGGAAGACGAGTATAAAAAAAACCAAAGCCGGCGCAAATTGTAAAGACTGAGCTACCTTCCAGCTGTACGATTTGTTCTGTGGTAGATAGGAAATGGCTGCGTTATTTGTGTCAGCATGTTATTCATGGAACAGATGAATGTGGATTATGTTGGACTCACCATACGCAATCCAGTATCCTGCAATCGCTATAAATGTGCTAGCAAATTGTTGCACCAGGATTAAGCTTCTTCCTCGGACACTTTTTGGGGCGACCTCGGTCACATAGTACCCTAGCACAAGACCATTCAAGTCACCGCCGTAGCCCATAGTAATTCGCCCTACAAGAACAGCGGCTGCGAAATTATTCAGATGCAAATTTGATTGGACTTGATTACTTCACTTACTCCAATTGCCTGTGAAAGTCTGTAAAATAACACCAAAGACAACGAAGAACGTCGCAAGTTGAAAAGACCATTTGCGTCCACAATATCTGGGAACGACAGGACCAAAACCGACGGCGCTAACCAACGCACCTACCGAAGGGAAAAGGCTGAACAAACCGAGTTTCTGAGAGTTGATCTTGTATTCCTGGATGTTTCTATCTCAGCCATGACCTGGCAGAACAAAAGAATGCCAAAGAGAGGGAGACAAATGAGCACCTACATCGTTCCAGGCTGTGTTAGTTTGGAGAACACTGATGACCGACCCATCCAACGCGTAGAATAACCATGCCATACATAGAATAGGGAAAAACTCCAACCCTCGCCTCGTCTGGGGGTCCATGTTGCGAATTCTGGCGAACATATTGTGGAAATGGATGGTACGATACCGTTCGTACGTCAATGAGTTCCTTCGACAAAGACTTGATACGAAACGAGTTTCAATGTCTAGATATTTCATATGAAAAGAATTTCAGTCGTAACTTTGAGTACTTATGGGCGATACATGGGATGGCCATACGGTGAAAAGTGAGGTTTGACGCGTTGAGCCCATAAAGCTCAAGCCCTCTTAAATAACATTTATCTCATTGGGACTGCATGGGTATGATTATTGGACGAGATGACAGCAAAATCTCGATCCGGGGTATGGAAGAGAAATACTAGAATTTGCCTAGTGGAGACACAAGAGTGAGTTCCTTTTCAAAGCCGCCAGCGAAAGCCGCCAGCGAAAGCCGCTCCCAAAACCGACAAACAGTATCCACATTGGTGGCGACTCTGATAATGAAGCTCACCTTCGAATTACTGATGATATGACCGCTCTCACCCTAGACGTCGGATTTCTAGAAACTATGGTTGGGCCCGGTAACTTCGTTAGTATTTTTTTATTATCCTCAAGTCACGGTAGGGTCATATAATTAGTGTATTATGTTTTCGACCAATTTTCTGCTGCTATTCTACTTATCATAGATTTTGCTTTTTAGAGCAGGCTACTAGTAGGTTACGGGTGGGTTTCAAGCATTAAGATATGCAAAGACTTTGGAGATATTTGCTGTAAATATAATAACTGACAACAGGAACTATTTTACACAATCGAAACTCAAGAGACTATACAATTGATTTTGTACATCGAGACTCTCCTGCGAAGACCCTAACCACATAATACCCGAGTCCAAAAAGCTTGCATCAGGTGACTCAGACTCTGACGAATGGAGGTCTCTCTCGTTGATAGGGATATCGTAGTTGTTTAAAAATTCGAACATCCACGAGTCCATTTGAAAGCTGCACAACTGTTCCCCACTGTAACAGGATCGGTGGAATGCGTGGAGTCGTGAGAGGGAGGCCTTCAATGTTGGCCAATACTTTTGAAATTGCTGTAGCATAACAAAATTCTGCTCCAGAAGCCGTCGTATTTTGGGGTTTGGTTGGGAGTCATCAGCAGGAAATAATAGCGAATGAAGATGCACGGATGAAGCGACGACGAGAAGGTGTCCATTAACAGGGGACCAGAGACATTCTGATTTGTGCATTGTGTTCGTCGCCCACATGAGTGCACTGAGGGCTTCAGCATGTGATTTGCAACGAGCTGCATAAGCTAGAGTCACCTTATCGGCGTTTGCCATTCCTGCAGGGTGAAGAAATTGATAGTATAAAAGTTGACATTGGTGGTGGTATATCAGATGTAGGACGGCCAATTCTCGGCCACGATTTCGTGCTGCAAATGCTTGCAAATTTTCTGGCGTGTTGTGCAAATGCTTTGGAAGTGTCCTCAGCCATTCGTCGAGCTGATAAGTGAGATGGATGACTTTGTGATCCCGAAGAAAATCAAATGACGGGTCGTGGACGAGCATATCATTAAGTTGCATTATTTCCGCATAAGTCTCGCTGAGTCGGGTAACATTGGTCATAATGCCAGAATTTCGATCAGTATCCATCAAAATTCCAACTACCTGACGTTCTTCGGTGGGGCTCATATTTTCAAACTGTTCTTCTTCCAGTGGAAGGGGTATAGTTGGCTTTGCGATCAGTTGACGAGGTAATCGCTCGCAAGCAGAGTGCCAGACGTCCATCATTAGGGCATGCCAGAAAACTATAGGCAGTGTTCAGTATTGTTTTCTGAACCGTGTTGGTTGTACTTTCCAGGACTCACGCCTAATCTCAATCTCGTGCTCAACCGTGCCAGCCGGTGATCTGTGTGGAAGATCTAAGAGCTGGACCATGCGTACTGCTTGAGCACTTAATAAAGCTTCTTCATCTCTTTCACCCTCTACAAAGCAGGTGAACGCTAGCAGGATGGCTGCTTGTAAACTATGCACCGAGATGGGAATCTGTCGGTCATTAAAACTCTTCAATGCGCGATGTAGCAGCGGCCGAGCTCTTGCAGTTGGCTCTATGCCATTGAAGTATGGATTTGTGGAGAATCTTGTGGCCAATATCAGCTTCGGCCCATAAATGCAGCGACAAGATGCACACGTACCGTGCCACCACAGCCAACGCACCTAGCAGAAGATAGGTAGGGAGTGAGCCAGAACGTCTTTGCTCTAGGAAAGTGCGCCGATGGAATAGAATGAGTTGTTTGTTATGGATCATGTCAAAATACAATTCAATGAGCTCGTCGCATACAGAATGTTGCAATATATCACATTTGTTGGCTGTTTGCCTGTCCGTTGACACCTCTTGTTCCGCACTCTGCAGAGCAAGCTGGCGGCGAGAGCTGGCCGACTTGCGCCGGGCCTTGAGATCACACTGGAGTGTCTTGGCCATGCACAACGCGCAAATATTTCCAGAAGCAAGAGCTACGCATTTCTTTTTGCGAGAGCGACAAGTTGAGCAAGATGATGAGAGGCGCATTGTCTCGATTCTGCCTTGAATGGAGCCGCCGTAGCAGTCGCTTATTACCGACAAAGCCGCTATATTATGCAAGAAGCACTCGTACTCTCAGGCTGTTCAAGAGAAGCCTGGGTTGCGAGATGCGGAGCCCCGCAGTCTAAGCAGATACCGGTATTAGAAATGCGGAGGTGGAGGGTAGGCAAACATGCCTAGTCGGTATGCGTAAGATTATGTATCTCGGAATTAAAATGATCGAACGTAGATTTTGCAAGTTGTAACTGGAAAAGGGTTGGGAACGAGATAATTGGGTTGGCGGGGTCGAACATCATCTCATTGGTTCCAATTCCGCCAATTCCGCCAAACAACGAAATTTAGTGGCGATGATACGAGTCGAGTGTGGTCAGGCCTCTAGGCTTCACAAGTTGTGCTCGCAGGAAATTAAAGTGGATGTATACCTCTGTAACAGGATGTTTCTTAGCCCTCGGGGCTCACCACGAAATAAAAATGTTGTACCTGCTATAAGAGTTTTCGCATATGCTGAAATCATGCTACGCCAAAGGGCATTCTAGTTGATCAAGTTGGACTTTTTGTTGCCATGAGAAATTCATCGCTATCGCTCGATTCGAGCGCCTTTCATGTCGACTTCGACAGCGAACGTGCCTCCATTCAGGTACTCCAGAATCCTTCCGACGAATACGGCACCAACTTTGTGCTTGGAGCAGAGCAGGCACCTGAACTAGACATTGAAGATTCACGTTTTTGGGGGCACTTGATATTCCATGTCTCCGGAAACACTCTCCACCCAAAGGGGTGCACTATGACCTCAGGGCTATCCAGGGATATACGCACCATCTCAGGCACAGAGGACGACCGCATCGTGGTAACATACCAGGGCAACTCAGGACATGAGGGTGGATTTAAAGGTTTCTCTGTGACGGCGATCTACACGTTGACCGGTCCATCCAGGGATATTCTGGACTGGTCAATTGAAATAACCAATCAGACATCCGAGCCCGTCGAGTTCGAAGATATTGGAATACCTTTGATGTCAAACTCTTACTGGGGTAATGACCAAACTTTCAATTACGAAAAGGTCGTTCACCGGCATTCTTTCGTCGCAAAGAACGGGTCATACATCTACTGGCAGCGTCCGAATGGCGACGGGCCAATGTTAGTCATGATGCCTCATCGCAATACGTCATTAGAGTTCAAACACAGGTATAGAGAAGCGGAAACCATTTTTGGAGAACAACTGCCAAAATGGGAGGGACTCGCGGAGTTCTATATCCATTCCAAGCATATCGCGACAGCAAGAGCAGAGAAAGCGTGCCAATATTTGCCAGCGACGTCTCTCACCTTGGCCCCAGGGGAGTCTCATACATACGGTTTCTGCTTTAGGTGGGCTGCCGACTACATAGGCTTACGTAACGCCATCTACGCGTCTGGTGGCCTTGACGTCGTTTCAATGCCAGGTTTGGTCATTCCAGCTAACTCTAAAGTCACTCTTGCTCTACGCTGTGAGGATACCATTGAGACTGTGACTGGAGAAGCCGGAAAGAAAGCCCAAATCACTGCATCTGGGACCTCAGGTGAATATCACCTGTATAAACTTGGTTTCACCACACTCGGTTGCAACTACGTAACTGTCACCTTTGGTAACCTGCGATCAGCCGTCTTGCAATTCTACAGTATTGAGCCAATCGAGGTCCTTATCAAAAAGCACTCTGCATTCCTCGCACAACACCAATTGGCCAAGACCACCACCCGAGGCTACAATGGCGCTTTCTTGCAATGGGACATGACCACACGTAAACTTATTACCTGGGATGACTATCCAGGTGGTGGTTGGAAAGAATGGATGGCCGGTGGCTCTGACGACTTGGGTTTAGCTCCAGCGGCTTTTTTATCAGAAAAGTGTTTCTACTTCCCAGTCCAGTCGGAAATTTCTGCCATCGACTACCATATTAAGAACTTTCTATTTGGCTACCTCATTGGGGCCAGGGGTTCTGATGACAAGCTTGCATTTCAAGTCTATCGGTGGTATGATGGCCAGGATGGGACACCAAAAGACACTGGTATTTGGAGAGCTTACAACTACACACATATCGCCAATACCTTCTTCAACATGTATAAGATCGGTAAGGCGTATCCATGGATAGAAACACGGTACAAACCTTTGGAATATCTTACATTCGCTTATGAGATACTCCAATCCATGTATTGCAAAATATCACTACCCAATCCCATTGGGGATGCAGCGAATGAGTTGGGTCTGATGGGCGAGTCAACAGTTCCAGAAATTATTGAGGCACTGAAGGTGGAGGGGATGAATTATCAACAGCAAAAGTTGAGGGCATTCATAGACAGAAAATTACATCACTACAAACGAGTCAAGTATCCATTCGCGTCAGAGATGACCATTGATACAACTGGGTTCGAGTCAGTATATGCACTTGGAAAAGTCGGTTTCGATGTGCAACTCATCGAAAAATGCCAAAAGGCGTCTTTGGCCTGTCGTGGACTGCAGCCACTCTGGTACTTTTATGGTTCCGACAACCGAATGATGGGCGAGTCGTATTGGAACTTAGGGTATGAGACTCAGTTGGGTTCCTGGCAGCAACAAGACTATCTTGTCAATTACTCTAGCTCGAATAGAGGTGATTTTGCCGAGGCAATGCGCTCAACATATGGTGCATTTCTTGCTGGTTGGGCGAACATTAACTCCGGGCAGATTGATGCCCATCCTTCAAATATCGGCGCGGCGTCGTGGCTATGGCAGAGTGAAGGTGGTGAGCCTTCTTGGTCCTTTATTCCTCTTGTCGGCAATTGGTGGGCATGGTCTGGAGAAGCTGACCTTGGCTTTTGGGGGGGTCTGCGCACTGCATCAGTCAACGTTGTCCAGGATCCCATCGTGGGGTTGTATGCCTACGGAGGCAAGGTCGAGCTCATAAATGATAAATATCTGATTGAACCGATGGATGGTGTGCAATGTCGCCTTACCATGTTCAATCTCAACAACATGACGATCCATGTTCCCCGGACTCGGTTCACGCATGTGACAATGGACAGAGATGGGTCGAATTTTGATCTTGACTTGCAAAATATCGGCACCAGTACTTGCAGCCCAAGTGTCACTCTCATCAACTTCCCTGCTGCTTCATATGAAGTATCGATAACTGATATAACTAAGGGAAAACTTATTACAACATCTACTGGGTCCTCTACCACTTTTGAATTGTGGGAGCTGTCTACTGCTTTTACTAAGGTTTCTTTTAGGAGGCGTTAGCCGAGAGCATCGGAATGAGTAGGCTGGCTTCTTAGAACATGATAACCAAGTCTAAGTGTTTGTGAAAGAAAGCACAGAAATTTACTATCCATTATTACCTTGATTGCTACGTAAAGTTTGGAAATCGAATAATCAGGAAATATAGTGAGAGCGAGCGGTTGGGTATCGTTATATTATATGAAGTAATAGATATCTTAAAAGCTTTAAGGTTAGGGCTACCTTCAATTAATTTAGATATCACTACGTAAGTACAAGTACCAAATATGCAGAAACAAGATAGACAGATCATCAAGCTCTAGCCTAGGCAGCTGCTACTTCAAATTATTCGGCTAGGTCACTTAGGCAAGCTATCTGTGCTTTTAAACAAAAGTAGTGTTTCTTTCATATCCGAACATTCCCGGCCCCCTAAGGTGACTTTCCAGAATCATCAAAGCATGATGATCTTGCCCGCTCATTGTGCCAACCAGAGAGTTTTCCGCCAGTTTAGCATCGCTTCTTCGTCCACATGCCTCCTCTCGCTCTAGCTTACCCCATCAAGTCGGACTTGCCTTTCCAATGCCGCTGTTTATCCAGGATTTCTTCAAGTCCGACAACTCGCGGTCATTTCCCCAGACTTCTTCCCCGCAGAACTGATGTTCCTCAAGTCCACCGGAGAATTGCCTCCTAGGACGATTTTCATCCGGTCGCTTAATGCTTTGGTCTTTTTTGATAACTTTATTGCTCGTATACCGCATGTTAAATAGGAATGGATCTCTTCCACCTTGAAATTTCATTCGAAAGAAACAAGTCACACTCCCTGTATTGTCTTGATTGTACTATCCCTTAAAAATGCATTTAAAGTCACTCCTCGGAGTGCTGGTATGTCCAGCAAGCCATGTTTTAGCAGACGATTACACGGCAGTTGTAAATTTGGCGTCGACTCGCAGCGCTACAACGCATAATACGTCTGCATTCATCTACGGCATGCCCCTGAACTATGACCCGAACCAGATCCCGGATGCGTAGTAGGTTTGAAGTTGTCACACTCTCTTGGATGATTTCTAATTATCTATCAGCTACTCTAATATCGCAATCAAATTTGGACGCGCTGGTGGTGCCCAATTGACCGATCCTTGCCGCGGATGGACATTCGGTTTCAACGAGTACCAATGCCGGTTCAATGCGACGATGCTCAACTATAAGCAAACACGCAAGTTCGGAGCCCAGTTCATCATTCTCCCTCACGATATATGGGGTATCGATTTCGTGAACTCTACCTATAACTGGCCCGGCGATGATGCAGATTGGACAAGCTATGACGACTTCTTGAACCAACTTATTTCTGATTTAAAAGCCAATAACGCTCTTGACGGACTGATCTGGGATATCTGGAATGAGCCTGATATTGGTGGATTTTGGGGAAGGCCAGCGCAGCAATGGGTTGATTTGTATATCAGAACTCATAAGCGCCTTAGGTATGATTGACCTCCCTAATCCTGACGAAATGATTTGATTCTCTTGTGTGCGCTCACACTATCACCTTTCTTCATATATCTTAGATCCGATTCAGCTCTGGCCGATGTCATCATCAGTGGCCCTACTCTGGCTGAATCCCCCGATGTTGCGAGCTACTGGTGGAGTACATGGGCTCCTCAAGTTGCAGGCAATGAGACGTGGCCCGACCAATACGCTTGGCACTATGAAGCCGGTGTAGGGTGAGTTCTATTTGATCTTAGGAGTTATCGCTCTGGAGAAGGTGCTTTTGACTTACTTTCTTGCTCTGATTAGTTCGAGTGATCCCGATATTAGTAACGCTCTATTCGAAACCTTGCTCGCGACCTACGGTCTGCCTTTCCGCCCAGTCAATATCAACGAATATGCCACTGCGGATGAGCAGACCCCGTCAGGATACGCTTTTTGGATCAGCCGTCTAGAACGCTACAGCTATGCCGGATGCCTGGGTCTTTGGCACGCACCCCTATATGACAACTTTGCCAACTTGCTTACTAAGTACGGTAACGCAACCGATCCCACCAATATCAACTACACCACGGCAGCTGGCTACCCTCTCTACGAGTACTACGTGAACTCGATGACGGGTCTACGGGCAAACACAATAAGCTCTGGGGATGCACTTTTTGACAGCTTTGCAACTATTGGTACTGATGGAACGGTGCGGGTTCTGGCTGGCTCACGTGCCGTCACTGGGAATTATACGCTGCAGATCCAAGGCTTGGAGACTGTTGGGTATTCTGCGTCGGGGACACTAAATGCTGAGTACTATGCTTACTACGGCTCSGATGACATATTTGACACGTATGGGGCGGCTCCGTACTTGGGTACTCAGAGCGTTCCTATTAGCGATGGCGTGGCGGACCTCAATGTCTACATTCCTGATCGACATACGGGATGGAGAATTGAGTTTCCTGTCGTTTAGTGATCGTTTATATTATTGAGAGTAGATGAAGTTTAATTCTATCCGTCCACACTGAGCTGTGAAAGTAAAGAAATGTAAGCACAACCTTTGGTGTATGCCAACTCGATCTACTGTTCTACCATGGAGTGAGTCTACACTCATCGCCGTACGCGCATTCGCGCCTTTATCAATCGATTATTAATTATCCTTATGCCTAATTCGATTGCCTACAGTCTTCCCCCGTCTTGGTCTTACCGTACTCTACCTTTAAAACCTATTACTAAACAACTCTTTCCGCGTGCCAATTTGCAACTATTACCCTTCAGCAAAGATAAAATACACAGAACGAACCAATTATCGCCTTAAAGCTCTCACACATCCGGTTTCGCAAGCGGATATTAGAGACCTGTTACGGCAGTCAAATAACATTAACTTTGATTTTTCCCTTCAATAACCCAAGAGCCCAGGTTAGTAGTGTTATGCTGACATCAACAAAATCGAAGACTAGAGCACCACCGAAAATGATAGCACAGTAAGTCCATGCAATACCTTCCGGAAAAGAAACCTTAGAAACAACTATGGCCCAAGGTAACATCCAGAGGAAATTCGAACCGAGGGCCTGGTACAAATACCAACGTGGGGACGTCGCAAGGAGAATAGCGGCCAGTTGGTAGTTTAGAGCGTAGAAAATGTACGTCCAGTCTATGGCCTGGCGGGAAAAGTTAGTAGAGTTCGTGATATGACGGTACTGGAGTGGTGACTACCTTCCACATCATCTGCGTGATTTGAGCAACTATTTCAGAACCAGACAAAAAATAGGCAAAAGGCTGTATGCCATGAGTAGAGAGTGCAATGCAAATGATCACTTCAACAACCAGTGCAATGCAGCAAGATGTGAGGGCAGGGCGAATCATTTCTTGCGAATCACATGCATTAGCTAAGGTAATTAATAATAGGTCACTGTCCATACCAAAGATTTCAGCTCTAGATGCTTTAGGCTGACGGATCTCAACACCTACACGCGCTCGCCAGCTCCCCCAGTTGTGCCCAACAAACGTTAGTGTTGATGCCTCAAGAGTCTGGACTGGAACCATAATGAGACCCCATCGAATTGTGTTAAAAATACCCCATGCTGTGGCGTAGTTCTCGCCAAGCAAAATGATTCGGTTGACGAGCCAGAGATAGATGGCATTTCGAATAGCAGACTCCGTGAAAGTGTAAACACTGGGTCGTGCAAGAGTTTTCAGGGCCGCAGCAGTCACTTTCACGGATTCCTCCATCTGGCGTCGCAACCTAAAGGTGATGTGCATGAGATATATAAGGCCACAAAGTACGGAGCCTAGATCATAAGTAAGCCTAATCAAGGCCTGCATATTGACGGTTGGCGTGAAGAAGCCAACATGAAACCTTGATATGATCAAAAGATCGAGCATTATATTGATGACGAATTTTGTCGAGCTGATCAGCAGCGGTACATCGGGTAGATCTAATGCTCTTGTGTAATATGCTACAATAGTCTCTATACTAGATGACAGGGCTTCAACGGAAGAAATCCGCATATAGGTTAATGAACTCTGCCGAACTTGTTCTGGAATAAATGCAGCTGTAAGTTTGTCTGAAGTAGCGAGGAAGATTATCGTTATGAGAGACCCTAGCACTATTTAGACAGATATCATTGTATATGATAAGCTCAATTGGGAGGATATGATACGTGAAGATTTGTCTCCGATGGTTAACCAAGCGGATCTTGGGAGACCATCATTCAACACTTGTACAATAACACCGATATAAGTATATACATCGGTTGTAACGACTTGGCTTGAATCGATATCAGCAATCCACAGTTTGCTTAGTGTACTGTACAGAGCTGGGAGGAGAAATGCGCCGAAGTTAAAGATAAGCGATCTAAAATATCTACTTCTTGATTAATATAGTCATGCTTTACTGTAAATATCTAGGTTATGTTTGGCGACTCCACAGACGATGCTGTTTGTGTTGTTCATCCATATGAGCATCACGACCACGTTCTTGTTCGACATCAGCCGCCCGTAGGAGCACACTTGCTTTTAATGAAGCCATCGAGAAGATGCTCACAAGATGAGTCTCGCTCTGAAGCAAGGCAATCAACAAGGCATGTGGGATACAGAGTATTTCACAAGTGGGGTATAGATAGTGTAATGGTGGGATAGATTGAGCACGAGACTCTGGATTTGGTTTAGCTGCATCTGTCAAAACATGACATGTCTCATAAATTGATTGATTGATTGGTTGATTCATGGTCGTGCACGACCAGTCTCGTCGGATTGATCGCAAGCACAACTTCAGACCTGGTGCTAGTGGATTAGCGTATTCCCATCACCTTGTGACTCCCACCTCCGTACAGAACAGCATTGTTCATCACATGACCTGTCCTACAAGTTTACTACAGTTGATTGTAAAACCAGTGCGCGCTTCCACACACATCGATTGTTTCTGAACCTCTGTAGCCAGGATTGCGCTAGTCCATATTTGTGAATTTTTCTGAGTCTCTATCTTAGGTTTAGGTATTGAGATAGTATGGAAAGTTTTATATCTTAGAATAGAGGAGGTTGTATTTTTGTAATACAGATTTTATCCTATACGACCACGTTTCCACTAGCGGCAGATCTTCTTAAAGATTTATGCAATATTAATTAATCTTTTTAATAGAAAAATACAGTACGAGATCTAAATAGTGCTAAGGCTAGTTTTATCAACTTGAGAGTTTACACAAGATATGATCATAAGTAGTGAACTTACTATCTCTTAGAACTGAAGCTGCCTAGTGCCATCTAAGTATAATTAGATGACATTGCTATAATTTATGCCTGTTTGGTAGCTTGACAGCGCTTCTAAATAAAAGTGGGCGCCCACAGTGTCTTACGCTAGTAATGATTAAGGCTCTTTGTGATCACCTGCTTGAAAAGCTTTAGTTATATCTAGATGAGAAGGCAATTTTTTTATGGGATGAATTCTTTATATAAGTGGAGAAGGCTAGTATCAGCCGTGCTCTAAAGTGTTAGGGGTGGTCTAAAAAGACTTCTAAACAGAAAGCTAGCCAGAGGAATTCTAACTTATGGGATGGATATATGCACTTGATATCTGATATTTGATCATATTACTTAGTATATGTGGATGAATTAGATGTGATAAGAGAGCAGGCTTTAGAAGGACAGGGTAGTTATCTCTTGGTATAGCGTCAGCTTAGGTAACTAAACATCATCGTGACTAGTGTTATTAAATCCTCCTAGTCTCTGTCTAGGATGGAGGAATTATGTATTATGTTTTTAAAGGCTCCATGGATGCTTCATTATTTGAAAATTTCATTGAGGAGCTGTTTTATTATTGTGGAAAATGGCCAGAACTAAAGTCGGTTATTGTTATGGATAATGCTTCTTTTTATTATTCTGTAAATATTGGGATGATGTGTTTAAAAGCTGGGGTTAAACTTGTATATTAGCCCCCGTACTCTCTAGATTTGAACCTAATTGAAGAGCTCTTTGCTGAGTTGAAAGCCTTCATTAAATGTTATTGGCAAGCTTACGCCGACAACCCTGAATAAGGATTTCATACATTCCTAGAATGGTGCATTGATACTGTGGGTAGAAGGGAGCAGAGCGCGGACATTTCCAGAACTCCTGACCTGGCACTTGAAAAGATGTGATTTATGTAACGGTGCTCAAGTCGATCAAATCTTCTTCATTGAAGTGTAGCTGTTGATGAAGATAACTAAGCATGGAGAAGGGGAAAATTAGATAGGGTATATATCGACATTCAACACCTAGAGGAAGCTACCAATACACCGGGCATCTCCAACCACAAAGCACCAACAATCAACTTGACGAGACGAGCCACTGTAATCTCCGGACTTGACCATCATATGCTAGTTTATCGACGCCATATATGCAATGATGGCAACATTGTTTAGCATAAATTTAGCTGCTCTCCCCGACTCTTCTTTGCTAAAGACAGCTGAAAAACATGATAGCATAGAAGCTGATTAATTTCTCAATGCGCTAGACGGACTCCCATAACTGTAGACCAAACGTAATATTGGGTCGCTGAGAGTAGCGACCCACAATATATGCATGGGCAGCTGGATTTTCTCCAAAACAAATGGAATGATGACCTTATCCCAACTGGTATCTCAAAATATATGTTTCCATCACATACGTAGCAGACGAAAGTCTCATGTATACTTATTTGGGCCCAAACTCTGCACAACGCCGAGGCAGCATCAGCACGCAAATGTAGCAAAGAAGAAAGGAAATCATCATGTCTTCACAAAAGACCTTCTAGTCTGGACGCCACTTGCCAGTGTCTATCATCTAATCGGCACGTGACCGCCTGGAGGATCTCAAATGGCCAGAGAGATTTTTTGCCTAAGGCATAAACGGCAGCCCGCCTTACATCCGAGTCGCTGTCTATAAAGTTTGCGATTATACCCATGAGCTTGGACGACATATGCCAACGACGGGCTAATGCTTTTAGAACCTTTTCTGTGTGGGAGCTTCTCCTTTGTAAGAAATTCTTCTTAAGTAATTCGCATAGAATATGATCTGGAAATTCAGTCTTAACGTAGAGAGATATTTCTTGAAGGGATTTATTCTCATAACTAGACTATTATATACATCCAAGTTCCAATTTTTTGGAAGATGTAAGAAATTATTGCTATTACCTTTAAGTTCCAAATCTTCCAGTTGGAGTAGCTCGCTGAAGCAGTGTATAAGCAATCGCTGGTGTGCTGGGCCTAGTAAATCTCATAGCTCCTCCTTGATTTTTTTAAGGAATGAGCTTACTTATTCTTCATCAATATTTTATAACAGTTCTATAATAAATCTCTAGAGTACATCATAGTGTCTACTGTACTTGTTTTTTTTAGAGAAATTCCTCTAGTGATATTTGCATGGTATATCTCTCTATAAGTGGTTAAGCTTGAGACAGAGAAGTCGTTTGCTGGATTTAGATATCAAATACTAGACAAGATATTAAGTAGCGAAAAATTTCTAAAAAGTAAGATATATAAAATGATAACATCGGTTCTAGCCTGTAATACCTGATGTACATAGAAAGGAGAGCTGGTCAAGGACATTATCTGATACTTTATAAAAATTGCGGTAATTTATATAGCCAATCGCGATGAGCTTAATGAAATTCAATAATATCACTGTATAACCCCGTAAAAGTATGAAATTCCAGTAATTTCATCTCAGTTTCTACCCCCAACTGAATTCGCCTGCGTGTTCGCAGATTCTGGACTGTGGTTTTTTTTAACTGTCTTGCATTGTCTAAGTTCAAGATATCCTTTTGCCATGACTTTAATTTAATGGCCTGGTATATTTCTGTGATGGTTTGTGGTGAAGCATCAGAATGGAAGTTGTTCTCAATCCAACTATAGCATACAGGTAGGATCGAAACCAGCTTCACCACTTCGCTCTCGCAGAATCTGTCTCCAACCCTTCGATAAAACACGCTAATCTAGTTCTAACATAGCCTAGCTTCAACCGTTGAATAGTAATGAAATACTTCGTGACGTGATATTGGACTCAATAGACACTTATAATACGCATACTAGTATCCCACAGCTTTGAGCCAATATGTGATGGGACATCGTCCTTGGAAGCACACATGAAGCAGATAATGCAGTTTAAGCATAAGTCACGACTCACGGGCATTTATTTTCTTGATACATTGGTACAACCTCATAAGTGCGTGTTGAGACTCCATTCGAGAGGGGTGGTCTTCAGTGAGCGCTTTCTCTTTGACTGCAACTACATGCTCTAGAAGTTTCACTGCTGCTTCAAGCTGCCCATCTGCGTGATAGACTATCGCAAGTACATGCTCAGAGGCTAGTCGATCAGGGTGGTCTTCGGTCAATACTTTCTCTCGGACTGCAACCACATGTTCAATTCGCTTCAGAGCTAGCTTGATCTGCCCATCTGCGTGATAGACTATCGCAAGTACATGCTCAGAGGCTAGTCGACTGTGACTCTTTTGATCCTCATTTCTCGTCCACCAAGCAGCTTCTTCAAGAAAGCAAACGGCTTCTCTGATCCGGCCATCTCTATAGAGGCATATTCCGACCGAGTAAACCAACTGGTACCGCTGAGGCATACCTTGTGTTTCGTCGGCTCGGAGAAGACTCAGAGCATGTGGCATATATGCCCGCCATTTCTGCTGATCCTTATGCTCGCCGACTGGAAAGTCACCACTCATTCTTTCCAGTGCCGACAAAAACGAACTTTTGAGAGATAGCTTGAATGGGGGCTTTTGTGTTCGCAGCCAGTTTCGTGTAGCGAGATGAACAAGTCGATGGAAGCTGAGAGAATTATTTGTTTCATTCTGATTCACAAACGAATATGCTTTCAATGTCCCGATGGCTTTAGCTTTCTCCATAGGGGATCTTGCTGGCGGCAGAAGAGATTCAGGGATGTCTTTTGGCTCAATGCAGGCGATGAAATATAAATAACTGGCTGCCAGAGGCTCCTTGCGGATATGCTCGAATGATACGAGCCATGTTGTAATCACGGGGTTCTTCACACCATTGTATCGCCCGTCGGTCTCAAAATCTTCACTTAGGAGATCGATGACTTCTTGCTCTGGCCGATCCAAAAGTTTTTTGTAATCCGAAAGACGAGTTATCGAATTCTCGTTTATGAAAGAAGCAGCCTGTACAACCGCCAAAGGAAGAAACGCAAGCTTGCCGAGGAGTTGTAGAACCTCATTGTCGTCCTGCAAAAGAGTTGAATTATCCAAATGCTGGGAAAGCAGTTCCTTTGCTTTCTTCTCGCTGAGTTCTTCAACTTTAATAGCCTTTCTCGCAAGTCTAGAGGCGATCTTCTTGAGACGTGTTGTGAACAGTATCCTTCCATTTTCGCTCTGTGGAAGAAATTCACTTAAGCGGCCTGACTTGGCGTCTTCTGAGGATTCGCCAAACCACATATCGTAATCGTCGGCATTGTCAAAGATGAGTAGCCACTTCCCGGTCGTTTTGTTCAAGTAGTTTTTCACCAGCGTTTTGACATCAGCATTCTGGTCGTCGGCCCCCGGCAGCTTTAGTCCTCCAGCTATCTCCGTGTAAGACTTTTGAACGCTCTCAAAATTCATCGCTTGTATCCAAAGCACAGCGTATTCTTCACACTCTGGGTTTCCTCTACCCTTCGCTTGCGTTTGATGGGCTATATCGAGTGCAATCTGCGTTTTGCCGACGCCGCCGAGACCATAGATTGCGATCCTAGAGACCGATTTTGTGGAAAAGAGCAGTTTTTCTAATTCGCTGAGCTCGTTCTCACGTTTGATGAATCTTTCGTTAGGATGAAAAGGAATGTTTCCGCGGAAAGCTATCACGTTGTTAGCGGGATCCTCAATTCGAGCAAGCCTTCTTACGGATTCGCCCGGCAATGTGTCTAAGATATTTCTAAGAAGAACGAATGAGCTTTGAATTCTTCCCAGGTCAAACAAGTCTATCTCACAGTCTGAGTTGTGGCGAAATCAATAGGTGTTTTAACTGAACAACAGTATCAGTCTAGGTGCTGCATCCTGACCTAGGAAAAGTCCTCGACATACATACATTTTTTCAAAATGAGATTCTCAACACATTTCTCCCTGCGGAACTTGCAGTCTATGTGCTCAATATAATCATATGTGGCGGTCTGAATCAGCTCTTGCTGATTATACTCCTCCAAGCCAACATTTTGTAATCCCTGTTCCACATTGAAGCGGAAGTAACGATTTTCACTGAAATGCCCAGCCCACCTCTCGATGAAATTTCGCTCGGTGCTCTCTGTCTCCGTGGCAATATTGGCGAGCGTCGTGTGAATTTTGAGTGCACTGTCATCGATCCCTTGGGTACTAGGCTTCCCAGTTCCGATTGAAAGAAAACACTTTACATGGGGCTGCAACTGCGACTTTGGGCACCAAATTGTGGAAGCCTCCGCTTCCACCTGATCCACCGGGTTGTTTGCACCCAACGCGCCATCAACAAACCTGCGAAGTCCAATCGATACAGTATCGAAAAAGCTCGTAGCGGCTGAAGTAGCAAGAGCTGCCTCGCAGATAGTCGCGTCAATGTTTGCAACCCCGCGGAGTTTATAACTCCGTAGACGAGTAATTCCGGTGGTCGCTTTAGCAGCGGCACAGACAAAGCTTATTCGATGTTAGTTAACCCTTTTTCAATTCTGGATCACTGATTTACACTCTGCATTTGCGATCTTTCCCGTCATTGAATAGTGTATTTTCATCAACGTCGTGTTCGGTAAGGACATCCAGAATTGCTGCCTTCAACTCGTTCTGGTTGAATTTTGACTTGATTTCTAGCTTCCAACCCAAGGGCACCATGCGCAGCTTGTCTTTGAAAACACGTTCCATGAGTTTCACATATGCTTTAATGCACTCATCGACGTCCATCTCGAGCCGGCCTAGCATGATAGCAATGATACTATCTACGTTAGCAGATTTGGACAACCTGTAATGAAGGGWAAAACGAACCCGCCTGTGCTTGTACCACCAATGAGATCAAACAAATCACAAGGTTTTAGGCGCGGAGAGCCAGGTTCGCGGATTTCGTTCACTTCATCCATTATGCTCTTGAGTACGAAGAGTGTCGACAGCCCTCGGACACCACCACCATCTAGTGACAGCAGGCATAATCCTGTCTCATCGACTGAACTCGGCTTACCACCGGTAAAGGTAGCTTGTGCTTGCATTATGATTTAAAAGAAGTAGCTGCACATAATGGTACTGTATTCAATGATGAAATAAGTTTGATCCCAGGGGATTGCCCAGTAGGTCTCAACCTCGAATATATATCTGACTTACGCTATGATGAGCTGTACGTAAGATGATATTTCTCCCGACCGGCAAGTGCGCTTCATTGGAACCACCTATTTGACGAGCTAGGTAGGGGTCAGTTGCTGGAACCCTTCAGACAGGGTTCACTAGGGAAGGCGACTAATCAACGCCCTTAGCGCTGGGATTTTCTTTTTCTGATGCGTGATAAGTCATAGGTTTCGTATTTTGTTGCTATGTTCTTCATGTGAGCTGCTCCTGATGTCACCCGGGCGCTACGGAAACATCCATGGATGGATGGACCACTGAGAGCCAACTTCTACAAAGCAAACATGTAGCTGCCAAGTCCCACTCACGTCATTTTCCCTCTTTACAGAGGCTACATTTGATAGGGATTTATAGCTCGTGCTGGTTACTGATATAACGGACCTTTGAAAAAAAAACAGAGAAAAAAATTCGCTCATAACCATTTCACAGGTGTATTGGATTACTGCCAAGAAAAGTGTTCAGGAAGGGTAACCGTAGGAGGTTTAGCGCATTTAGAAAAGGGGTTCGAGAAAGAATCTTTGTGTATAAGTGGTGAAACTGATTTCGATCCTTCCTGTAATGCATCAAGCCGTGTTACGAACCAACTTGCATGACGCTAAAAGCAACTATAACGAAAAAGGAAAGGACTACTTTGGTATGAGCTAGTACCGGATTAACTGAGAACCAGTCACTAGCAATAAGTGAAAAGAGAATATGATGGTATGAAGCATGCACCAAAGGTTATGTGAAGATATGAAAAGTATACCCTATCTCTGATAAGATAAAGGTATGTAAAATAACAAGGTATTAGATAATATTATATACCTTATACCTACTATCCTGGGAGGATAGCAGATATATAGCATACAGAACAAGGGAGGATTAGATATATAAAGACGCTCTCTAAACCATTATGTATTTAGTTCTTTATAGTTCTTTGACATAAGTCACTTGAATATAATAGTAAGAGTTAGCAAGGCATTTATACTCGTACAAGCACCAGGCTGTACGGGGGATCTCTTCTATCTTAGTTATGTTAAGACTTCCAAGTATCTGATCGACTATTATTACTCTATTTACTTAGTCTACTCTATCAACGACAATCGCCGAACCTTTCTGTAGTTCAATCAAGCCTCGCGTACCTCAACACAACGCTGTTTAACTGAGGTGGATCCAGGTCCGTGACACGCACTGATTTTGCAATCAACTGTATGCGGCACAGCGCATATAACTAGTGTAACATCCGTCAACAATCTTCCGACGATTGAATTAGTTCGATTGGCCGCTGAATCATATCAGACCCGCATTTGCAGAAACGAGACTCTCCAGTTTCAAGCAGCTCTCGAGCGGAGTCTTCGAGATCTTGGGGCTTGATTGTAGCGTGTTCGTGTGCTCCGTCCCCGGTATTCTTTCCCCGCTGGTTTTCCCAGGACTTTGATAGGAATGCTGGAGCCGTTTTATTTTATGATTTCAGTTCAAATAGCAAAATCTTAATTCATTTGACATTATCGTAAAATCGATTTCGGAAGGAACCGATCCCTATCAATAACAGTTGAGAACCCTATCCAAGCCTGCGAGCAATAAAGCGTTCCAGCTTCGCTAGACAACCATTTCCCATGGTCGATGGCCAACAGGAAGTAACATCTTCAACATGCTGGTCAACATGCTGGTAAAGCGCTGAAAGTTTGGAAAAATCTTTGTCACAAATGGGACATACATATGTCCAGCCCGGCTCATTGTTGTATACCATTTATCATTCTTATCGATGGTATACTATTCCTATCTTCACGTGACTTGGTGCGTGTCCCATACCGAAGTGCCTTCATCCTGACATCCTTCCACTTGTCTTGTCATCGTATGGTTCAGACGCCTTCAAATCCATAGTGACCTTTCCGTCTTGGTCATAGTACAATTTAGCGTCATGCAGGTTGATTCGTAAGACTTTCGTATCAGAACCTTCGTCCATTAATTCAGGCCCGCTGCCAAATTCACAGGGTTTGGGCTAGGCCAGATATAGTTAACACAGTATCTTTGACCGTAATATCTCTTTGTTCATACGCGTCTCGTACGCCTTTGAGACCCAAATGTTGCAAACATCCTTACAGTGCAACAGTTAATTCAAGACAGTAATGTAAGTAGAAGGTTAGATACAGTCGCGTGCACAATCGGTTTTCGGTTTCATACACTTCGATTTATTCTCACCGCACGGACCATAAGACAAGGGTTTCCTAGTTCGTATTAGCGCAGAATAGGGATAACTCCGTAATTAATACTACTTTCCGAGTTGAGTAATGAAATATTTAATTCCGGAGCATTGCTGCCTTAGATATATCTAAAACATGTGTTCTTCACTGGAGGTAGATTACTTAGAATACTACATTAATGATGACTCAAAATTATATCTCTATCTATAATCCCTTCCTACGCATCCTTGCCCTTAAGCACGTGTAGAATGAACCCTGTTTACTCTCCTGGCTGCTGCTTGCTGGCTCAGTTGTAGCTTTATGGCTACTCAGACTGGTAACGCCACAAGTAGGCGTTTATCCAAGTGCCGCCTTGTGGTTGTTATTGAAAGTCCTGCTACGTCTTAGTCCTTCCTCCTCTGCCTCCTGTTGCATAGCCGTAAAGTCATTGAGACACTTAATGGCTGTCGGGTGCTGAGAACCGAGCTTCTGCTTGTAACCGTCACACGCTCTCTGATAGAGTTCTGATGCCTCGGTATACCGCTTCTGTTTGTCTAGAAGACAAGCAAGACCGTAGATGGAGTTCAGCGTATCTGGGTGCTGTACACCCAGCTCCTTCTCTCTCTCTTCCACCGCTCGCCGGTTCAATTTCTCCGCTTCGTTATACTTCCCTTGATCCCGTAGCACCACTGCTAGGTTGCTCACGCTCGTCAGCGTATCTGGGTGCTGTACACCCAACTCCTTCTCGCATCCTTCCAGTACTTGCCGGTTCAATTTCTCCGCTTCGTCGTACCTCCCCTGATAGCGTAGCACCATCGCTAGGTTGCTCACGCTCGTCAGCGTATCTGGGTGCTTTTTACCCAACTCCTTCTCCCTCCCTTCTAGCGCTTGCCGGTTCAATTTCTCCGCTTCGTCGTACCTCCCCTGAAAGCGTAGCACCATCGCTAGGTTGCTCACGCTCGTCAGCGTATCTGGGTGCTTTTTACCCAACTCCTTCTCACATCCTTTCAGTGCTCGCTGATACAGCTTCTCCGCTTCATTGTATTTTCCCTGATACTGTAGCACTATCGCTAGGTTATTCACACTTGTCACCGTATCTGGGTGCTGTACACCTAGCTCCTTCTCGCTTCCTTCCAGTGCTCGCTGGTTCAGTTTCTCCGCTTCGTCGTACTTTCCCTGATATTGTAGCACTAACGCTAGGTTGCTCACGCTCGTCAGCGTAACTAGGTGCTGTACACCCAGCTCCTTCTCGCATCCTTCCAGTACTCGCCGGTTCAGTTTCTCCGCTTCGTCGTACTTCCCCAGCCCCGTTTGCATGTACCACGCAGCGTTGTTAAGCATCAGAGCCCACTTTTTCACTGCCTCATCGCTGGGTAACTCACTCTCATATAAACATACAACATGGGGAAGTAGCTGCCGGCATTTCACCCAGTTCTTAAAGTCTGCCTGAGGAGATTCTCTTGCCATCAGTCCTAAAAACTTCTGCTTCCACCTCTTTGCATCGCTGAATGAGGAAAGCCACACTCGCGTGCAGAACTGTACTAAAGCGTGCATCTCACACACATCTCTGTCCGCTGTTGCTGTTATAAGAGAGTACGATTGTAAAGTACCAAGGTCCTCGTCAAACGCGTTATCAGCCTCGTCTTCATCGCCTGCTTTCGCCACGCTCTTGCTGTGCCTTCGAAGGATCCACTCTGGAATTCCTTGCGGATTGAAGAAGCTCATAAGCGATAGCAGCTCTGCAGCCGAGCGCCTCTGCTCATGAATGTGCTCAAACGATATCTGCCACGTTAACACCACTGAATTCGATGCACTTTCATCTCGGCGAAGATCTCCTGAATCCCAGTTAAGAAGGCTTTTTCTCTTCTTATCATTCCTTTGAAATTCGTCCAAATATCCGGACGCCGTCATTCGGCCTCGCCGGTTGATGAATGCTGCCGCCTGTGTAATGGCAAGAGGTATGTAGTCGAGCGCACGTAGGAGATCTACGGCACCTTCTTCGTCTGACGCGCACCCTAGCTTATTTCGGAAGAGGTCCAAGGCCTGGGTTTCGTCCATTGCAAAAACTTCCTTGATGTTCCTATAACCTCCTGCCAGCCTGGCTGCCGCATCTTTGCTTCGGGAGGTGATTAGGATCGATCCGTTACGGCTCTGAGGGAGATAGGTTGCAAGTGGTGTAGGTGCCGGCGGGGAGGATTCGTCCCCCGTGCGCGTTTGCTTCAGATAGAAGACCTCGATATCGTCCGCATTATCAACAATCATCATCCATTGTCCATTGGTCTCGTCACACAGCCAGTTGCGGACCAGCTGTAAAACATCGACGTTCGGATCGTCTCGCCTGGGAAGCTCGAGCCTGTCGGCAATGTGTCTGTACGCTTCTTCGAACCGGGCCCTAGTGCTGGCGTGCACCCAGAACACGTACGTTTGCAGCGACGCATCGCGGACGTCGTAGGAGTATCGGATAGCGAGCTGCGACTTTCTTTGTCACATTAGAAACTATACCACTCGACAAGCGGACGTTGATATACCCTACGCCGCCAAGACCGACCAGCGCTGCTCGAGCGCCTGGTCCCACACACTTATCGTGAATCCACTCTAGGATCTCGGGCCGGTCGACGAAGTCACGGTCTGGTGCGAACGGAATGGTGGAGAAGGGCACGCGTTTCCGGCTCGATCCGTCTGCGCGCTGACGTTAGCATAGACGTGGTTTTTGGCAGGGCTTATGGTGGTTGACCTGCCATGCATTATAGGGTAGCCTCCGAAGTAATTGTTCATGGTGGCGCCAGTCTCGAAGTGCGAGCCAACAATGACGTTGCGGCCGGCAATGGCTCCATTGAAGTCGCTTAATGGCGGCATCTTTGCTGTCGAACAGCGGTGCATGACGCAGACATGGCCTACAGTTCATAAACTGAAGTGGTGGAAGAAGGTAAGTGAAGCAGTGGGCAACACGAACCGCACTGGGCAGCGCTCAGCCGCAGCTGAGGCGGGCCTCAACCCATCCCGTTTCGCAGTCTCGCACCAGGTCGATTTGATTCTGTTGATAAGCTTCAGATGTAGCTATCACCATCACTGCTAAGTTACATAATGTCTTTCTTCAAGAAGCTAGTACGTTCAACGGCGCCTGATACTAAAGCCGGCACCGAACTACTAAAGGGCAATGAAGATGCCCAGAATGCCCCTCCCCACCCACCAACAGATGAAATGTTCTCAACGGCCGGAGATTATGGTCTTCAAACATTATCCGAAAACGCTGGTGACATTATCGAGTAAGCGATCTACCATACCTCGTTAGCTCCACTAATCATAAAATCAGCATTATTTTCGTCCACGGCCTAACCGGCAATCGCGAATCCACTTGGACCGAAAAGACCGCCAAGGTATTCTGGCCCAAGGATCTACTCGCAAAAGATCTCCCGAAGGCGCGAATCATCACGTTTGGCTATGATGCCGACATTATTCGAGGATTGAGCACAGCCGGAAATGGCACACTGAGAGACCATGGGAAAGCTTTGGCAGAAGATCTGGCCATACGGAGGAAGAGGACAGATTCTGTAAGACCTTTTATGCTGCTATTTACAGTACGATCAATCGTGCATATAATCGGCAATGGCTGCCTTGGAACTCCATGCAAGTCAAAGAAGCCGTGAAGAGCTGTCGCCAAAGTAGCCAACATATGTCGTTGGGAGTTGGTCTCCAAGACCCGCAGGCTTACTTAAGTGACAGAATTTTCGCCCTCTGATCTTCGTTGCGCACAGCCTTGGTGGACTAGTTGTTGAGCAGGCGAGTCATACACCAGGATATTCACTAGCCGTCAGTTAATTAATACACCAAGGCAGGCACTTCTTGTCTCCCGCGGCTCGGCTCAGCAGCATGTTAAGGACTTGCTTGAAAGCACCGTGGCGATTGCGTTCATGGGCACTCCACACCTGGGGTCGAATATTGCAGACTGGGGACACCCAATCTCGAAACTCTCAAATCTACTGCGCAAGACAAACTCTGAGGTTATAGGAGTCTTGCAGCCAGGCTCTGAGATGCTCGCCGCGGTGCAACAAGAATTTTATACAATGCTTGACGACCGGAGTAGGAACGATAGTAAATATATCAACATCTTTTGCTTTTATGAGGAAGTTGGATATACTGGGCTTGGCGAGGTATGCAATCACTTCAATATCCTCTTTCTCAATCGAAGCCGAGTGCTAAGCTCTTACAGATAGTACCGAAGCAATCGGCAATTCTCACGGCGTATCCAAACAATGGCATTCATGCAACGCACACGGGGATGACAAAGTTCAAGACTGCCATGGACGCTGGCTATGTTCGAGTACATGATCAGCTTTGGCTTTGGTATAATGCGGTTGAAGAGAGTCAAGATGCATGGAAGGAAAAGAAGGATGTCGCGAAAAGACAACAGCGCCTTCTTCAGCCTGTTAGTGTCGCTGAGAGCGATCGAGGAGGGACTCCATACCGCGGCCCTGTATTCAATGGTCCCATCTATGGTCGCAATGTGACATCTGGAACGCAAGTCACTGGCGGTACGGCCAACTTCAATTTCTCTTGACGAATGGACATAATAGTGGATAATTATCTATGTTATTCTTCTGTGTATTCTGCGATTTTCGAGCAGTGACTACGGCCTTCTTAACGGCGACGCGAGGTAGACTTGGTAATTGAGGCTTGCGCGGCGAACAAGCCACACTATGATCAAGCCACAGAGAGGTCGAAAGTCGGGTCCCTGATAGTCGACGCGCAGACGAATTGATAGGGGTGGAACGCCGACAATTTGTAGGTGTAGAAGCTTCGGAGATCGACATTGCATTCGTTGGCTATGCGGCGGATAGCTTTCTCTGTCCACTTAATAGACGCTAAAGCTCTGCTAATGCTGGCAGCGGATACGAGGACGTCGAACTCATCGTACAGAAAGACGGCAGTCAAGAGACTGTGTATTAATATAATATTCAATAACAAAAATAGCAGTAATCACGGATCAACAAACCATTGTGGGAGAAGTGATAGAAGGGAGGCATCGTCAGCAACTGGACGTATACAGTCGGAGCTCGATGCACAACTCAATGCTGAGTAAGACTCCCCGGGTCAGGCCTCCGTGTGGAGAGATGCATATAATTTAGTACGCTGTCTGGTCCGCTATGCAATTTAGTCCTGGATCGCTGGCGTGATCCCAATGGAAAGAGGCATTATCGATTTTGCATGTCTTATTTAAAGAGCATTATGCGGTATGTGGAGTAAGGTGGCCTACTTTGTAGCTATAGTGTCGTGAACCGATGATTCGTAATCGTCTAGATCCGAGAGAACTCTTCACTTAACGGCGGTTAAAAACGGTATTCTGATATCGAAAGGGCGGGATGCCTAAGTAATGAACGAGAGAGCCTAAGTATAACTAGATCTATGAGTAATAGTATACTCAAGGTTAAACAGTTAATTCAAGACGATCGACTAAAGCTAACTAAGTGGGCAAATGAGTGTGTTTATATAGTCAAGGGATTCCTGATGGAGGGCATCACATATCGTACCCGGGGTACGATATACCGGTCCTCAGGTGTGATCGGGTCGTTCCTGGGGCACGACTCCTCGTTCCCTGAACATCCCATGTTGTGTATCCCACGCTCTAATGGTTCCTGTTACTAGGGTATTCCCGTAGTTCGGTTCCTGAACAGGATAGGTTCCTGGGTATCCATTCCTGGGATTCTTGCGATCCTATGATACCTATTCTAGTAGCTGTGACACCAATATGTAGTTTACTCATTGGAAAGTAGCTGATTATGTCTTGTCGCTCCATTCTGTTAGGGTGACAGCTGATTGAACAATATGTTCAGGGGTGCTCTGCAGGTTGCGTCGTGTTCGCTCATGATTCGTTGAAACCATAGAGCAACATGACGAATTATATGGCATCACAATTTAGGGGGAAGGCTAGCTCGGTGAATATCGACGTACGTACACAACGACTTCACCACCGCTGGTGCGGGCTTTGAGAATTTCATAACACTCAAAGAGAGCTTTGTCAACCTTTGTTATATTCGTTTCTATGTTTGGGAATAGTTTCATGTCCTTTGTTGCTGCGCACTCCTGTATGAAGCCTTGTGGTCTTCATTGTCCACAGTTTCTCTGTTCGATTATGAGAGGAAGGCCTACTCTATCTACAAGTATGGCAAGGCTTCCCCATTAGATAGTTTTGGAAGCTGTGATGTTGCTTATATCCTAACTACGGAGTAGCCTATCGATGAGATACTAAATTTACAGGAGGAAGAGAAAAGGAAAAGGAAGCTTGTACGCGTTCGCTACTGTTTTATATGGTGCGCTAACCCTAAGGTAGTGCCTATTTAGGAAGTCATGAAGCTCAACGGCAACTTCTGTCTTAGGGCTAAGGTCTACAGCATGAAGTCTGACGTCACGATATAAAATAGTAACGAGGGGCGTATAGCCGTCAAATTGGCTCGCAAAGTGAAATTGCTGCATGCAGGCACTGGTTTTACATGCCAGAAACGCAATCCCCAGAACTCAATTTCGTGGATTTCTGGCTTTTGCGGTCTACCATCCGAGCCTAGCCTTCTGGTCTTACAGCGTGGTGTCCAAATCCAAAGCCAAGTCCGTAAAATCGCCGTTTACCAGCAGTAGATGTGCTCAAGCTATTTTGATGACCCAGCTCAGTGGTTTTCATTGACTCAGAGGAAACACTTGATATCGAGAAAGTTATTTCCCTTGCAAATGTTAAACTGGCGTTGCATGGGGCACAGGGAACAACAAATTTTGTAGAAGATGCGTGTTACGTTATGCAGATAGTTTGATGGGTGCTTGAGAAGGATGCAATAAATGAAGTATTGCAGCCGTTGGCACTGAGATGGTGTCAATTGATGATGGAATTGAGGAATGCAGCAGGTGGACGCGACGCTAGCAGATCGACGTAGATTGATTGCAATCACCGCTAACCACAATTATACACCCTGTGACATTTAAGAATGATTTATTTAGTAACGGCCTGGAATAAGGTTGTCAATCCTATAATTTAGTATTATATAATCTTTTAATCAGTTGTTACTGTCCACCACCTTAGCCAAAATCTTTGATGATGGCAACGGCCCCATGATTACTAGGTAGTCCGAGCCAGCTTATCACCTCTGTCGAAAATGTTACTTTTGTTTTGTAACCATTGATTCGCATGAGAGGTTCTATAGGTTGTGACCTAAAGTAAAGATGTTGGTCAAAGTCTTGTCGGCGTTTGTGAAGATCGAGAAGTATATTTTATGAGTCAGAGTCCAGTTGGAACTTTGGCCTAGTGGTATTGCGAGATAGGTCCGGAAGGAGCACAGTTATTTATCACGGATGAAATACTGCTTTGGTTGTAGGGTTGCAGCGTCGCCAGTCAAGGTAGAATACTTAACGGAGATGGTCACCTTGGCGGGAAGGATGTCGTTGTTATCAGAATGTTCGTAGTAGCTGGTAAAAGACGACGAAGACGCCAGAAGAAGTGTTGACCTGGGTGCTGGAAAGGCGCGAAGTGGCGATCGTGTTCCCGAACCATAGCCCAGGTGCGCTTCCAAACAATAGATATAGATTCTCATAATATAGGATTTTGAATTCTAATTCGTATGTTTACTTCTCCTACTGGTTTAGTATGATGGCTTTGCTCTTTTTAGCCTAGACATGGCAGGCCCACATCCTTTAACACGTGCCTATAGGTAGGAATATGCCAGAATGGCGGAACATTGACCAGAGCTAGCCACAGCAAGTATATCAGTTCAATTATGACGATTCAAGGGGAATGTCGGAATAATGCACCTTGGCGCGGGCATAGGAAGAGCGGGGGAGGGAATATCAGATTTAGAAGGAACCGATGTTCTTAGAGAAATTATAACAGGGCAGCGGTGACTACCTAGATTTTGTTTCTGTAGTATCCCTTATATATAACCCACATTGATCATCCTTAAAGAGGGCTATGATGGCCAGAATTCAGGAATGACCATTTAGTGATATAAATTAAGCACACGGAGCTAGGACAAAGGCCAATAGACGGACTATTTGCTTGACTATATTCTGATCGCGTAATGTAGGCCCTACATTACAAGACATGGCGTAGCGAATGACGACAATCCCCGAACAAGGAGATTTCTCACTCAAGGAAGATCAAAGACGTTCCCAAGTATTGTTGGTAACTTCCGAATAAAGAAACATAAGCTTGCTGAAAAGTTCCGATTCCTGATTACTAACATCATGTCTCCTAATGAGAGAAGATATTCATCTACAAGCATTGATAGTAGTATGGGTTGATTTGCTGGCAAGTGTAAGGTGAAACACAAGTAGTGGGACCATTCCAGCCGATACCACCACACTGTCCCCAGTGAGCAGCGCCAGTGCCTGAGCTGCTGCTCGTAGTGGGGGAAGTGGAGCTGGTGGTTCCGGTAGTTGGGGAAGTGGAGCTCGTGGTGCCCGTAGAGGAGGAAGTCGGTGGAGAAGCCTCACTCACGGTTATATCAGCGGAGCCACTGCTGCCGTATCCTTCGGTCGACACAATCTGATACGCAGCGCTGCTAAGTGGATTATGGGTCATACCATGAGACTGGTAGTAATTATAGTGATTTGCCGTTGTAACAGTGCCAGAGGAACGTTTGTTCTGGCGGATGGACCAGTTCTGGAGATAGTTGTTGCCACGGTCGACTAGGCAGACTTGGTAATCGCTCCCATCACTGTTAAGACTGCCCATATTCGTACCACCAGAGCACGGATTATAGGTGCCATAATCCTCAAGAATCTATCCTAGGTTAGATTGCATATCCTTGCGTCAATCTGGACAGAAGACCTACATAGTTCTCGCCTTGGGTTGACCAAGTGTATACAGCAAGATAGAAATTGCCCCCACTGTTGACGGTACCAGAGAAGCTGATATTCCGGGCCTCAGCCTGTTGCCAGCCCTTACCTGCAGTAAAATCACCAACATTCTGCCAGTTCACAGAGTATTCCCCAGCAGGCCCATTTGTGTAGGTAGTAGTCCCACTAGAGCCATCATCCCCTTGAGATTCAGTTAGCCATAAGCTTTCTGAGGATTAAGAACTAATGCGGGTATTCTACATACAGAATTGGTAGAAGTAGCCGTTGTTCGTGCCTGATGAGTTGGGGGTGTTGCGCTTGGCAAGTGGGGCAGGTGCTGCCGCAGGGCTGGTAAGAACCCTAACTGCAAGCGTAGCAGCAACAAAAGCAGTGGTGAAAGAGAACATAATGTTTGAATAAAGGTATCCTCAAGAAACAATGCTGTGAAAGAAATAATGTTTAAAGAGCAAAATGGACTTCCAGGGTGATCTTATATTTTTCAGTTTTGTGATCAACGCTAATCATATACCGGCAGCTGAATCAAACGAACTGAAACAACCTTTAGTTGAAGTGATCTATTTAGCCAAAATATCTAGATCATTAGTCTTGCTTGCAGATCAGTGGATGATCGGATATTATGATCTGGCAGATCTAGTAACATACAACACATCTACCATTATATTTGTGGTGGGGATAGTCGGAACTGTACACGCACCGTACAGGACTCGGCACTGTTATGGGATTCCTCTCCAGCAAATAGCCTATATCTGGAATAGTACTGAGAGTCTTGGAAATGAGCAATTAACCGACCCCGCATTATGCATTTTTGAAAGATTGTTCGATCAATAGATTAGTAGTACGTGTGACAACAGCCAAAACCTTGTATTAGGGGATAACTAGGTGCGCTCATCTACAGAGAATATCAAGCATGAGGGGAAAAAAGAAGACCAAGAAACAACCTCGCTACACTAGCTATTTATACAAGGCTTCTTTGTGTGACTGGGACTTCCTAATGCAGTACCGGTTCCCAATACAGCCATGCCCAGGACCGAAGCCCTATCTCGCAATAGCTTCATGTTCCACTTCCTTGTACGGGAAGCTCCACCATGTGGCCAAGAGCTGCATGGCCTCAAGCTGTGTGGCTGGCCACATTGAGGACCGTTACAGCTGTCACAGTACGTAGCAGTAGTAGCATCGATATACCTCTTCAAGCCAGGGGACGCTACAAGATCAAAGGATTCTCAGCGGGAAAAAGAAAAGAAAATAAAACATGACTGTGACACTTGCTTAATCCTAAACTCTAGGGTAGCTCTGTCGACGTAAAACTTAGCATATAGAAAGAAGAGAAGGAGGAAGGCTCCGTGTGAGAGCTCGCTGTGGCTCTTTTATATTGCGCAGGCCTTCAAGGCGGTGCCTATTTGGGAAGGCATAGCAAAGGCATAGTCCACAAAGATTTTTAAGGCTCAGGGTTCGTGAGCCTCGTCAGGGCATCACAAGGGGCTAGCCCTAACAAGACGTGCGACCATCACAAGTGACTTGAAATAGAATATCAACTTTAAATAGGAATGTAGAGACACTAAATGAATCAACCATACTGATACCGAGTCGTGCTAGTGTTAATTTGCGCTATAATGTTCATTCCTGTTTGGGGTTAGTGTACGTTCTTGTCTGATGTTTATGATACTTCCATTTAATCTTGGTAATGATTGTTTTGGTGCTGTATACACCGTCTTGAGCGGTAAGATATTCCGTTTGATTCTGTATATACCATCTTGTGCTCATTCAGTAAGCATTCTTATTTCATGTCAACAGCCATTTCCCATCTGCTGTCTTTAGATCATGTCGTTCTGTACTTGAATTGACACCAACTCATCCCGGTACAACTCGTACTAGTAGAAATCCCAACCAAGGTCCCAGTTTACTCACAGTCTACGATCTCGTCGTGTAGCGGTTGGTAAGCATCTGTCAAAATTTGGGCAAATCTGTTTGTATTTCTCGTGTCTCATTGGGAAACAACCTAAAATGAATAGAGAATCAAATAAAAGTATAAATATTCAATTTGGATACTTTCATGTCAACCCTATAGACCTCCACTAACCGCCACGCAGAGGTATACTGCAAGGTGCAATTTCATACAAGAGGTTTTGAAGTCAAATGTTGGGCATCTCTTTTGCTTCGAGCCACAGCGGTCTCTGTCTGACCTTCGTATAGCACTTGTCATTATGATTCCTGTAAAGCTGTACAGGCTTCTTGTTTTGAAAGTGCATTGTCTGCTCTGGCTGCCATACATATACGATTAAGCGACATGAGTTCATTCCTTAGCTAGCAATTACTCATTATACAGATAAGTTCTATATCCAGCACCCAAGGCCCTGAGTAAATTTTTTTAAAACAAAAGAAAAAGCAAAAAAAAGACATGAGGCTTAATGCTCACACAAACTAAAGCTCCCAATCTCGTACATGTCATTCTGCTGCCCCTTCACAGCTGTTCTCTCTTCCATCAATTCCAATCTCAGCTCTTTCGCCTCCTTAATTGTCATTGGCGAACCCTCCAGTTCCTCCTTAATCATCTGCTGCAACTCCACGGGAAGATCCTTCTTCGAGAACAGATCTTGTCCAAGACTCATCTTCTCTTCTGCCCACCAATCCTCTCTTTGCGGAGGTACGTTGGCGGAGGAAATAATCCGAATATGAGGATCAACTAAGAACAGAGCTAGGATTTTACGACTTCCGGGTTTGCTCTTATCAGCCAGCTCAAAGGGTGCAACCCTGTGTTGTAGGACATTAGGGAATGTGAGTAAGCGGCCTTCGAGACACGATACGCTTCCAAGTTCTTGAGTAATGTTGCAGTCGTTGTTGCCGTCTACGTCTGGTCCAAACCCATACACGGAGTAGAGGAAGTCGTGTTCACTTTGCGGATAGTTGAGATCCGTGAAATCGTCGATTGCGCGCTGACGGAAGGATAAGCTGCTATGTGTAATGTTTTCGTTTGAGTAGTAATATATTGCTGTGGCGCATATATGCTCGTTCTGTTGTTCCCATTAGTCAAGCGACGAGCTGGTGAGACAGGAGAAGAACAAGAAAAGAACCCACCAATTGCCCCTCAACATGCCATGAACCGCCTTCATATCGTGGCTTTTCCGGAGTCAATTCGATGTTCGCCAACTTCACAATAACCTGCAGACCCGAATCGCGAAATTTGTCACTCAAAGGGATCCATGGCCCGAGATAAGATCTCGACCTTTTCGAGGGATCAAACTCGCCTTCGGGTTCAGGCATTATAATCGGTCTATTAACTCCCCACGCTCTCCGCGCTTCCAAATATTCCTCAACTCTGTCAAGTCCAAAGTCATCATATTCGGGCTCAGGAACGTCATAGTCGAGATACTCGACGTCATCGTATGAGATTCTAGGAGAAGGAGGGTTCACGGCGTCGTGCAACGTCTCGTCCCACAACGGGATTGTTTTAGCAATTATCTGCTCAATTACCTGATAAAGATCATAACTGTTCTTTGGGTGAAGGTTGTTTATGTATGACGCTATTTGACATTTGTTTGCGTCGTCATCGCCTCCGATGAATTGGACATCGCAGGGAAGCCATTGGAACTTTGTGCTGTAGGCCTTCATGCCTTGTCGCAAAGGCCATAGTCCATATTGGCCTTTTATTTTTGCGTCTTCTTCAGGTGGGGTTTGAAGAAGCTCGGCCTGGCCTGACCAAGACCAACAATTGTCTAACCTAATAACCTCATTCTTGAGTATCTGGCTGCGACCGTAGACGACTGGGAACAAAGATGGGTGCACGAGGTCAAGAACCTGATTATCAGATCCCGGATGATAATCCTTCTCTTCCTCTGGCACATCTTCAAGGTGTTTCATAGCTTTTTGCAATGCAGCTTGTAAGTCTTTGGAGATTGCGGAATCAGACCTGACAACTCCAGGGTTAAATGCAGTGACCATTCCGGTCTCCTTCAAGACGGTAGCTTTGTGCTTCAGCTCAGCTAGGATCCACTCGATCATTTTTGGGGTCACATCTTTCCCACTTTCAGAGATTTCTGTAGTCCATCTGGAGGTGATCTCCTCATCAAAGACCTGCCGTCTCCTATCAACACCTCATCCACGGTAGAATTGGCTTGGTGAAACAGACCTTCCTCTCCCACTCAGGCTTCTCAATGATAGTATTCATAATTTGCATCATGGTAAGCTCACGCATGGTGTTTACTGTACTGGTTGGAGAGGAAAATGAAAGTAAGTTACAAAATTGCTGTCGTTCCCCACCTGAACACGCACATGCTACTCACCCGATAAAGCCAGCTTCAATATGGCTGATTTCCAACGCATTGGGAAAGCATTGGTTTTTGAAAAAGTCTCCCTAGTCGTCAATTAGTCGAATAGCTTGATGATGGAAGACAAGGTGAACTCTCTCACGGGCGAATAGTTCAAAGGCAATGTAAAGCCCGGAAGGTCGAAACGACTCTGTAGTTGGGGTTGCTTTCCTTGCTTTGAGGAGGTCGCCATCTTATGCACGAATTCGATTGCTCTTCTTGTTTATCTGTTTTTATTGAAAATAGGCAGGCAAGATGATGCTTTTATAATTCCGCGGCGCTGGCCAAGACGTACTAGTAGGCAACCACTCGCTTACCGGTCCAAACTCAGGCAGCAACCGCCACAACGTAGTGGGTCTAAGCAGAAGAGCTCTCGGGATGTGATAGCATCTAACCTACTAAATGGCAATTTTTTTTATTACTACACTACAGAGTTTGGTGTATATTTGATTTTTCCTGGAGCAGTATACTTGGGAATCTGCGCCGCAATAGACTGTGGATCAGGGGCACACGCATCAGCACCCTAGAGAGGACAGGGCTCAAGGTTAATTGCAAATGAATGTGCAAAAGGAGCTTTGACTATAAGACCGATCCTCATTGTTGGTAGAGTAGTCAATATTGATACACTAAAAGGATACAGAAGTGGATCCAGGCACACCAAAAGGACCGCATTCCCTCATTATCCTGCGTAATTCTTGTCCCGCGTTACTCTAATCAGATTGCTTCCGTTCCCTGGTCTCTAACAAAAACTGCTCACCTATAACAATATATTCGAGAACTTAAAGAAAACTAGGATGAATTGACAGAAGAATATACTAGCAGAGACCCTTTCTGCGCGTTCACAACGTTTCAAGGTGTGAGTCGTGATCCAGAACCAAAACAGTGTAAACATTCATAAATCATTTTTTACTCACCTTAACCATCTCGTCTCACCTTTGATATTGTTTTAGATACGATCATATCGGGATTCGAAGTTGATCGGAAGCTGCAGAAATTACAACTCAAGATTTTTCGCTTTATCTAATTAATGGCCGAAAGCTGTTAAAAGATGTGGGAACAGGAGCAACTTGATCCAGAACAACTACAATGCAATGTAACAAGGGCATGCAGTCCTTTTGAGGTGCCTATAAAGAAATAGTTTCTTGATTTAATACCCTAAATTACCAATTCTAGGCCGCAATAATGAAGCCATTTTCTATTCTTACTCTTCCTCTAGTGCTTGTCACCACTGCCCTAGCAGACAGAGGCCGGAGTGTTGTCTACTGGGGTCAGAATACAAATGGTACGTACCCAATGATCCGCTTATTTTACCTCCCAAGCTGGTGTGTAATTGTGACAAATCCGCTGGGAGAAGGCGACAGCAGGCTTGGTAGCCTGACTCAAGGTCTTTAAGAGCGATATCAAATAAAGGAATGGAGTTACGAGTAAATTCCGAAATTTGGGGCTTCGCGGTGCTTTTAAGCCTTACGAAGGAAGATAGATATGGTATTCTTGAGACATTGATGTCATACATGACCGACCCAATTTTGATTTTTATTTTGATAGACGCTGCGGCGACCGAGATTGAATCCTTTCGAATTTCCGTATCATGGCTACCAAACTTAAGAGTATAGGTCATCAGGCAACATCTTCGGCCCATCAGTTTACCATAATACCAACTTATCAACCTGTACATCATACTTGATCATGGCATTACCTCAGCCGCTCCGTCACGACAAGATCGATTCTTGTAATTAATGCGGCTAGACATCTGAGATCCAACTGATGGCTCTCTTTCCATTTTTTTTTTATCTCGAGCGAGACATTCTCAACCTCCGATGTCTCGAAGAGACCATGTTTGTGATAAGCGCGCACGAGATTGAACGAACTTCTCGGTTTCAGTTTCGGCACGACAGAAAATCACGGTGTTTTTGAAGACTTCAACATGGATGGTGAAAGGTTCAAGCCCATTCTTGCTGCTATTAGGATTGAAAAATGACAGGAGTTCGCGGATTTCATTTCGATCACTTATGAGACCAACCGATTATAGATCGAACGAAGGATGCTCCATGTGTAAGATCCGAAATAGTGGTTCAAGCGGATAGTCAGGATGACGAGTGGCATTCTGCGCTGTGTAAATCAAACCGGAGTCCTTCGATACATTGCGTGCGGTATAGGGGGAGACCAAAGTGGAGGGCAACGTGGGACGGAAATAGTGGGTTCAGAAGCCTCTAGCCAATTGTACGAGGACAGGTAGCAGACATCAGTCACTGATGCTTCATCCGCTGTGCTCGGTAGATCTCTCCGTGAAATCTCGGTCAACTGCTTCAAAATCATGATGGAGGGTTTGTCTAGTCTTGTGGTATGGTTATACCTTGAATGTTGTTGTATTCGATCGTTAGCAACATCACTCTGGAGCATGAAGAAAAAAAAGATTTAGGCATTTTTTAGTTGCCCTTGACTTCTCGCTTGACACTAGATGGTCAGTCACAATCTTAGTAGGGAAGACAGATTACACACACATACTAAGGAGGCCTTCTTATCTGTAACCAATAGCATCTAGCTCAGATCAAAGGTCAGAGAGACCGATGCAAAAAATTGCAGCGTGGTTCAAATACGACCGGTCAGTCCGTGCAGCAAAGCGCAAAGTAGTCGAGCATAACCACTCGGTTTCAATAAGACGCCACGCAGGGAAATGGGTCTTACGCAGATAGTGCTTTCATTGGGAAGGCAAAAGCTGATCATATCTATATTTCGATGATCTTTGTTCGCTCACACCTACGGTTTAGAACACCATCGATTCGATCACTTTCCATTTTCATGTATATTTGACGTGTTAAAATACCTCGCAGAAGTTAGATTACTCTCTTTCGCGAATGAGCTGTCTATATGTTCTAAGCCTAACATGTGACCCACTGGTCGCCCTCCTCTGGATGAGCTACGGAAGGCCTTATTCGATTTGACATGTAATAGCTTCGCAACAGTTTTGAGACTTATTATGCCATTCGTTGGCATCCTTTCTGAAGCATCGTGCCCTGAAACTATAACATTACAATAATACTAGAAGCTTGATATCGCTCGCAAATTCGTCGTCACAGTCCTGCTGTAGTTCAATGCCTAAGAGAACCGTAGCAGGACTAGATCTAGAAGATTTTTGATCAGAACCTATGACGCGTACTTTAGTTTCCAAAGTATAACCTTCCAATAAATAAATTGAACCATGCGACTTCCACCATCGCTTTATGATTAAGCATGTTCATCATTGTCACCTGGCTCAATAACGTAGAAAAGGAACAACAGGAAAAAATTGTATACAAAACTCCCCTCATCCGATGATGGTCAGCCATCGAATGTTCTCGCCCCAGAGCTGTAAGCTTGATTCGTAGATCACATTTCCATCAATGCGCGGTCAACCTAGGACAACCCTGAGCTTGATTGGCCATGAAGCACTCAAAACCCCTCTTCTGAACACCATAGAAGTTTTTATGGACGATCTTTGAATACTATGAATTTTATTTTCCTACTCCACGAGTTGACCTCTGTAACTTGGTTTCAGTCATGGAGGATCAAAGACTACAGAATGAAGCGAACACTCCTTCCGGAGTCATCGCCGAGTATCTCTTGAGAGAAGTTCCAGAGTTTAGAAAATTATCTGAATTGCGACAACAGGTCAAATCTGAATCAGTACTTTCAAATAATACCATAAATTGACTAGTAATAGGGATGGAATAATCCAGAAGGCGACCGGTTCTTCGAAAATCAGCGTCAGGCTGCCGACCATGCGGATTACAAGACAGCTCAAAAATTTTATAAAATGATGAAAACCATTGCATATGATATGCATCAAGTGACTGGAATCTTTCACATGAAAAACGCCTCCCGGGATGGTTACTCTGTCCTAGACATGTGCATGGCACCGGGCGGGTTTCTGGCGATAGCCCTCAGCTGTAACCCTGAAGCCCAAGCAGTAGCATTCAGCTTACCGATAATAAATGGAGGGCACCAGGTTCTTTTACCCAAGCGTCCCAATGTTACTCTAAAGTTCTTCGATATAACAATGTTGGCAGAGGATATGGGACTGTCAAGTATTCCACACGAGCATCCGGATGCTGGAAATTTTCTTCCGAGCCAATTCGATCCAAGACAGTCCTTTGATCTTATAATATGTGATGGTCAAGTGCTTCGCAATCACGGCCGGGCTGACTATCGCGAACGTACAGAAGCAAGTAGATTATGTCTTACGCAACTGACAATCGCACTCAATCACCTCACTCCAGGAGGGACGATGATCGTACTTCTCCACAAAGTCGAGGCTCTAGCTACGGTACAGCTCTTGCAAACATTCGCTAAGTTTGCTACTGTGCAGTTATTTAAGCATACGAGATTTCACGCAAAACGATCCTCCTTCTACATGCTGGCAACCAATATCAGAAGTGATTCTGAGGATGCGAAGACGGCCATTGAAAGATGGAAATTACAGTGGAAGATTGCAACGTTCGGTACTGATAAGGATTATGGTGGAGAGATTCGTTTGGATATGTCAGATGTTGAGGTTCTTCTGAAGGAATTTGGCCCCCAGTTGATCAGCCTAGGACGCAGAATTTGGGAGATCCAAGCGAATGCCCTGGAGAACGCGCCATTCATAAGACGAAACTTGTCCTCATGAGGTGTTATATTGGCCACACATTTGGTGAGACATGCAGGCGGGCAGATGACAGCTTAGCCAGGATGGTATTTTGAGTGGAGGCATATTTTATTTGGTAATCTAGTGTCTTGACTTGGACGGAAATTCAAAATCAAAGTTAAGCCACGTTTTCAAAGGGTAGATAGTTGTAAAAAACCGAATCTTCCTTGAGCTAGAACAGATAAGCGACGTTTACATAGGCTAGAAACAAGAATCACTTCATCTATTTCTGTTACTAGATAATGGCTCAAGGCTAATACTCAAGAATAAAAATCTTCGCTTTCTAGTATACATAGTCTTGAAGGACTAATCGTATCTAGTCGCGGATCCGACCGGACTGTCAGTAGATGAAGTGATCTCTTGCGGAGAGCGCATACCCATCACTGAAGACTCAAATGACTCTCCCTTCTCTTCTTTGGCATTCAGGACTCTCTCAATGAGCTCTCTAGGCATTTCCGCTGCAGTATCTGATCATAGTTTGCATGGCCGTTGTAAACGACAGCTTGGTCATGGTTTCCGAACTCAATCGCATCGCCAATGATCTGACCGGGTTTCACACAAATTGGGATGGTCAAAATCTAGTCCAGCTCAACATTTGATTGTACTATCAAGCGAAGAAAATGCCACTTACCCAACGCTTCTTTAAGACGTCATCTTCGAGGAGACTATTCAGTCATTCTGGGTGCAACTTAATAATTGTCGAAGGAACCTGAATAGAGTCACCGATGGAACTGCTTCAGATGTTGACTGGTGCCCCAATAATTGAGAAGCAATTATCAAAATGTCAAGATACATGGTAGGCTTTCATTTTATCCTGGCTGGTGGAGGCTAGGCTATCCATTTTCTGCTTCAATAGGACAAAACGTACACAAGACAGAGGAGGTTCACCTGGGATCACTGACATTAATTATGTGTTACTTAAGATACACTGGCAACGCGGGCAATCACATGTTTGCTGTGTGAGATGCTCTTGAACTTGCAATCTGCGAGAACACACCTCAGCGATTCGGGCAAATCTAGACAGACCTAGTACGCGACCATTAGTTTTGTACGCAATATGGACCTAGGTTACTACTTTTAGAACATACCAAAGTGGAACACGAAGCTCTTCATATCTTGCTCTAAAATGGAAGGAAATGGTGCTCGCATATGGTAAATAAGTCGATATTCCGTATCAGAACATTATTTTTATGGTCGACTTCAAAAAGTGCAGCTTTGGCGATATCGAACATATCTTGATTGTATCCCTTTGTGAGGAACAGCATTGCTCTTGCATGTCGTTCAGGAGTGTTGAGTAGGCCTTCACAATTAGGATCTTCCCCTAAGTCTTTTAAAATGTTTCGTATACTGTCGGCCATTCTAGCTTCTCTATATGAGCTTGTGTGTTTATTCTGAGCTAATACATGTCACAGTTAGTGATTGAATGGACATGTAGTAATTCCAGCTCAAATATCTGCTTCGCTCTCATCGATCATTTCCACAAGAAAAATATTGACGTCAGTACTACACGAACTGAATATCGGCTTKTGTCATACTGTACTCTTGATGTGATTGTCGATATGACTTACAAGGATATCTGTGTTCAAGTTCGACATAGCTGGTGTAAATTTTCGGGCACGGTCCGAGCTCATGTTGGACTTTGCAGACTTCGCAGTAGTATACTAGTAGGATTGGATTGATATCCATTCAAAGTGCTCTGGAGTTATCGGCTTAATGAACAAATGCAAGCTCTATACCCCTTTTTCTTGCTACTTACTTATGCTATTTTCGTCCCTTCGTCTCTGCAGCATCTCGGGATAAACATGACGGTAAACAAATTATTTCCGTGATGAATATCTTATGATGTAAGTTACTTTAGCCGCCTGATCCTGTGCACCAGAGATCAACCAAAAGTTCTATCCTACTGGTAATTACGTATCTGTAACAAATTACTTTGCACAGTACGGCTATCTCGGAAAGGATGATTGCAGCCCCGATTTCTCTAATCAAACAGAGTGTGAACTAAAATGTATGTAAAAAAATCAACCCACACAGCGCTAGGTGGATTTTAATTTGACTAATGGAGAACCATACGGTACAGCCGGCATCCAACAGCCCTAATTAATTCACTTCCACGTCACACCACGTTATGTCCTCGATTTTATGGGAGATTTCTTACCATGGATGAAAATCGAGGCTACAGCCCCTACTTCGCATGAGATTTTTGCATGGTTCCACCAAGTATGCACTCAGTCCTATCGAACTAAAGCTGATTCTCCCGTTACATCAATTTCTTTATATTTGACTTCACGCCTGGAAGTGTGGATGAACTAAGAAAGTTCTTGTCATTTTGGCAAGCACTACAGCGGAACTGTTCTAATGCGACATTGGTCATGGAGTTTCTTTATATCTCAAAAAAAGACGTGCAAACGTTGATACCCAGTACAAATATTGCTTAGCAAGAGCAACCTGCCAGCTGCGCTTTACTTGTCGCAGGAAAGCCCCATTGACAGTTGCAGTAGTTGTTATTGCCTGCATCAAAGTTGAATTTATTAATCCAGCCTACTTTATGGTAAGAACAATCACTCCAGAGGTATGGAATTCATGTCGTAGAGTAAACAATATGCCTCGTACTATTTGTACTGTAAGAACTTACTCCTTCGCGAGATACAAGGAGCCAATCTGAATGGGTGAAGGGTTGATGCTGGCGATTCAAGGTGTCTGCGAGATGCCTTAGACATCAGGACCCTTGGCGCCAGCAACCAGACATTACTTCGTGAAGAATGGAGAACATGTAGACCGCTATCTATAGAGCTCAAACCTCTCCATGTCCTAGAAGGCGTCTTCAAGGCGTTTCCGTGGCGGCGTACCGCTTGTGTATATAGAGCGGAAGTCTTCGAAAGCTATCCACAAAGATCAAGCAATTATCTTCTAGAACAATCTTATACTCTTGTTCATCTGGCTCAGAAAACTTTCATATGTGCAAGCCTTAGTAACTGCTGCTATAAGTGTTCGGTAGTCTCATACCCACAATCGAACTATCGTTTAACTCGATCTTCACATGCACATTGGCATACAGCATAGTCAAAGCTGCAATCTAGGTCCTCACTATTACAAATTTGTAAAGTCAGCACATAGCAGTGAAAAGAAATGTATTAGTAATATAACTATAAAAGAATAGCACCCTGAAGCCACTTAGCACTCCTTAATAGGAGTCGGAGCAGCAGTGTTAATGTAAATTGGTCTGCAAGTGGTAAGAAAGATATTTCTCAGTGAGAAGGAGATGTCTTGTAGCTTTGATTCGAATTTCCTGATCTTTAAAGATCCAAGTTTAAGTCATCGAGAGTGTGCTCTAGTTAGCTATTTTTGTCTTTTCCTTCGGCACTAGGTCCTACCCCTCACTATTCACTTCCATACCTCTTCCCACCTTTCGAGGTCGAAAATAATGCATGTTCCTATTTAGATTAATATGATTGACTCATGTCATGCTGGGGAGTCGTACTGTATTGTAAATCGTACAAGGGTCCACACTTGGTCCACTTGGGTAACTACGTCGCAATCTCTAGTGAGCTAAAAGATATCCTTCCTGGTGAGGCTTGATTAATTTAACTCAAGTATGCAGTAACTTACACTACTGGTCGAGAGCGATATAGTACAATTACAATAATGTATGGTATTTTTAATTGTATCAGGGTTACCCGAATGACACTGGGATGTTAATGTAACTTCGTACTATTATTGGTAGTGGCTTGTTGCGGGGKCTAATACTCGCAGTTTATGAATTGTCCTAACTAAGACATCGTATGATGGGGAAGATTGGAATATCTGTTTCTACTCTCATTATTCTGAGATTGCAACTTATTCATATCCATTACTAAACACTACGCATAATGTTTCCGCGTCCCCGGCCCCCTCCTCTAGAGCCAAAGCCAACACTACCTCTACCAGCCAGCGATTACCACTGGAAGCTGCATGAGGATACTATCCAGCGTACCCTGGCCCACGCAGAAACAGAGAGCTTTCCGGCGCTGCGTTATGAATCGCATGACTTTGGGCTCCTCCTTATTGCCATTGACCCGGACACCGGCGACTCAGTGTTACATCGGGCTGCTGCCGTGGGCAATGTGAATTTTCTCAACAGTATCCATCCTATGTTTGGCAAGCAGCTCGGCTTCAGACCCCATGCAGAGCGGCTTTTTTAGGTGTTGATGGTGCACCAAAATTTGGCTGGCGACACGGCATTGCATGCTGCTGCACGTGCAGGCAATCTCAGGGGGGCTAAGGCCATCTATCGCCTGTTTCATGGCGATGAGCTCGATGTTGATAACGTGCGGCGCGGCTGAGACCCAGACTCGGGGGACTCGCCGGCAGAAGATTGGGAATGGGATGACTCGGGCGCTGTTATTCCATCACTTGTATTTGTTTGTACTAAGAATCATGCTGGCCGCGACGCTGCGGCAGAGGCACGTGCAGCCGGCCACGAAGATCTAGCAGCGTGGTTTGATAGCCTAGCACAAAGGCTTGATCTTGCAGATATGAGAACAGATGAAACCTACATGGAAGCGGCAAGGCAGGATGCCCTAGCAATTCATTATTATTACGATGAGAGCAAAAGGGAGGAGGGGACAGTTGACCGGTTGCCATCGAGGGAGGAGCGAGATTAGGCATGCAGCAGTTACTCCCACCTAGGCGCGTATCCGTTTCTTTGGAACATATATTTACATCCATTCTCGTGCACGGAACGATCTGGAATGGGGAGCTCCACAACTTCGCACACTGCTCATAGTAGACCTAGTGGATTAGTGTGCATTAGCGTTCTCCCATCACCTTTTGACTCTCATCTCCGTACAGTACGCAGTGCAAATTGATTGACTGACTGATTGATTGATTCATACACGCATCTAAGCCTAGTGGCCTGCGGCACCTTCTATTGGGCAGCGGGCTTACTGCCATACAAAGAAACGAGGTGCCAAGACTCCAGGCTTAAAGGCGTGATGCTTATCGTGTGAGCGCCGATAATGTGCAGCCAATTGGCTGTAGCCCTGCATCCCCACAGCGGGTGCTCAGAGTCATGTGCCCATGTCTTTAATATGTCGTTAGATAGGAACAACCTGCGTATATAGTAGACTTACCATGAAATAACAATCAATTAATCAAGGAATAGGTCACGGGTCGGCTGACTTACTTCGGGTCTCAGGTGACCAGCTTACGTGAGCTACCACGTCATGAACCCTACGGAATTTGGTCAGAGGAGAGGTTGATCCTAGGTAAATAAGACCTGAAGGCCCATCCTCAAAGTATTACATTGTTTAGGAGAGACAGATAAGGTGTCATAAAGTCTTAACTTCCTCTTATAAGAGCCTCCAACACCAAAAATTGCAATAAGCAGAAAGTAGCCCTTACGAAGATGGTTCAACTCGATTCCACTCCAGCGCTTGTAGTGGTCGACATGCAAAATGGCTTCTGCCACGAACAAGGTAGCTTCGCAAAGCTGGGCGCGCAAAGCGAACCAACAGCGATTGTTCCACATATCAATGAGCTGCGCTCCGCTTTCCGCACCGCTAATATGCCGGTCTTCTTCTTGAGGACAGGATACAACCCCAACTACTCTGACAGACGTCGCCGCGACCGTGGGGATCGTCTTGAACAATTACAAGGTCTTATACGAGGGTCTTGGGATGCCGATATCCTCGATGAGCTCACACCCCAACCCGGCGAGAATGTTGTCGAAAAAACGAGAAATTCTGGTTTCTTTCGTACATCGCTAGAAGATACTTTGAAGGAGCGCGGAGTCAATCATTTGATTCTTACAGGAGTGGGAACGGATGTATGTGTCGAGTCGACGGCAAGAGATGCCTATCAATTAGACTTTGCCGTCACTACTGTAAGTGATGCAACTGGGACATGCAACAGGCCAGACCATCTAGCCGCTCTACACGCCCTACGAACTTTCGGCGGCACGGCGTCGACGGCAGAAGTGATTAAAGCTTTGCAAAAGTTACAAGACTTCCACAATTAGAAAATATCATAGACGTTGGGAAACCGTCTGGATAGACACGTGCTTAGGACTAGTACTCCTTTGTCTGCCCTTAGTTCTTGAAATCATTAGAGGAATCTTCCATTCAGGAAGGATAGCAGTTAGTTAGATTTGATATAAGTTACCAGGTATCAATACTACTACTACTACTACTACTACTACACCATTCATTAAGATAGCCCCGCTATTTTTGGTTGAACTTGCCGAAAGTAGTTTAAACACCTTTGGATATACACTAACGTATTTTCTGTCTTTAGACTAGCCAGAATAAAGAGAGAAATCTAAGTGCATGTCTTTAAATTTATACTCATAGAACTGAAATCACTAGCGGAGCATAAAGTATATAACGCAAAAGGAAAGGTATAGGCCACAAAAGAGTCATTTTCTTAGGTTCGAGGCTTTTCTAGAAAGTGTGTTGTCTGTGCAGACAATGTCAGAAGCAGGATCCCAAGGACATGATTCTGCCTCCTAAGTCTCCTCATGGGTTTTGACATTAGTATAGTCACTTCCGTAGGAGCTAAAAACCAGAAATCCTGTCACACTTTCTCCTGGGCAAGGGAGAGAACTCTCCGATATTGTTATGATAGGTCCAAGGCTGAAAGATAAAGATATGACTAGCGGAAACCCCCAGATTTATTAGACGATCATGTTGCAAAAAAAAGCATATAAATCAGCATTATGACTGACGCCGAAGTTTTTCTTTGGGATCAAATTCCGTGATACTGTTCGCATCCAGACATTGTGTGCAGATACTGTATCCATAAAGCCACGTTTCACTATTTCCCAATCCTGAAAATGATTGTTGTCTATCAGAGAATGTAGCAATTCAGCTACCAGCAGGGTGTCTCTATGATCAAAGATAAGCGCCTTTTTATAAGCAGTACTACGTCCGGATTGGAATCAGCCTAGTCATGATTTAGATTCCATAGAGCATGGACAATATCAGGGCTGGACATGTGATCCGGGCCCAGTGTCTTTTTAACCAGCTGTAGTCAAGACGCAGTATAAAAGAAATCAAATAAAGGAAGCTACCTATCTATATGTTTCATTCTGACCCATCAATACCCGTAAATTCCAGACTCTAGTAGTTCTATACTTCTGATTCTTTTGACTGCAGTCTCTCCACTCTCTTCAGCCTCCAACGCATTCCCCACATCCACTCCATCACCATCAATGGAACGCAGGTCAGTGTAACCAATGCAAGAAACGTGAAGGAGGCACCCGATCCCAACGCCCCAATCATTGGTTCAATTCCGGCTACGCCAGCTGCACCTACCAAGCAGCGCGCAAGGTTGTTCACAGCGGTTGCGGAGGCTGCTTTGCCTGGGAACAGGTCGATGACCAGGGCAGAATTGATATTGAAAACAGCGGTTGCAGTATAAGCAACTGTTGGTTTTGTGTTAATCATGCTCTTATTAGAATCAAACAGAGAAAGAGTGAGAGGGAGAAACGTACTAAAAAATTGTAAAATCAATGGCACAGCAATGGAAGTCTTCAATGTCCAGCCGTAAGCCGAAGTGGCTACGATGAAGATTGCCACGATCCACCACATACTGCGCATTCGTGCCTTTTCAATAGGGAAATTGTTGCCACGGGTACTCTTGTCCAATTTCTTTCCCTTGCGGAGTCCATGTTCCTCTATGAATTGTTCTTCGACGGTACTATAGTCTTTATCCATGATTCGTCCCGTAATATATGAACCAAGAACGCAACCAAGACCTTCATAATTTTGTATGTTAGCTCCCTATTTTAGCAAACGAATACTGTATGAGCGGACTAGTAGCACTTACCATTAGGAATAAAGGCAAGACCTAGAAGCAGCTCGCTCAAGCCATAGTGTTCCTTGAATAAAGAAGTTGTACTAGAAGTGACCATACTCCAAACGGTGTATACAATAGCCCCGAAGACAAGACTGACAAAAACATCTTTCTCAAAGAGAAATTTGAGAGGTTCAATAATAAGGAAAATGGACACGTTTTGTAGTTTGAAGTTCGGATCGGAGTCTACCATATACTCGGGCTCTTTGCGAACTCTTGAGATAAGCGGTTGGTAGATACCTGTCAACCGAATTGTGCCATTGCCTGCAATGCTCCTCAAAGTCTCGGGGAGGAACACAATGATGAGGGCAAGAACGAGGGTGGAAAAGGTAAGAAGGAAGATAAAGATGGACCTGTTACGCACAGGATGATGTTAGTGCTCTGTGGCTTGTGGACTATTTTATGCCATACAATGCGAAAACCATATAATAATGAGGAATAAATGGGACTTACCTGAATCCGAAAGCACTTGCGAAGAGACCACCTAATACAGGACCAATAGATTGTCCTAACATCCGGACTATGTTAAGTTTAGAGACTGAGTATTACCAGAAGCAAGTAAGAAGGATGGAAACTTACTGCCTCCGTACAAGCCGATATACCCACCGCGTTCCGCTGGAGTGGAAATGTCTCCAATCACTCCGGCGCCTAAATAATGAGTACGTGCATTTCACAACATTCTTGGAAAAAGATAATTTTGTAGAAGAAAGGAGAAAGGAAAAAATGTACCTATACTGATCGTGGCTGAACTCCCAGCCGATTGGATGGCCCGGAAAATCATCAAGGCGGTAAAATTAGGAGAAAATGACAACCCAATATTAGCTACAATGTAGACAAGGAATGTCCCAATATAGATAGGTCGCCGGCCAATTGCGTCTGCAAATGCGCTCCAGAAGGAAGGAGATATGCCCTGAAGAATCATATAAGATGTGATTGTTAACGATACAAGGTTAATCGAAACTTTCAGGTCCTAGAATAAAGGCAGATAAGATCAGTTTAAAGTCTTGAGGAAGTCAATTGACACCTGTTAGTTAGAGTTGGGAGCTTCTCACCCTAGCAACAGCGTCCAGAGCAGGAAAGTAAATGTTGGAGGATAAAGGAGAGAAAAGGCCAGCGAGAGATATGAGAAAGACCAGCATTCGTTTCTGGGAGCCTGACAGGATATGAAATGGAGCTTCCGATTGCTTTCCTTGGAACTTGTCTTCAGGCTTGGCTGGTGTAAGTTCAGGAGGATTGGGCAATTCTTTGTCTTTCGATATAGAGATAGATCTCTCATTATCTTGCGAAATAGGCTGGAATGTGCGAGATGACTTTTGTGCTCCTGGACGAGTGTTGTCTGATTGGTTGTTATAGTCATAGAAATCGGAGCCAATATCCTGTGGAATACGGATAGCGAATACCTGGCCAGCAAAGGAGTAAACGCCATGTCCCAGATCTTGCCATCCTTCAAGAGTGGTAAATCGCCTTGAAGCTCTACGCACCCACGCATCAGATACCGTCGGCTTGTCTTCTTCAGCCATTGATGGAAAAATATAGAGGAAAACAAATTACCACCACAAAAGAGAAAAGAAAGAGGGAAATACAAAATGTTGAACCAGCAACACAAGATTGTCATGGTCACGATAATTTCAGTCCAAATCTCTATATAAGACACAAAGAAGAAAAAGCAGGGTCCTCTAAAAAATGCTTCATTGGTCTTTGTATCATCTCATTGAACCTCATATCATACAAACATGTGTCATATTTTCCTGCTACAAACCGAAGAATCCACTTCTTCTCGACGCGATAGAGGCTGTGTTACTGAACTCTACGTTTCCAAGTCGATCATTGTCTCAACTGCTGTTTTACAGAAGACTTCTTTGTGTGAAGATATCCGATGTAGGAAAATGCCCGGGCCTGAACGACTCGAAGGGGGATCCAGACTTTCCTCGAATTAACTCAATTCACAAATTAATGCTACAATATACACGACTGACGAGCATGGATTTTCACACCCGCCTAAGACTATAAGTGGAGAAAACATATCAAATTCTATCCAATGGCGGTAAAGTAGTGACATGTCCATCGTAAACAAGGCTTGGTCGGGGGCTGCGACAACAATCGGCAGTATAAGTATCGAAATAGACCTGAATCAAGGTTTGTATCGGGCTCTGGTGGCCTACACAGCTTGTCCAGATGTCGACATCGGTGGATTTAGTCGCGAAGACTAGAAGTCGAACTGCGATCTGTGAAAGATGATGAAAATCATGAAACGGTAACTAGGAATAAGGTTAACGGGTTCCCCCTTTAGCGTCTGCGGATAGCTAGTCAGATCCTTGGGATCTACGGTTCTGACACCTCGACCTGCCCAAATGAGGCATCTTGGTGAATTCTCTCACACTGCCAAGGCCTTTTTTTACCTTTTTCTGGTTGTCGTTAGCTTTCCGCTCGTTACACGGATGGGTTTGAAAGCCTAGCAACCTGAATTGTTCCCTATGCGATTTCCCGTTTAAGCAGATACGTACCAATCTTTTCTTTTTATTCTTTACAAATAAGAAGTGAACCAAGGGAAAGGCGCGATTGGAAGAACTTCATGGTGACGGGGGGCCGCAGATTCCTAGTATGAAGTTTAATTTACAACTTAATCGTATCCTCAGCCACATATTCAACCAACAAGAACCTTTATTTGCAAAGTAGCGTCCCTAGTAAGGAACAGATCCGGACAAGAAATGTTACAGAATAAGCCTATATCTAACTTACCTCCAGGATGGATTCGTATTTGCTGGGTTTGAACGATGTAGGACCGTATATATACATATATAATATCAAATAAAATAAAATAAAATGGATAACATTAATGGAAGGAAAAATCAGTTTTACTTATCAATTCCAAAGTTCTATCCCGAATATCATTACTTATTTTCTGCGTTCATATTCTTTACTCGAATTCAAATGATGTACTTCACTGGCCAGCCTAGAGAATTTTTATGTGTCATCCTAGCCTCATATATATGTATAAGCCTTTCATGCGCTTTCCCTTATCGCCATCAGCCAAGGCAGCCAGGTTCTCTCGTGGGTCGTTCTACATCAAACACGACGACAACGACAACTAGCAACTCTTCCAACGCGGAAGATGACTTGGCAAACTTTGGGGATACTATCCAGGTCCTTGGACTGGTAGGAGGACTTCAAACGTCCATATTCATCTCCAGACTAATCCATGTGCTCATTTGAATATAGATGGAGAGGACCGATCAGGATTTTGTCGACGGATTAGCACTTGATCTCTTCTCCCCAAAAAACCGTACGGTTGTGGTTACGCAAAACTTCAACCCTCTGCCTGGCCACTTCGTCACTGGCAGCACGGGCGAAGGGTTCGTTGCTTTATCCAATTACTCATGGGTTGTGACTATGAATGAAACTGCCAACGATCTTATTGCCAAAATCGAGCTCCCATTTGACCCAGTTGTCCTTACACAGAAGGGAATCGATCAAGGAAATACCTATGTGGGACAATTGTCTTCGGATGGAAAATCATGGGTTGTTACTGAGACCCAACGAAACGTACATGTGTATGTCTATGCCTTTATTCCTTTTCCTTTCGACATGCGATGCGCTTAGTTGCAAAAGAGGCTAACATGGGACTAGATCTGAAAATAAAGCTCGAATAATAAAAATGACCTCTCTAGATGGTGAGTTCATACTACTTGGACGGCAAAGTGTCGACATCACCAATATCTTCATTCAATACGGTCAAGGAGCAACCCGAACGGTAAATGTGACAGGGGGAGCTGGTATCCAGGAAGCAGAGTTTATTGATGGCTTGCGATTCACAATTCTATCAGATGATGCATTCACAATGAATGTTGATCTGAAAAATGACATTTCGTCAGGGAACCTTCCTGCGAATGCTGCATCTCTCAGTAAGTCTCTCCTCTAAATCTTACGATAGAAAATTTCTTGCATTTTTTGACTTACGTCTTTATTGTCAAAATATAGACTCCTTTTCATGGGTTATCAATACGAGTATTCCCACTCGGACACTCAAAGGTGCAGACATCTTAGTCCCAGGTAGGTGCCTTTCTTATCTTAGAGGCGTTTTTATGTATAATATTTGCGTGGCAATTTTGACCACAATTTTCAAACTCTCTTTTCGCTAACTTCTTTTCCCTACTCTAGTCAATCTAGCCTTACTTCCGAATGCCAACAACGATAAACTAGCGTCTTTGAGTAGTACAAGGCGACTCGTCGTAGGAAAGAGGGAATTGAACGCCACTTCAAGTCAGTTTACTCCTATTGCTGGAGTACAGCAATGGACAGAGGGTGATCGAATTAGGGTGTCTAGTCTCTCACAACTGGATGGAGAGTATGTCGTCCTCGTTGAAGATGTAGCACAGTAAATAGAGTTGGTTTCCCTTACTGAGATCGATGATTCTATGTTCTCAACGATTCTTACTTTCATTTACGTAGGTAGATAAGATGTACGTCTAAATTATGATCATCAGATCGTTGACTGTCAACAAAGGTGAAACTGAACCAATCTATATTCGCTCACACGCGTATAGGTAATCTTTATATCTCTCCTCGTTGGAACACAGGTTTTATATCCTCTTCACCTATGACTCTTATATTGCCACTATCCCACTGGAATCTTAGGGGCTCCATATAGTATGGACTTTTTTAATCCAGGTGGCAAGTAATTACTAACATGAACCCTCCGCGAAATTCAGTGTCAGGAACTAATACATTTGGTTCGACGCCGGCAAGCAACAATCGTATAGATAGACGGAACTATAGCCAGGAGCAACTAATTTTCCGCCGTGAATACTATGGTCACGACATCCAACTGAAAGACTGTGCCTCAACCAGGGCGGCAATGCTTGTCCTCTCTGTACCATTAATAGTAGCAGTCGCTGCCAGTGATTCATAATGCCAAAACACTCTCTCACTGTCGTTTATCTCGAGTAGGGAAGAGTGCGAATTTGCTAGATGAATAGGAGAGTAGAAGTTAGAGGTGTGCAGTCTTCTGGTCCAGCTTCTGCTTTTCTCTGGAGCTCGGCGAACTTCTTTCCTGACCCTGGAAAGGCTTTCTGATTGATTCCATTTACCGTGCCTTCCAATGTCGTTCAAGGGGATGCTTTCGCAAAACTTGACGAAAGATGGCTTGTGCAACATATGCATGGCTACCTTGAGAATCCAAGAATCGAGCCAATTCTGTGGCGCAATTGACGAAATAAGTCGCCCGGTGATTTCACGATAATGACTCCCATCCCTGCGACGTGAAACGCCTGTGTGATGAAACCTCGTCCAGGTGGCTACACTTCGAAGTACCCTGGTCATCACTTCGCAGACGAAAAATCAATAAAGTTTAGCTTCAAATAATGCCCATTCATTATCTTTATTGCATTCCTTTTCTAATTGAAATAACATAGTGATGGTGTTGTCAGATACAGCCTGGCGCTGATCCACATTGAACCTTCTTAACACAACAATGATGCCAAGATGATCTCTACAAACATCTCAAATGTATGACAATGTAATATTTATAAACATTGCGTCAGCCGAACTGCCTAGGTTTCAATGTAAAATCATTTACCCCGTCTAACAGTACAATGATTGATAATGTGGGGGATTCTTGGCGATGAAAGCTACATGGCGTGAAATTACAGCGTCGCGCAATATCGAAGAATTAAAACAGCTATGTAACATCGAGTATGAACTTCACTACTGCCACTGGGGAAGCCAGAATTGCATTCAGATCACCTTGATACGGAAATGGCCAAAGTATTTAATGATTGAAACGCTATGATATGACGGGATAGCCCTATATTTATGGGGTTAAATGCTAGGTACTAGATACATGTAATGCATTGAATTGTTTGGTCTGGATTTACATGACCACAACCCATCTATCTACGCCTTCCATGGTTGTTTTTGAAAATCAGAAAGAATACCCATGCTCCTCAGCATGTCATGATGGTCAGGTCTAAGCACCTTGCATATTTCTAGTGCCCGACGATGCATCACTTCCGCTTCTTCATATTTCGCTTGCCTGGAGAGCACAGATCCTAGCATCTTCTCACATGGTTCTAGTGCCCATTGATGTATCGCTTCTGCCTCTTTGTAGTTCCCTTGACTAAGTACGGTTTAGCGCCGAGTCGGCCTCTCAGAAGGAGAATGAGTTAGTTGCTGTGCCGTGGGTGGGCTCAGGGACGAAGTTTATCTCCCTGTGCCCTGAAACGACCAAAGGGAGTGAAAGGGATTAGAMCCCCGCCCGCGAGCCCCGCCCACCACGATCCGCTGCGATCCATAGATATCGCGCCAAGCCTCGTGCTTATTGGTCGACTGTCGGACCCTGTCACGTGGTCCACGTGATGAGGGTTGGATCTCCAACTCTATCCACACGATTGCACTACTCAACTTAGTAAGGTTGCTCTCCATTTTCAGAGCCAGAGCATGCGAATGCACGCGCTATTTGTTGCGTGATATCATGTGGAGCAGTATCACATGACCCATCATTCTCTGTAGCGCGTGGCAGTGCGTTAGAAAGTGAGCTTCCACGGAGAACTGCAAATCACTTCTTTTCCCGCCAGATTTCAGCCTCAGTCATGTCTTGGATCAAAGAAGCGCAGAAGGAGATGGCAACTTCTGTTGACAGTCTCTCCAAGCATAAGAAATCTGACACGATGCCAACTTATCCAAGCAGACCAAATCCGCCGCCTCAAACGCAATTCAATAACCCTAAAGCCCAGATACAGTCCGAAGATGAACTCCATTCGTCCGAAATCGTTTCTTCTGTACTCCCCACTCCCCCAACAAGCCCTCAAAGCTCGTCGAATTTGACGCTCTCTGAGCAGAAGCCAGTGGAAAGCCAACATCCTATGGCTGCCGCCTCAGACTTGAAGAAATCCCTGGGTCTGGGTGAATTCCGCTGCGGATGTCATGCACAAGAACGGCGCTGTCGAATTCGCATACCAACAGCAAATAAAAACTTGATCAATCCCCATATCGAGTCGATGTTAACCCTTACACGATCGTCGCCGAAACTCGAAGCTGACTTGAATAAATTGTTCGAGCTTGTACATTGTCATCATCACGGAGATCAAAAAGGTACAAGGCTTGAGGAATGGAAAATAGTCTTTCCCATTGGAAATGCCGGTATCAAACCAGTCGTGTCAATTGAAAAACAGATCATAAAAGTTTTTGGTCAACTTTCCGCTCGGTGTATATGGATATCGCTGGAGGGTGAGCTTTGTAAAAATAGTATTGGTGGCCAAAGTGTTCAGAATTGTGCCAAAACGATTGATGAGATCGCCAAGTCAGAAGTCTATCTTAAAGATATCTATCTCGATTATCTCCTCAAGGTTCTTGAAACGAATATGTATTGTCCTGACCACATTGGTAGCCCGCAATTCAAAAGGGTGGTGCTGTGGAAGTCGAAAGTGATTGAGATCCGCGAAACGGCTACTTTAGAGTTGATGCAGCCCATTGAAAATGACTTGCCGGTTGGGTTCATAACTCATCAAGTTCCAAATACTCCAGAGACCGGGGGTCTTTCGACTAAGAAAATTAATAAGCTCACCTTGCCCATTCGAGGGTTGTCGACGCGGAAAAACTTGCAATCTTGGTCCTCAAAATTGAATCAAGATCCGGTCACATTTTGGCCAAAAGCTAATGACACCTCCCCTTTCCACGTCATCGTGATGGGAAATGGACTTCCTGGTTACGACCGTGTCCAAAGCAAACTTCAACAGCCTTTGGGAGGCAGAGACCTTGAGGATGGATATGTGTATCTGTATCAGGTTGAAGGAAATGAAAGGTTTGTTAAAATTGGATGGACTGCTGATTCGGTTAAAGTACGCCACGAGAAGTGGGCCTTTGATTGCAACAGGAACACGACGACCCTTTATCCCACTCTCGAGTCTGCCACCAGGGTTCCGAATGCTCGGCGTGTCGAGGCGCTGTGTCACGAAGAGCTATACCATTGTAGAATCACAATATCTTGCAAGGGCTGTTTGAAGAAGCATACTGAATGGTTTGAGACTTCTCCTACTGAAGCCATCGCAGTCATTAAAAAGTGGTCAAATTGGATAACAACACGTCCATATCAGCTCCTTCAGCTGGAACCTAAAGTGAAATTGGCACTAAAAGAAAAGGAGATGCGGCGAGTGAGCGATATCGGCCGGTTTATGAATGAGATATCAGTACCCGTCACACCAACAGTGACTTCAGAACTTAAAATCGAGAAAGTGGGAGATACGCTTTCCTGACCTTCGAACTCCGGTCCACATACATGAATCTTCCCTACATCAAAAAGTATGATTGACAACCTTCGTGCGAAACTCAAAATGTAACGTACTTCCTCATGCAATGTATTTTCTAGAATATTTGGACAGAACTTACAGGTGTAAGATGTAGACGATCCAAACATGAAATTAGGATCAACCTGAGACTTTTCTTTCCATCGTTTCAGGGCTTCTGCGTGCGCCTGCACGCATTACCAGTTTCCGAAGGATGCTGTAGACCCTGAACGCTAGGTGACCTAGGCAACAACGTGCTTCCAAAAACACAGGTTTAGATGAAAACTGCAATGAAAAGATTCGCCTGGTCAAGCTACCCAGATGAACGCACCAACATTTGCCCATGAAATCCGTCAGGCCCCTTCATTCTGGCTCATGCCCGCTTACTTTAGTTGGCTTTGTTTGACTCCCTCCTCTCCGAGGGTTTACGGTTGACAATCGCAGTCAAGAAGAACGCTATCTACGTTGAATCATATACACACCATTGCCATGCTCAACAGAGCACAAACTACATGCAATTATTAAATACTCCGCCTTTAACAGGTGAAATTAAATTATCGTTCAGTGAATTTACCCTTCGCTAAGAAGATGAACATACGTTTCGACGGAATCTGCTAAGTTTGCCCCTGGTGAAGCTGTTTCAAAAGAACCTCAATAAAAGCCAGTCCAGGATGATTCCGGTCTTAATCCAGCATATCAGGTTCCGGATTCCACTTACGACCTGTAATTCACGTAATTGTAGACCCTACCCCTGTATCCATGTAAAAGCTAAATAGCTTCATAATCTCGGAGTAAGTTAATTCTTCCGGGGAGCCAGTTAAGTCGCTAATCTTAGTGCAGCGTGTAGCCAATCCTTTGAGGGCACTAAGAATCATTCCGTTCACTTGTGCAGTACATGAATCCCTGCTGTATTTTTGAACGCTTACTCCGCGAAACGTGCGTCTGGGCTCCGCCGCGAACTAAATGCAGAATTACCCTAGTGGAACCTAGGGTTGCAGTGTGCCATTGCAGCCATTCTCGTTCAAAATTTGTCTGTGGAAATTGGAGAATGAAAATGTGCTCCGGATCGTCTTGGTGCAAAGACAAAGGTGTCATTAAAATATCTTGTAGATCACTTCATGGTCTGGAGATATTATGGTGATTTATCGGGGCCCAGTTCACTCTTTCCAACATAGAGTATAGACGTGGTTGGCTGATACAACATTCGTTCGGGTGTCTTTAAATTCATGGCCGAAACTAAGTGGGTTTCGCTAAGTACAAAATTCAATACAAGCTGTACTATTTCAAGCAGAACGATTGATAACACTGTGCTAACTTCGAGTACGTAACTCTCATTCAACGCTAGGACCATTGTCAAAGGCAATGAGTCATTTTCTGTATTTAAGTCTGCATATACCGTACGTTTTTTTGAACGCGAAAACATCGCAATATATTTATCGCTTACGGGAAAGGGTTAGTGAGGCATCTGCATACAGTAGATAGTGTTAGTACGCCTATCGGAAAGGTTACATGATGCCACGACTGCTACGTTTGACCTCGGTGATTTCCCTAGTACGTTTTTATCTTAATGTAAATACGAACCATGTAATACTATGTATAGTACTTTATGAGGAGACCGCCTACTTGAACAAGAAAAGCCTCAATATAATTAAGAACGATATCAGCAAGTCATTGGCTTTTCAAAAGTACGGCAGGATTACGTGACTCCTGTATAACAGTAAAATAAAAACGTACTAGGATTATTACCGGGATCAAGCCAGGGTAGAGAGCGGGCTTAAAAGAAGTGCTATACATAACAAGCTTGGTCAGGGCGCGGTATATAATGGTCGTGGATCCTGAAACCATTGTTGTCGCTTCTGAACAGTCTCCCGGAAACGACCCAGCCACATATGCACGTAATCGAAAAAGCAAATACACATTTGCAAATCTCCCTCCCCTGAAAGCATGAAGGTTGAAAAATTTCGCATCGCCATCATTGGCTCTGGGCCAATTGGAAAGTTACTTGCGTGCTCTGCAGCGCCACATCCGCGTATCCAGTTTACGCAGTATGAGGCGGATGTCCTGCCCCTACGTCCATCATTTGGATACGGTATTGGACCCCAAACATTCCATGCCGCCAAAGTACTCAACCCAGAGCTTGCTCAAAGGTTCTACGACGAGTCCTTGAATGATGACATCTGGATGCACTGGTGGCACGGTGGCGAAGAGGATAAACTGATCGCTGATGTCAGGATGCCAGAGGGAAAAGTGTTTGGTAGACTAGGCCGGGAGGAGCTTATGGATCTTCTGGATGATAGCTTACCAGAAGGCTTGAGTAAGAATGATATTCAGTACGGCAAACGTCTAGTTGATGTGCGTAAGATCGGGCCGCAGCAACTGGAGCTTGTTTTCCAGGACGGCTCTAAAGACTTTGCCAATGCTGTGTGGGCTGCTGACGGGGTGAACTCATTCACCCGCAAAGTCGTACAAGGTGAGGCCTATCGACCAGCAAGTTATACCGGTATGCTTGGATACCGCGGAAAGGTGGATGCCAGCAAGGTAGCCAAATTAGTCGGAGAGTCGTTTGCAAAGGACACCTACATGTTCATAGGAGTCAAGGGATGGCATGTACTTATATTCCCGATCGAACACGGCAAATTTGTCAACATAGCGGCATTCTCTAAGGAGCCTGAGGAACAGCGGTACACGCGCGAGGAAAAAGTGACTTTAGAACAGATACTGAGCCATTATCCGGGGCGAAATGCCAAAGTGGATACTCTGCTAAAGGTAAGCAGGAAGATGACAGTCCTCCCACGGTTAAGATGCGTATGGCTAACAAGTTGCAGCTTTTGCACAGTGACACCCGAGGTGGCTGTGCGCGTCTCAATATCACGCACCTGGGCAAGCTTGAGACACTTTTCAACCCAGAGCTTGGCATAACTCTCTTCGGCGATGCAGCAAATGCCATGACTCCACACATGGCAGGATCTATGTCGTGCGGCTTCATTGGATGTACGACATTTTTGCACGAGGAATGGAATCGGTGTATCCGGTCAGGTTTGCTTCCTGTAGACGCCTCGAATGTTCAGATCGCAGACGCCCTGGTCGAAGCTTCACAGGCCTATGAGGAGAAGCACCTTCCCCTAGCTCAGAAGCTTTCTGACCAGTCTGCCGAGCAGGGCCCCATGTGGAGTGGCGGGRTTACGGACGTGCAGTTACTCTCAGAGCGCCCCCTATTCCTTTGGAGTTCAGCAGATGACAAGCATTGAGAAATATCGTTCCAGGATATGTTGGATGGAAACAGGTGGTGAAATCTAGAAGTGGAGAATATAAACACAATAAATCTTTTGAAATTTCGGGGATGCGCATTTTGAGCATTGCGGCTTGACTTCGTCGCATTTTTGCCTTCGTAATCGGCCGCTCCAACAGCCGTAACAACTCCTGAGCATGAGATATGCCAGTTATTTGGAGGTTTAAGTTTTATCGTTACTCTGATCGTGAGCAAAGATGATGATAAAATCACTGAGCCTGATCTGGAATTATCCCTTCGTAAGAGTTTCCCCCGACTGACTAATCACAGTCAATTTGACAAGGCATCATCCACAACTATGTTGGGGTTGCAGGAAACCCTGACCCTTACAATTTCTCTGTCTGGTATGGTTAGACCTAGTCACAAATTTCAATGTCAATATCTACGGAAGGACAAAGATAAAAGTCAATAACAAAGCCTGGTATAGCTCGTCATCAATAATGGTTCGGCAGAGAAATTGAACTCCAACTATAATACAGGACATGGGCAGGAATTCCCATTGTAGCAAACTAGGGCATGCGTCATTGCCTCGTATGCGGCAAAAATTCATGTTCTTCGGTTAAATTCATTGATATGTTTCAGGAATTTAGAAAGCCATGTTGAATCAATGAAAGTATCCCCTTGCGAAATTAGTGAACATGAGTTACTTGCCTTTCTCATCTATCTATCCTATTCCGAGCTGGCCATATCTCCAACAGCTAATTTACATAATCTATTCATATAAAAAGGGTGAAAATAAACCACCAACAAGGTACAATATCAACTTAGTGCTTTAGTACGGCATTCTTATCCTCCTCCGATTCGACGTCACTCACGACCACATCAACATCAGTTCGAACCTTAATGACACTAGGCGAGTCAGTATCCTTCTTGATGATATGCTCCTGGGAATTCATGCTGCCTTCCCTGTCATCTCCGCTAATGTCGGTGTATAGCCCTTGGGAACGCCGTTTGCGATCCACGCTGCGCAAGTTCGACATATTCATGTGTCCACTAGCAGTGGTATTCTCACCACGACTGAGTCCACTCTCACCGCGACTTCCATGATATGAGCGGCCTAGAACGCGAACAAAGAAGAAAGCAATTGCTTCCTCGATCGTCTTGAGCAATGTGGGGACACATGCAGCAATACAGGCAAAGTCGACATCGATCTGGGACACAATGAGGCCACTTTGGACGCCGTCTGTGAAGATTAAGAACGAGTAAGTCAGTAAATCATTTGTTAAAAATGATTACAAGAAAAAAGGTGTGCTTACATGTCAAGTCATTAAAAGCGAGGGCTGATCGATATAGACCGTAAATTCGTACGGCACCGAGAGCAGTTCCACTAAACGATGATACTCAGCATTCGATCACTTTGACGGTAGCTATTAGCACTTACCCAACTGCTAGAAGACCCATGACGGTTGCAATAACATATTTGTGTCTGTATTGTATACTGATTTTGCCGTTAGTAACCCGTTCATCTCGAACCCCTATGTAGCCTCAACACTTACGAAGAAAACAACCACCATGGTAAAAAAATCATGACCATTGAAGCGGAAGTGTTGATTGCTGCATGGGAGAACCAGAATGGCGGCAGTGTAAAGCACTGGTCCTGGGGGCGAGCCTTGTCCCAGTTGCTTTCAAAAGACGTTCCGCACTGGGAAATGGTAGCCACAGAGGTGGCCACGCAGTAGAGGGCGATATAGACGATGAAGCATTTACAGAACAAGTTGAACCCACGCATCGTGCTCATTTATATGGCAAGGAGAAAAAGTAGTGTTGCAATTTTCGCTATACCGGACACGAATTTATACAGGACCTGATAGATGTAGAACATCTCCATAACCATATGGATCTGAGTGGGACTCAGTTCTTTGGTATGTAGGCCTTCGCCTCAGTGTACCATGGTGTAACAGATAGCGGTCAATGCAACAGCGATGCTCTGCAAAGAGTCATATTAGCGTGGCAACCCAATGTATAAATGATGTTTTCGATATCGCAACATACATAGGAGATGGCAATGGCAATGTCCGAGAGCATAATCCAAAAGCGGGACTCGCCATAATGAGTGTCTGTCGAGCTTGAGAGCATTCTATATCGATATCTTCCCCAGAGTCGTGCAAAAACTGCAAGGGTCATAGGCACCAGCACGACAGAGACTGCCGCTTCGAGGGCATGACCGTGCGGGTTAGGAAGCGAGGGCGAGGGAGTTGAAGTGTTCACGCTTGAAGACTCGACTCGCAAACTACACAAGAGCAGAACAAAGCCAAAGGGGTTGAATCAGGGTTGAAATAATCCATCAGCCTCGCTTTCCTTCTCCTGAAAACGAGACAAATATGATTTACGTATCATTGCAATCGGGGCAGGGGTTGATGTCGAGATTCCAACAAAGAAAAGAACACCAACAGAAGCACACTGAGAATAATGCAGTACCTACTCCGTGTTGGTACAGGGTATGGTGCATTTTCTTTGGCCAAGTCAGACCCCTGCGTAAAAATCAAAAATAATGGCGATCAGCGTCTCCTCGGTCAACAACCCCATACGTCGTCCGCGTAGATTAAAATGTCGGTTGGAGGCGAATCCGTACGGACAACCTGGTATAATAACGTCATACGGCTAAAAGAAATAATACCTAAATCATACGTTAGCACGGGTCTGCGGATCGAATAGGACCCTGGCGATCTAGTCAGAACCCTGTTACTAGCGTAGACGCCGTCGAATAACCTGATACCCGTCACGTCGCTGCCCCACCCTGCGGTTGGGAGTCAGCCCGGGCTCAAATGCCACCCGGGCTCAAATGCCAAAATCTTCAAAATCTCAACCCGTCATTTATAAACGTCAAAACCACAGCCAATATGACACCTAACGTGTATAAAGAAGAGGAAATATTGATTGCCAAGATCCTCAGCGCGTACTGCGATAAAAAAAAGCCGAACTTTAGCAAATTGGAGCGTAATTATGGGGTATCTCACCAGAAGCTCTCCCGTGCGTGGAACAACCTACCCTCTCGCTCAACACGCGCACCTACGAATCGCCTATTATCTCCAGATCAAGAAAAGGCGCTTTTTATGTGGCTTAAATATCTAGATAATATAGATGCACCTCCAACAAACACACAACTCGAGGAAAGTGCGAATTATTTACTCAGTAAAGGTTTTACTGGTTCTGGAGAGCCTCCTCACGCCAGAAAGAATTGGATATACGATTTTCTTGACCACCTGCCAGAACAGTATGTCAGAATAGTTCAAATACCTTAGAAAAGAGAGCGTACGGCCTCAGAGCACTATGATAAGATTGAACGCTGGTTTATCAATATGGAGGCCCTCTTTATACGCCCTCAAAATATGTGGAACTTCGATGAGACCGGCTTCATTGTTGAAAAAGGAAAACCCGAGGCGGTGATAACGGCGTATCCAAAGGCTTCAAAATCGGTGTCAAGTTTATCCTCGCGAGAATCGATTACTATTGTTGAAGCTATAAGCGCCGAAGGAAAGATTATACCACCTTTATTGATTCCAAAAGGCCAGGTGCACTTGGAGGAATGGTATAAGCATATAAAAGAAGAGGATTGGCTAGTTGCACCTGTGTCAAATAGATTTATCACAGATGAGATCACATTTGAATAGCTTCAACATTTTCAACATTATTCGAAGCCTGAAAAGCACTGGCAATGGTGCCTACTTTTTATAGATAGTCATATAACTCATATAACTATAGAATTTGTTAAATATTGTAAAGAGCACCATATTCGCTTGTACTGTTTTCCTGCTTATTCTACGCATTTTATGCAGCCACTAGATAGAGTGTCTTTTTAGTAATATAAGCATATCTATAGGAGAGTTGTGAATAATATTACGCGCCTAGGTGGTTTTGACTTTAATAAAAATGACTTTTTTGAAAAGTTATATGATATCTAGATAAAAACGTTTATAATGCGAACGATTTGCCATAGTTAGAAAGAATAAGGCCTTTAGCCGTACAATCCCTGGATTATACTGGATAAAATGCCTTCACCGGATGAAGCATTTGAAGCAATGGTTACTAAGGGAGATATAATAAATATTTATAGCCAGGCAGATGATACTATTCCTAGCTCATCTACGGTAAAATCAATTTCTCCACTATCAACTGCTGTAAAGCTTCATCATTATATCAATAAGATTGAAAAATCAATTGATAATATAAAGGATATATTGGACAGTGCGAGCCCAGGTCTTACAAAGCATATAAAAATGATCAACCGAGGCAGCCTCACTTTGGCTGAATTAGGTGATCTTCACCGTGAGAGCTTCACCAAGGTTCGCGACACCGCAAAACGTAAAAATATAAAAACGACTAAACGCCAGATTAAAGCGAGCGGTGCGCTTTACGTACGAGATGCGAATCGCCTCATAAAACGCCGCCATGATGGAGATCTATTGAGGATTCATAAAAGTCATGTCCTTGGTGTGGAGGAGCCGGCGGAACCGGAGGCCCCAACAGAGCCCCAAAATCTTGGTTTTTTTATCGATACTCAGGGTAATAGGTAAACGGAGCTTATATTTACTACTCGTCTAGTTTTTATATGCACAATATATGGCGTTGGTGGACTAAATTCTATTTAACACAATGTAGTCAATATTTTTGGCATTTGAGCCCGGGCTGACTCCCAACCGCAGGGTGGGGCAGCGACGTGACGGGTATAGCCGTTTTATTCTTAATATACTCTTAATATACTCTTAATATACTCTTAATATACTAGTATTACTAGTTTGTACAGTGGAAATTTTGAATAGCCGGCGATGCCTTCCGCTGAGTCTTCCTGGTAATTATGTTTGCAGCCATTCATTTACTCAAGATTAGGGATGGCGATTTACCATATCTAACAAAACTAATGGTAAACAGGTCTTTACAAACCGTAATTTAAGAAAGATTGTAAATTACAGATAAATAAAGCTATTCCATATAGGGATATAAGCTAAGCCTAATGTGAAAGTCCTCCCTCCAACGACCCTTCTGATGCTCCAATGGGCAAAAGGTACGTTATCGAAATATGAATCTTTGAATAATACACCTTCCGGTCCCTTCTGCATCAAGCACGAGGCTGTACCAACAGGAACATGGCCAGCACAACCTCAAGCGAGATAGCTGAATGATCAACTTTATATTCTCGAAGATTTTGTTGGTCACAAAATACCACCCTTTAATAGTGTTGCAACTGACACCCGCATTTCAATGAGGTCTCTATGGCTGGAATTCGGTCATTTAGAGAGGTTCAAATACACATTCTTTGTACCATGCGACTCACATGGCTTGCAGCTCTTGATCAAAGATATCATTAATCTCCATCCGTTCAGCAATAGAATGAAGGGTGCTAATGGTTTATTTCACATTTCCGTGCAGCTAACAAACAGCTAGCATTATTGCAACACTATCAGCAAGCGTCCTATGGGTAGGAGTACACTCTTAATCTAGCCTTTGAGACTCGATGGGGAACACAATACAATAAAGCGTTCTAAGGATGCTCTGGTGGCATTTGCTCGAGATAGTAATAATGAATGTCATCCAGATAATCTTGAGACTATTTAATGAATACCCCTTCTGGGTGGGTGTTGCTGAGCTGCTTCATATCCTCGATCCAATACACAATGCTTAAGTCGCATCTGAAACCCTCAAATGCTGATTATACTTATCTGGCTTTACTGGACTCGCGATGCGATTGTTCGAGACACCAGCAAACTCCATACCGTCGGAACGAGCATTCTCAACGATGAATCTTACGCACACCCGCTACCGGAACCGATTGAAGGTCAAAAAGATTGGAAAGATATACTATATCTATATTAATTGTAGAATCTTATATTGAAAGAAGATGGAAAGGTGGGTTGATTAACTAAATGATGAGGATGCCTTTGAGCTTGAAAAATCTTTACTAATAATCATTGGAGAAAACGAGAATGATGAATATAGTAGTCCTAAACCTCTCAAGAGAAAACGGTAGATATGAATGGAGATTATTGTGAACTGAACAATTAATGGCATACTGCTGCACCTTATCTTTTCCTGAAAAATATGTAATTTCGAGCTCCTGTAAATTAAGCTCAGTAAGTTACGTATAAATTTTACGGTCAAGTTACCGGTAAACTATGCCGGTAAGTTTACCGTCAATTTACAGCGCACATCCCTACTCAAGATGTAGTAGCTAGTGGGTACTGTGCAATGCAGACATACATAGTATGAATGTTGCGTGGCTTGCCCTAAAAGGTCCCTAGTGAGGTATAATAACAACCTGCAACATCTGTGCCGTAGGCAATATGTTGGTATCAATATATCATGCACAGCAAGTGCATCATGCCCATGTCTTTTCCTATTTGCCCCTAGCCACACCCCTCACCTTCGAACAACACACCGCTCGCCCTCTCATTTTCTTTCAATACTCTTTCTTTCTTTTATTTGGGTCGATTCTTTTTTTCTTCTTTTGGTTAGAAGAAACCCAAAATCGTACCTGTCATCCGTCGCTGTCCAACACCCTACGGCAAACATGACTTTGACAGACGCGGAGAAGACTGCCGTTGTAGGTTCCAATGATGGCAGCGTGGCATCTGAGCTGCGTACAGTCGACGAAGTCAGAGACCTTTTCAAGGAGCGCTTGTGTCTAAAGCTAGATCTTCACATCCTGGTGCCGATGTTATTCCTTAATATTCTATCGCTCATGGGCCGGACAAACATCGGCGCTGCCCTCATCCAGGGGTTGCCAGCTGACCTGCACCTCACTGCGATGCGCGTTTTTCTGGCCACCACTATGCCGCTCGTTATGCTTATTCTCTTCGAAGTTCCTAGCAATCTTCTAATGAAATGGCTGGAGGTGAAGTTTAACCTCAGCTATTTGCGCTACCTCAGTTTGATCACCGTTTGTTTAGGTAAGGAAGTCGAATCTATTCTACGTAACATTCACACCCGTTTAGAATTGCACTAACAAGTTTAAAGGTATTGTGACTCTAGGTCAGGCATTCGACAAGAGTTACAGTGCGCTCCTGGCAACGCGATTCCTCGTCGGCATATTCGACGCTGGTTTGATTCCTGGTTGTGTCTACGTCTTGTCCCTTTACTACCCATCCATTCATTTGCAATGGCGCATGTCCATGTTGATGGTTGCCAATCTGATCAGCAATATTGTTTCGAATATCCTGGCTTTTGCTATTGCTGAAATTCACAACCACAATGGCTGGCATGGATGGCGCTGGATTTTCCTTGTGGAAGGCTGTCTGACCATTGCGGTCGGCTTGGCCTGCTGCTGGAGTAACATTGGTCGCCCGGAGAAAGCAACCTTTCTCACTCAAGAGGAGAAGGACATCATTGCATCGAGTGCTGAGTCACGAGTCTCCACTATTGGCTATCTTGCTGAGTGGAAGGTCTTTTTCAGCAACATTCTAAATTACGTCTGGGCCTCGCTCTACGTGCTGACCTGCTCAACCACCTACTCCGTCGCCCTCTTTTCACCATCCTTCGTCAAGATCTTCCGTCCGCATTACTCCGTTCCAGAGGTCCAGGGCCAAGTAGTCCCGATTTTTGTTGTGTCAGCCGTAGCTGCTCTGCTCGTTGCCTGGCTTGCTGATCGCACTAATCATCGTGCAGGTTATGCCATAATTGGCTATATTTTCACGGTGCGTAGAAGTTTCTAATTCTTGAGTGCAACTCTACTGATTTTCTCGTTGCAAGATCATCGGTTATGTCATCCTTCATTTTCCCAAGCGGGAAACTTCGTCTGTGTTGATGCTAGGCTTATACTTCATTTCCATTGGCACATTTAGTTCACTACCTATGGTTTGGACATTGACCACGCTCAACCTTGCCACGCCACTACAAAAAGCCATCGGCTCAGGTTTCGTCATCGGTGTTGGTAATATTGGTGGTTTCGTTTCAGCCTGGATTTTCCGTACCTCGGAGGCACCGTTCTACACCTCCGGCATGGTCGACGGTATTATCCTTACCTCCACTGCCGCTGGAATTACTGCCGTTGCCTGGGCTTACATCACATGGCACAATAAGAGGACTTCTCGTGCCTCGGAAAGCATTGAAAGCTTGAGCAGCGGCGTGGTGTTCAAGTATCGTTCTTGAATTCTTTTTCTGGCCCATTGCGCATTCGCGATCACTATACACTCGGATGCAAAACTGGCGTCGTGTCACGAACCTGGATCTACCTTAGTTAAACAGCATTGTGTCGAGATACGCTAGGCTTGGTGGAACCACACAAAGGTTCGAAGGTTGTCGTCGATATAATAGGCTAAGTCAATAGAGTAACAATAGCCGATCGGGTGTATTGGAAGTCTTAAACACAACTACGATAGAAGAGATCCCCCGTACAGCCTGGTGCCCGTACCTCTTGCTTGACATGGCTCCTGCGAATTTGGAATTTTCCATCTTGTTCCTTTACATGACTCAATAACTTATTTAAATCTGGCCAAGGCAGCTCGTGTTCCAGAGCAACACCTCCAGAGTATGATCCGTATAGCAATGACCAATACAATGTTTCAAGAAGAATGTACCGGTACCAGAGTCGTCCACTCAGCGACATCTGCATTTCTAGTACAGAATCCAGGTGTTTACGCATACGCTACGTACATGTTGACAAAATCAGCGCCGATGTCAATGCACTTAGCTTCTGCGCACCGGCGCTGGGGCCCTGATACAACTCATACGTATGAGACAGCATAAAATGCCGCTTTCAATACTGATCTTCCTTTATTTGAATATCTTGGTCGAGACAAAAAGCGCATGGATGAATTTACTGCTCATGTGCGGCATGTTCAAAGTAGCGATGGCGTAGACGTGAGACATATGGTTTCCGGGTTCAATTGGGAAGGCGTTCAGGAAGGCGGCCGCGTTGTCGATGTAAGTTTACTATTGCTCTTCCGCTTGTGAGATCTGGGATATCTTGTAGTTGTTCCCTTAGGTCGGTGGATCGACCGGCAGTGCAGCCATTGCCCTCGCTCGAAAGTTTCCTCATCTTTCTTTCATAGTTCAGGACCTCCCTGCCAATGCAGAAACTTATGTGGGTTGGGTCAAGACCTTTGGCAAGTCCACGTACGTGCGCGTTCCTATGTGGAAAATCGTCATTGACGGCATCCCCGTACGACACGTGGAGATGAGCGAGGAATTCAAGCAAGAACTCGCCGCAGAGAACACCAACTAGGGCCAACTAGGATTTGAGGTGGAGATTACGTAGGTAAGGTGGCTCACCAAGCTAAAAGGCTACTCCGGCTCACTTGTAGCTGAGTACATAAGCCTAGTGGTGGCAAACAACGCGGTATCCAACGGTATGGTAAGAAGTGCCCCTTTACTCACTAACAGGCCTCCAGCAATAAATGTGAGATGCGAAAGCGTGAGACTGTGCGTGCACGTCAAGTTATTAGCACGGGGGCCATGGGATACTGTGTTCCGCAGTATTTATATGCCAGAATGATAGAGCATATGGCTTCGGAGCCAACACCCGCCGAAGCGGCGAAAATCGTGACCACGAAAAAGACTATGCAGGCCCAGAAGGAGGCTACGAAAAAGACTACCACGAGAGGTAAGAAAGCGACAACCGCACCAACAACTGTACCGGAGCCTGATACGGAATCAGCTCCAGAGCCAGTCCCTGAATCTACGCCAGAGTCAACTCAGCGTCAATTCGCGAGCCAGCATCTGAATCCGATGCCGACAAAAACATACTAGTCTTCACATTGGGTTTCGAATCCGGCCATGCCATGATGGAATCGTACCTGCAGACTACTGAAGAATGGGAAGATGTTTTTGCTGATGGTGGATAGCAGTGTTTCCAGAAACACATGATCGATTCATCATGTTTGACAGTCTTTTTCGAGCTTGAGCGCCTTTGGCACACGACGAGAGTTATATATTTGGTCCCTTTTTGTGCACTGTGATATACCAGTACTATTAAGAGGACAAATACATATACTGGATTGACGTTAACAAGTTAATCTAACAGGACTTATATGTGAAATTCCTATAACTAATTCTCTTACTGGACAGACAGACAGATGCATGTATAATTAGCCTGTTTCTCTTATCCGCCCATCCTCTCCGCTTTGGAAGTCCCATTATTTATAAGAGATGAGAGAGTCACAAGAACATATGGAGCAGATAGAGAAAAAATTCCAATTTAATACAGTTGCAATAGTAATATACAATCAATATAAAGCTGTACAAATAATCTACTGTAGCGCCACCTTGACGACGTGGTCGAGATCCTCCTTCTGCAGTCCTACTTGCTCTAGTTTTGCCAGTTCAGCTGCATCTACCTTGTGGTGGAAGTCACCGCCGTGGCCCTCGAAGAAGTGTGTGACGAAGAACTTAACGAAGGGCGCAAAGCCGTCACCCTGGCTAATTTTCTCCTCATACTCCTTAGCCACCTCGTTCACATCCCGCGTCTGGATGTCCCAGTCCGCCTCCGTTGTGCCCGTTGCGCGCAAAACAGCGTCTAGGATCTCCCGCTGCGTTAGATGGAATGACGGCGTATAGACAGCCTTGTTCTTGTACTTGGCCAGATCAGCCTCTGGTAGGCTCAGCGTCGCGGCAGTTGCTTGACCAGTGTGTGCGATAGATGCCGTGCTGACCTTACCATTGGCGCCTCGCCAGATGGTTGCCTTGCGAGCTTTCGCGTCGATACCCCATAGACCAGGGGCGAGGCCTCCATCAAGCCACGGGCCAGTGGCGATGGATACCCAGCTGCTAGCACCAAGCTTTTCAATCAGGTCGCGGATACCCTTTTTTGCGATGAGCAGCCCATTCTCATTCACAAGCTCTCCGGCGAAGGGGTCGGGGCCAAATTCAGATGGGAAGATATAAGGCACGCCAGCCTTGGCGGCCGCACGGATTGCAGGCTCCTGGAGCTCGACAAGCTGGGGCAGAGGTGGCATGAGAACGAGGGCGTCTTGGCCTTTAAGAACTTCAACAAGGAATGCTTCATCCTTAAGACTACCCTTCTTAACAATAACACCTGGAGGAAACGTGCTGGTAGCTTCGGGTCGCTGAATGGCGGTAATGGTGTGGACTCCCAGCTTGAGAAGGGTTTCGATGGTAGGCCCTCCGACCTGGCCGCTAGCGCCAATGAAGGCGATCTTTCGTCCCTGGATTGCTGGACCCATTGTATACTAAGAAGAGATTGATGCTGTGAAGCTAGTGATGAAGATATCTTGTCTGAAAACGAATAAGCTAGTTGAGCTGGCTGACACTTAGCAGTATAAATCTTCTACCTCATGTCAGACTACGTGAAGCTGAGCTCACCTTTTTAAATATTCCTAGAGGTCTAGAAGGCAAAGCAAATTAATGGCAGGKCGAGTTTTAGGTTTGACACTGTGGTGGTGGTTTGCTTTGTAATATGTCGTGTCGTCATTGAGAATCGCGACAGGAACGGCTATTGCGGGATACAACTCGATATGTCTCGTGGGCTCCCGTTGGAATATTGACCAGTCCTCGTGATGGGGATTTTTTAAGAAACGCAGAATACCGTACAATACGACGTTCCGTCCAATACGTACACGCCTTGCGCTTGACATGCAAGACAGCCTGCGAATAATTGGCTAGTGAAAAATTAGTCCGCCGTACCCGGCATTGTGAGTTTAATTTCTCTGTTTTAGGTTAGGCAATTCGAGGGACGTTATTGGGCTGCTTTGTAATACGGAGATATAACTCCCGTAGACATGACCTCTCAACCAATGGAATTTCTCAGCTTGCCGTTCTCTGCGACCATACTGTGGCTGCTAAGTCTCATGAACACATGCTGCTACCCTGACTAGTCTTTATCCCGCAATTACCGATAGTATAAGCAAGGAGACAACGGATCTTGGAGTCCGAGAACCTCTACGCAGGCTCGTAAAATGGCATCTTTTCTTCAGCCGACGATGCCGCAATTGAATCAGTCACCTTCAACTCGGAAATTTCACGACCCCCTTTTGATGTTTGGCTTAATCTTGCCACTGAGTTGGTAATGCAAACTCGGCTTATTTTTGTCTCAGGTTAAATAAGCTGGCACTGTGTAGCTCTTGATATAAATCTGCAAAATGAACCTTGACGTTATACTTGGTCTCTGTCACACTCATCATTGTCAGTATTCAAGCAGAACTCTGCATCTGCGTCGCTTAACCCTATAGTCTCGACCGACCACGCAACTCCCAATGACAGATCGCGCAGATCAAAGTCAGTCATCAACAATTAAGACCCCGATGTCGAGATGGCGGGGCATCATTCGCAGATTCGCTCCATCGTATGTGTCAGCGATACTCCAAATTTCTGATTAACCAATAATAACAAGTATGCATCGAATAGATGGTTTGCGATCGTTATGGGAACAGGAATAATCTCGATCCTTCTGTACAAGATCCCTTACAAAGGCGCATGGCTCTATTGGATATCAGTGGCCATTTTTGTCATCGACATCATTCTCTTTGTTGTCTTTTCGTTAATTTCGGCTCTACGGTACCTCTGCTACCCGGTCCTTTGGCGTGCCATGATCACTCATCCCGTTGAGTCCTTGTTCTTGGCGACGTTTCCTATGAGTGTGGGCATTATTGCCCAAGGAGTCGTGAACATTTGTGTACCCGCTTGGGGTTCCTGGGCTGCAACTCCGGCCTGGGTATTATGGTGGATTGAAGTTGTGACTTCTGTTGCGATATGCTTCTACATACCATTCAATATGTAAGTGACATTTTTCCAACTGCAGATAGATGGCACAAGGGCTTACGGGAAACTCATTTTAGTATGTCCATCCACAAGACCGATATCGCGTCCGTGACACCTTTTTGGCTTCTCCCTATCGTTTCTACCATAATATGTGCGGCCACCGGCGGTATGGTTGCAGGGGTACTACCGAGTCCCACCCATGCCCTCTGGACCCTTATAGTCAGCTACGTACTTTGGGGAATCGGCATCCCTCTCGCGCTCTTTACCCTCGTTCTCTACTACCACCGCTTGACACTCTACAGCATCCCGCCACCAGCGGTTCTTTCTTCTATATTCCTCCCTTTGGGTCCACTGGGAGAGGGCGGATTCGGCATCATGCAGCTGGGTGCCGTATCTCGAACTGTATTTCCACTAACAAAGACCCTATCTCTTGCACCAGATGCGGGAGACATCGTTTTTGTCTTGGGATTCTTCACGGCGCTGTTAATGTGGGGATTCGGGCTTGCATGGCTATCCTGGGGAGCAATGGCTTGTACACGGACGATACCACCGTTTAACATGGGCTGGTGGAGTATCGTCTTTGCGATAGGTGTTTTCACCGGGTCTACTATTACCTTAGGCGAAGAGATGGGATCAAGGTTCTTTGAAATTTTGGGAACAGTAAGTTTCTTTCCTCTGACGGCTTCCACGCTCATCAGTAGAATTACGGATTTCCTAACGTCTCATTATTCGTAGGTCTGCACAGGCATTCTCGTTCTCTTCTGGATGGTAGTATCCGCGTTTACCATCCATGGCACGATTACTGGCGAATTACTCGTTTCACCTAGCTTGAAGCAGCTCGAAGATGAGAGCAGTGGATGATAAATATGTAATCTGGTGAATTGGCATGGATAACTCGTCTTACCAAGATGTGGACCAGTCACAGATAGGTATAACTTCTTTCAAGAATTATGATTTATGAGCTCTTAAATAGATCTTGCCCCAAGGGACATATAATAAACGTCGGGTTTTCCGTCAAATTTTTAGATTCCAGCAAATGTATGAGTGCATAGCCAACTAGACCAAAAGTTGCGCGCTTACTAGATGATCTATTGCGATATGTTATGGATGGAGCCGATGTGGCAGAGTGATAATTACGGTTCGGCGAAGGAAACGCTGCCCTTGTATCTTCATAATCATCACTCTGGCCCAATTATGCTCCGCGATAAAATCGGCAAATTATAGAGCTCATGGCAATCTAAACAAGACTGACGTCGTATTGGGCAGATACAACCCTGTGAAACGTCCATAGAGTGCTGGAATTCGGGAGGCAGAACAATTAATACTGTGTGATGATCGGCTTACGAGCAAAGGCTCCACGAAATCTACGACGGGTCACTCACAACAATTTCTCTTCCGCAAAACCTCCTACTCTACATGCAAGACGCCTGAAGAAAATAAAAGAGAACCATCATTCTCAAACTTCCAATTATTTAAGGGAGGTATCCCCATGTCAATCTGAGGTCGTAGCTTGGAGCTTTCACCGTCTTTGGAATTGGCATAGCTGCCGACCGAAAAGCTGCCAATCAACGTAGTTCGTGCCGAATTTGGAAAAATGTAAAATTTGTTAAATACGAACTTGGTCGTTTAAGGTTAATATCCGCAACGGTAATACGGCAGCCTATAGGTACGTTAAGGACAAAATGATCATACCATGGTATTTACATTCGTGCAAATGTAATTTCATATTTCCACGACGAAGATTTCTAACCAATGGGAAAGCGGGAAATTGTGGAGCAGAAAAAAGAGTAGAGATTTGATTTCTAGTAACGAAAAGTAACGACGACGACCCCAAAACCCCCCAAGCAACCCCCTTCAACCCCCCMTCTCCCCCAAAACAGACCGGAAATTGAACCTTAAGTAATGTCAGTATGTGTTGTTGTGTAAGAGTTGTGGAAGCTATACTTACTCGAACAGAGCGGAGAAGAATGATGAAATAAAAAMGCTCTCGGAGAAGAGCAGGGCTTCGAGGAATCTAAGTAAGAGTCAGTATGTGGGTGGTGGAAGGGATGGAATAGACAGCAGAGACTCACTTGCTGGCCCCATTGGGGTTGTTGGCCCCTGATGGCTTTGACGATGCCGACGATGTCTTTGACGACGTCGAGAATGTCCTTGACAAGAGTCAAGAACTCCAGGACGTTCTTGAGAACGGGAATGGCTTCGGCGACGAAGCCGGGCATGGCCGCAGCGACGGATTTGACGGCGGCGAGCATGGCGGGCATGCTGGCGGCGGCGGTGGTGATGGTGGTGGTGGTGATGGTGGTGGTGGTGGTGGTAGCAGCAGCAGCAGCAGCAGGTGGGCAGATTTTCGACGATGAAAGAGTAGTTGTAAGAAGGAAGAAGAGAAGGAGAGAGATGGAGGAAATGGGAGATATTCATACCCTAGAGCGGGTCCGCCTGGTTGCCTCGTTTGCCTGGTTTGCTTTTAGAATCCCACGGAATCTAGCGCCTGGGAACGACGACGACGACGATGYAATGGCGGCTGGGAACGACGACGACGACGACGACGACGACGACGATGCAATGGCGGCTGACCAGGTGTACGAACTTCGGTATTCTAAGGCGGTGGTTGAGGGTTTGATGTGCGCCAGAAGGTAAGCCTCGATACCTATTTAGGGGATTACCTGGCATAAGCTAGTTCACTGACGAGTATATTTAGTGATGTCTGAGCTCTACCAGTAGGCCTTAGGTCTGACTCCTCTGTCAGCGGGACTGCTAATAATGCAAGATGGGTGAAGTAAAATCTTGTTCTGAACAGGTTGATGCGATCAACGCTGAATGCTGGTTGTGGGGATCTCAGTGCAGCAGCGGTTCAGCCTGTTGGGAACGACGACGACGATGCAGTCTACTCTCGGTAGGAAGTATTGCCGGAGCTGAAGGATTTCCAAAGGTTTCTAACCAATGAGCATCCTTTGTTCTATCAGGATTTGATATTAATGTTCTTTGGGTTAGGGTTAGAAACTAAACATCCGTCTCGACATTAAGAAATCCAAGGATTTCCAAAGTTTTCTGACCAATCAGAGGGCTAGATTTTAAACGATAAAGTAAGCTGCGGATATAAGCCGAGCAAATATCGACAACACACGGTATACGATAGGCATAGATTCTTAACAGAAATAGATATGGGGACTACTGCCATACGATTCAGGTGCGATATTCACATTTCTACGATCTACGGTGATGGATTCATTTGCTATTTGGAGGTATATACACACAAACGTCTTCGTTCTTGCTGCAGAGACCTCTGCATTGCCCAGGTGTCACCGCGTGGAGGCACGAAGTCCGATTTCAACACCCATTAGAAAATCGAATAGTGGTATCTTTAAACTAACAAAAAAGACAAAAAACAAACACAAAAAACCAACATAAAGAATCACACAACCATGCCCATTCCCCCGGCGCCAGGGCCCTCACCTCCCCCCTTAGGTAAGATGAATCGATTTGGGGGAGGAGGGTCTCGGGGAAACTTTTGCTTCGGCCGACGCCGAGCAAGACTACACCCAATAGTTGGGTGGGGATTGGCACGACAACGTGCACACGCGCTCCCCGGGTTTTTGATCTGCCCACGACCCTTGTCGGTATACACCCAGCATTGGTGGCCAGCTTCGATGCAGCGAGTGCATCGCTCCTCTCCAAAAAATTGTATGCCAAGGTCAGTCTCCATTATCCTACCAACATTGCTAACCACGGCCTGGCTGCCATTGAATTCCCGTGCCCAATCATACCACCATTTCCCAACGGCTTGCGGCTGGTATGGTTCATCGGTCTTACCCATGGAGGACCAGAGCCACGGGACACGATCTTGATCTGCTAATTGCGCTAAATCAAACTGAACCTGCGTCAGACCGTTTGCACGTTGGGGCATAGCAGGTATAGGGACGGCGGCAGGAGGGGGTGAATCGGCGGGAGCAATGCTATTAAAACAACCCTGTTAGTATGTATCTCTATGAATTGTTTATGTGTAATTTAAGTACTTACAGGTTGACGGGAACAGGAGTCACCAAACGAGACCGGGCAGGAGGAGGAGGAGGTGGTGGAGGGACGGACAGAGGGCTATTCAGTATGTTAGTATATCAATTATGAATATTGCAATACTTGGAGATGCACTTACGTCGTGGGAGGCGGGGAGGGGGCCATCATTGGAGGTGCCAGCAGGATATCAGCCTCTCCAAGACTCTCGTCGTCACTAACAAATAGTGAGTCGGCGAGTTGCTGATCCATGGCAAGGCTATCTTGCTCCAGTGACTCTTCAGCAGCTGGTTGCTCACCAATTAGCTGTTCATCAACTGGCGCAGAGGACAGCACCACGCGTCTTGGAAAATATCTGCTTAAGATGTTAGTCACCGCTTTGACGTGATCAATTCTTCATATTGCAACACGTACGTTGATGGGAGCCGTATCCTGCCCGAACGAAGCTGACGAGGGGGAATTGCTGCCGCAGCAGCGAGCATCTGGCTCTCATTGAGAGCGACGACGGAGGGGCAAGCGAGCGCAACGACCGCAGGAATCGACATTTTGATATGCTTGAAGCAAGAAAGAAAGAGGAGAAAGTCCAAGATAGATTTTTCGTAGAGTATTATGAATCTCTTTCATGTGAAGGCCCAAAAGGGTAACCCCACTTGATTGGTTGTTTGTAGGGCTACTCTCTCTCTACGTTCTCTCATTGGTTAGAATTCTTTGTGCAACAATATCTTGAGGTATCGGTGATATCCTTCACCAAGCTTCAAATCTAGATAGAGTACGATGCTCTCTTATTGGTTAGAAACCTTTAGATTTCTTTGAAAAATATTAACACCTGTATTTTAACAAGCAGAATCACTAAATATCGCTCGGTAGACCCTCATTCACCGCCATTGAAGAAGGTAAGTAGATCCATGATTGGCTCATAATATATTAAGCTTGAGATATAGCAGGCAATTCGGGAGACTATTCAATCCTGCTCGTAGTCCAAGGTTGCTTCCTCTACTGAGCTATCACGCTGATCGTCCATCGATATCATTTGGAGTCGTTCTTGAGTAGGGGTCTCTAACTCAGTGAGTTGGGGTGCTTCACCATTTGCTATATGCTCCTTGAGACACTGTCGAAGCTCAAGATAAGCACTGCAATGATGACGTGAACCATCAGGGAAAACGTCTCCTAGTTTCAGAGACGGATATCCTAATTCCTGCAGCTTCATTCGGCACCAATTGAGAGTCTCCTCTGGTAGATACGCATCAATATCTAGAAAGATAGTTAATAATAGTACTTTCAAATCATAGATAGGAATAATACCCCAGTCACCCATCTCTTCTATTAGACTGTCGAGAAGAGTCTCATCTGGTAAAAGACTGCGGTCTTCTGCATTCTGCTCCTCCGGATAAAAATATAGAAAGAAGGGCTTTCCGAAGACTCCATTAGGTCGATGCTTTTGTTTCCGAATATTATGCACGTTCCATAACCGGACAAAATCACATAATGCGTCACGAACGAGTGGCATATATACTGCTAACATTGCAATACGGTCAGAAGCTTGATCCTGTTGGAATAACCGCTCTTCACTAAGCTTTGAAAAGTAGTCCTATTTCCGTATTAGTAACCGGTGAATCAAGAGAAATTAGATATAGATTACCCGCTAATTCACTACACAAGACTTGGTCAATTGAGACCACCAAGCCTCAATGCGTTGATTAGAGGTACTAGTACCGTACCAATAACAATCTGAGATAGATGCCTGCGGATTATGCTTCATATATAGAGCGTGATGTGCCGCTGCAAGCATTGTTGTTTCACCCCCCTTATCAGATCGAATAAATCTAGGTTGTTTTTTCTCTGACTTCAGCGTGTCAAGATACTGGCGAAGAACACTGAATCCTGTCCGGTTGCTATTCCCAATATAGATCCACGTAATATATCGAGAATAAGCGTCAATCCCAGCATATATTTGAAATCCCCAGAAAGCAAGTTTATCATGACCATCAATTGACCATAAATAGTTGGGTCCTGGGACGCTGAAATTCCCACGAGTACGCTGTAAATCATGGCTTCGTCTATTGACTCCATCTGGGTCCAAGTCTTTTATGATTTGGAAAAGACGATCGCTATCTCCAGGTTAGTTTTACACATTGTAGGAAGTTAGGAACATACACCAACTTCAAACTTACCGAGAGATTATATGCTGCTTGCTGCGGAAGTAGGTATGTAGATATCCTCGTCCATATCCTTCAATAGTTCCTTTATTCAGTTCATCTTGGGCTGCTTGTCGTATTGCGGCTTCGACGACTGTGTAGTCTGAAAGTCTCCGGTGAAGGCCTAGTCGTCTGTGTCGATCTCTGAGTCCTCGTGGGCCAATTGTAAATCCTTGTTTCTGTAGAACAAGATGTATCTCATCATCTGATAGGCCACATTGAAAGAATAAGGTCATAATTTGGTTGTCTAGATTACGATGTTCGGCAGTTCTGGTCCGCTGCGTAACACCCCATTCTCTTAGACGTCGTCGAATAGTACGGCCATTAATAAAAATATAGTGGTCTGTTTTTAGATATTCAGCGATATCATCAACAGTCTCACCCTGTCGAAAGCGGCGTATTATATCCTCTTTATATTCGAGTAGGTCTTTAGATGGCCGGCCTATCTGGCCAATCCGTCGTTGAAGTAATTGATCCATCTGTTATAAGCAGGTAGCCCGTATCAAGAATCTAGAGTATGAGATACCTAGTGATATAGAAGTACTATAAGAAAAGTAGATCTTTAAAGATAATATATCAAGGACGAAAATTTTTCTATATACCTGATTCGTTACCAATAATTAGAGGGAGCCTCAAGTTACCCACTTTTGCCCTAACCAATTCATTTGTCGCTTAGATTGCCACATTTTTGTCAATTACTCCCTTTTTGTCAACATCTTACACATATCTCTAGGATATCGACCTGCTTTGAATTATCAGGGCAAGATTATCCCAATATGTCTTCAGACATATGGAGATGGGAACTACCATGTCGAAAGGCTAAAAACTTCGAGCATACAAAACGAATTCCACACCAGAATCACTGTCAACACTGTGGTCTATCAAATCCTAATCCGCCTATATCTTTTGATTCGACAGATGAAGAGGATCTAGTATCTAGTACAGGTGCCGTCTCAAGATCAAGACATAGTACACCTCCTCAAGGCCGTTTATCTTCCTTGAACATTGATGCAGCCCAGCAATTCCGGAACACTTCGATAGCAAACCAGCAAGCTGACAAAGCTAAATATCAACGTCCTCATATAGGATCTACTCAGCATAGCAAGAGACCGAAGGAGGTATTGAAGGCTAGAAAGAAAGTGAAGGATGAGCTGGATATCAAAAAGGACTATGAACACTACAAATTTACAGTTACCTTTCTTGTTCAAGATGAGAAAGGCAAATGGTCCGTTCCTTGTAGGTTCCTATTTTTCTATTATTATTTTTCTTATAATATCTAATCATTCTCTACTGATGTAGTGGGTGTTCCAGGAATCGAACCATCTATCCCCCGGTACGAGATTATCACAAGTTTCTCGGATATTATCAAGCTCTGGAAAGAGCAGTATCAAGACCTTGATGTACTATGCCAAAGATTCAATCGTGATCCCCGTTTCTCACGAAGAAGGACAAAGGCTGGTCCTCTCGCTATATCAGAACCACTTTTTAAGAGGGGGGATATGACTGATTTTCTCAATTCGCTCATGGTGGACAAAGACGTGAAGAATTCTCAGTCACGACAATACATTTTGATACTCTTTTGGGAGTATTCAGCCGAAGATGATACACATATACAAGACGAAGAGGAGGAAGTAGAGGAAGATAAAGAGGAGGATGAGGACTTTATCTTTGCTGCTCCTTCTCGGAAACGTCCACGAGCAGTCAGTAAGACTAGAGATACTTCTCATATCAAAACTGAACCTCTATCACCTTCGCGATCAACACCAAAACCACGAGGCCCGAGAAACTCAAATCTAAGACCTTTCTGGGAGCCTACACCAGCTCCAGTTGATACTTCTATCGAAGAAATCGAGGCTATCATCCAAGAGGGACGTGAGGAGGAAGCAATCTTTGAAGCAGAGATTAGAGCGTTTGATCAAGAGATTAGAGCGTTTAATCGAGGCGGTACTACTGAATCAACTACTAGTAGGGATAGGGATGAGAGCGTTATTGATATCGAGAATCTTGCACAAGCTAATATAGCAAGTGAGGATTCGCTAGATGTCCCTGCTGCTCATACCCGTGGAAAACATGGTATCAAGGTGCCAAAGAAACAGTCTTAGAGAGTCTATCAAGACTCAAAATCCTAAGAAAAAAAGTGTGATTTCAATTCTTTTGTGAAATTACTGTCCTTTCTATGTTTACTGTGCGAAGTTGATAGCAATATACTATGAGGCTCCAACGCCCGCGAAGAAATCTAAAGAAATCTAACCAATGAGGAGTGACGGGAGCGGTACCCCTACAACTCTTAGAAGTGGCAGAACAGTCCCGCTCCCGCATTTTCAGCAACTGAAGCTATTCCTACATAATGTTGAACCGTAGCCTCTGATTGGCTAGAAAGCTTAAGAAACCTTAGAACAGCCCGCTCCGGAACCCGCATCTTCAGCAACTGAAGCTATTCCTACATAATGTTGAGCCTCTGATTGGCTGGAAAGCTTATAAAACCTTAGGATTAGGCTATCCTACCTAGGTATAGTGGTATCTTAAATTCGAGCTATACCTAGAGTAGAAATCATTTACCTAATAGTTTCTAGGTAATTGCTACTATTAATAGTATCTGTATTGCTACGTATATATAACGATAAAGGTATTTTTAATTGATTAATCAGCAAAAACAGCCAATCGGAATACTGCGTGTGACATTTGCACGAATGTAAAAATCGTAATCTGATCATTTTGTCCTTAACGTACCTATAGGCTGCCGTAGGTAAAAGCGGGTAGGCCGAACTCTCTTTGATGACTTCCATGTGAAATTTGCTCCGCGATTCCCGAATCTCGCTCCACGCTCTTTCCTTGTCAATGCAGACAGGATGATCGAATAACTAAAAATTTTCTAGTTCAAGATGTCGACTTCGTCAGAGCCAGATTTGCGAAATAATTCTGGCGCAACACATGAGGAAAACGCCCACCAGGGTGCGCAAGGAGTGTTCTCACCATCTGCTGCCTTAGATCCCTCGCTACCAGATAGCGGTTCGGACAAGCTAGTCTCTTCGGAGACTGCAACAGCACAAAAAGCGCATCGCGCAAGAAGGGCTTGTGATGAATGTCGGGGGCGGAAAATTCGATGCGATGGGCGACACCCTTGCCTGCACTGTAGTGCACTGAATCTTGGTAAGCCATGACATATACAGAAGTTACCATTGTATTTGGTCACTTGATGATTGGACGTAGATTGCAGCTATGATCAACCGGATAAACGATCTACGCGACTTTCACGGCGAGAGGTAGAAGATCTTGCGTCTAAGCTACAGCGAGCTCGGAACCTCCTGTGGGTTCTTGCTCCGAATATTGATTTAGATGACCCTCATCTAGATGCAACTGTGCTGAGCAAGTTACAATTTCCAATCTCTAATATGAGGTCTCCGGCAGCTACTGGTACCAAGCAATCAGAATCTCCTCATCAAACCCCGCACGGTCCTGCGAGCCCTGAGCAAGATGCAAACTTGGCAACTGTACTTGAGGAAACTGGGCGACTGGATCTTGATGATATGGGCAATTGGGGCTACCAAAGCCACGGATCATCATCTGCATTCGTGCGACGATTGGGCGAACGTTTTAGTAACATGTCTGATTTAAGTATCGAAGATAAAACGACAAATCTCCGATTGCAAGACACAACAAATCGTCTGATGAATCATGCATTTGAAGATTCTTCACGTGAATTCATTTCACTGCCCCCACGAGAGGTTGCCATCGAATTGGCCACTAGTGCCTTGAATGAAGCCTGTGCTCTCTTCAACTTCGTGCATAAGCCAAGCTTCTTTTCTATGTTAGAAGAGATTTACCTCCTAAATCCTGCACAATACACCGACAAGGAGCATAAATTTCTGCCACTTTTGTATGCAGTTCTGGCTTTGGGCTACCTTTTCTCGCGCAATGAGCGGGTTCACTTTGGCTATACACATGCCATATCTGAAGGGTATGTATTGTATAAAACCCAAGGTTGTTTGCATGCGAGTCGTACTAATCGACGAAGGATGAGATACTTTACTGCGACCCGCCAAATGATTGATATCGCGCAGTGTCAAAATATTCTTGCTCTGCAAACAGTGGTATTCATGACCTTATTTCTTCACTCGTCGGCGTCTATGCCTACTTGCCATTCATACATCAGTGCAGCAATGGCTGCTTCTCTCCAAATGGGTTTGCACCATTCTCAGCCTGCAGAAATGGATTCTGTTGAGAGGGAGATTCGAAAGAGATTATTCTGGACGATCCGTACCTTGGAGACGTACATCATTGCAATTCTTGGCCTTCCAAGGACCATCTCGGACGATGATATTGATCAAGATATGCCGCTTGAGATTGACGACGAGTATATCACGAAAGAAGGAATTTTCCCGATGCCAGAAGGGCGGATATCGCTAATAACGGCATCGAATGCGCACATTCGACTGGCCCGCATTTTAAGCAAAGTCTCTACACACGTTTATCCGGCCAAACGAATGCAGAGGGAGGTGTCCCAAAAAACTAGGGCATATATCGTCAATAATGCAAAAGTTCGTGAAGTCGAGAACGATTTGCGAAACTGGATGACGAATCTTCCAGCCCATCTTCGACCAGGTCTGGATGGATCGAAAGATTTAACAAGGTATACAAAATTCAAAGCATATCAAACAATCAGATCATTATCACCGCTGATACTTCAAAGAGCCCAGCATCTTCTACGGCTAGCATTTATCCATGTTCAAATAACTCTTTACAGACCGTTCCTCCACTACATCTCCCAATCTCGTAATGATAACCTCACCAGCAATCAGTGCTACGCATACGCAGCCACATGTGTTGATGTCGGCCGAAATGCGATATACAACGCCAGAAAGATGGAAAAGCAAGATATGCTTACTGGTCCATATTGGTTTTCGATTTATACGACATTCTGCGCAACGCTCGCTTTAACGTTTCATGTCTGGGAGAACGCGGAAGTTGAAAACGCCTTGGAGACAATCAAAGATGCCGAGTATGGTCGGCATGTGCTTACGAGGCTGGCTTATCAGAGCAAAGCTGCAGAAAGCCTTTCGGAGACGCTAGGTGTGAGTTTAAAACCAGCACAATATCATGGCTTTGTTGCAGAGCTAATCCTGAGACTAAGATCATTTTCACACGGCTACCTGGGAGACTTGGGAATGACAAGCAGCACGCAAGATCGAAATTGAACCCGCAAAGGAAACGACCGCAATCTCCAGCTCGGCCGAATATCATGGAGTCGCAGCATCAGAACATCCCCGTACAACAAGATCATTCGGCCATAGATAGCCACTATCCTAGACAGCGAGACATCACCAGGCATGATCCCCCCGACATAACCTTCGAGAATCCGAACTCCTACCTCGACTCAACTCATTGGATGTCAAGCCAAACTTTGAATACGTCGAGCCCATTAACCACGCGCTTTCTGGGTCCGGACTCGATAGAAGATATTTTTGGTCCCGCTGATCTAGCACTAGGAAATAATTGGCCAGAAGCTTCACACCCGATTACAGATTTACATTTGAACTTAGGACTTGGCAGCCCCACTCTTGGTATGAATCTGAGTAATCGTACTTCATCCCATACCTTCTCTTCTCTGGACCAGTATGTCAGCATGCTGGACTTATAATCTGCCCGCCTTCTCTCCGGACGGTAGCAAGATCCTGTTCACACGCCGCACCAACTTGGCCAATATCGGAGATAGCTACGACATCTTCACCATGAACTCAGACGGCATAGGTCTAAATCAGGTTACCGAGTCCGTGACCAGTGATGCCCATGCCATCTGGACTCATGACGGTCGCATCGCCTACAGTACAGCTATGTACGGTTTCCAGCAGGAAGCACCTCTCTACGATGACTCGATGCTACCATATGCTATTATCATGCTCATGGATGCCGATGGTAGCAATAAGGCGCCGTTGACGAATAGTTTATGGGAAGATGCCATGCCTATGTTTGCGCCAGCCAAGACATTGGAGGCAAAATGCCCACATTCCTCTTAATATAGATGAATTTAGAAATATAAAACTGAACGGGTAGTAAAGACTGGTTGCCATACTGATTTTTTTTCTGTAGTGTAAAAACATGCAACTGGACATCTCCTTCCACGTGAATCGAATTCTGAAACTGCGCGCCCAGATCCGGCCAGAAACGGTTGTAACTTTCGCAGTCTACTTACCAAGTCCAGCGCTATCGATTGTTTCTAGTCTTACTAGGTAAATCGCTCGTGATGGAGGATGGTGTGGTGACAACGCCCTTGACGCGCGAAAACCTTGTCTTGCTAAGAATTCGTCGCGACGCGACGGCACCACAATAAAACAATACATGACAACACCACTAAGAAAAGGGGTTCGTGAAGGTGGAGAATGTTAGTAATGCGACAGCGTCAATCCTTCAATGGATTGAACAGATATCTAATACATGTATCAACCATCTGATGTTCGCTAATACGATATGCAATATTATCAATAGAGTATCGGTGCATAGTATCAATCAATCTATATAATATAAAGGACTTTAAGCAGTAGCTGATTGCTCAGAATTAGTATCTCTGGGTGTATTCAGGGATTGATATCGAGATCATGCATGTAGGCTGGCTCSCGGAGCCYTGTTGATGTGAGGGCTAGCTTGTGGTGGCGTTCACCCATCTAATCATTATAAATAATGCCCTCGCCTGGAATGTGGTATGGCGATCCTAAATTTGCTGTACCTATTATTGTTATAAAGAAAGGAGGTATAAGATATGCAAAAAATATCAAAAATATAGGCATCTTCACGCTTAATATCCTAATCCTAAGTTCATCTGTAGAGACTGCGCGAATAAATACCCAATCTAGAATGCACGTTTAAGCAGTCTCTACATTATCTGGTGCTCAAGTGCGCCAACTGCAAGCGTAGCTATAAGATGATAAATGCGAGCTGCCTAGTACGAAAGTTTATGCTAGAATGTATGAAACAGGCTTTGGACTGGGTATTGCGAAGTGACGTGATACACTATATACTGAAGCATTTATGGGTCCAGGGTATAGAACTAACACTACAGGAAGCAGCAACCACCATGATACGCCGTGCTGCGCCAAAGATAACAAAGACAGCAGGCAAACCGACAACAACAACAACAACAACAACAACATCAACAACAACAACATACCATACGATACGCACCAAAACGTAACAACAAGAGGCCACAACAACGCCAGCAGAGCGCTCCAGAGCCACCAGTTGACCTTACCGCGGAGCCCCATCCCGGAACCCGCTACAGAGCCCGCTCAGGAAACGGCTCCAACAACCGCTCCGCAGTCGACTCCCCAGAAAATCACGGAGTCCGTAGATGAGCCCATTGCGCAACGTGGAATTGAGCCTCCCGCTCTATAGCTCATCAAGTGCATATTGACACGACCGAGCACACTAGAAACTGCAGAGGCCTTAGATATAGAGACTCCATCAGCGCTATCCACCGGAGGTGTAATACCAATTAAGCTAAAACAGAGAGTTAAGTCCAATCTTTAAAAACAAAGAGAAGGTAGGCTATCTAAGTTAAAATTATTTAATAACAACAAACAACCACTCAAGCCTGCTAACAATCAATCAGTCGATCAACTCCTTGATGGTTTCTGCAGCCCTATCATAATACGCTAATCCAACAGCCAATAGGTGATTGTTGAATACGATTGGGCACGGATCACGCACACGGACAATTAGACTGCCACAAGGGCAGCTGGGGCCAATGGGATGTGAACAATTACGATAGTCACAATAGCTGAGGCAACCCCATTCAACGGCTCACAGTTCCGTTTTCGGTAATGTGACTTGGATCAGCTATTCAGATACGAGATCGCTCCTTTCCAGAGTCTTCATGAACTGGATATAAAGGACTCAGGGAGCCACGGTTTGACGGACATTTGTCCCTAAAAATATAAATCGGAATCACTGAGAATAAAGGTTTTTTTTATCTCGTCAGATTGTTGACGACACAAGAACTTTAAAACCAACAAATTACTCAACAGCCATCCAAAAGACAGTTTCAACTATGTCACAGGTTCAGGCAACAACAGACATGGAACTCCCAAAATACGAAGTCAAAAGCTCTGCTCTTTCCATCGACTCGGGTAGCACAGTCTACTCCATCGACTCCAAGATCACAGCCAACTCAATCGAGGAAACAGATCCAGCATACTACTTCTACTCTTCTCGCGTCCTCCTTATCTCTGCTCAAGGTATTGGGTTATTCCGCTTTCCATCCCCATACAAAGAACTCGAAATCCCGATCTACAATAGCAATGGCTCTATCGCTTATATTTCAAGACGTGAATCCAGACACTCGGGGAATGCCATTCTCTCCGATCCTGAAGTTGGAGATCTGATTCACAGTGAATATTTCTTTGGTCCCGGTCGAGATCCTATCATTTCCATTCTCGAGACTGGCGGGAAAAGCGAACCGTCCCGCACTAAGATTTCCTCGAAGTGGTTTTCACGAACCACTACCTTTCTTACCCCAGACGGACATGAGCTAGAATGGAGCTATGGAAAAAGAATAGATTCTCATAACCAGAGCGAAAATCTAATCATTCTCAGATTGAAAAGTTCTAGTTTAGAGAAGCACGGCAAGATTCTTTCTCAGCTTGTTCGTAGTGATCAGACAAGAACCCCCGGGTCTTCCAAGTCTCGTGCTGGAAACGGTGGTCAATTACTGATCGATGAGAGTGCATCGAAATTTGTTGAAGAGCCTTTGATTGTGGCAACGTGTTTGTTGATGTTGAAGAAGGAGATTGATCGCAGGAGGACGGTGCAAATTGCGATGATGTCTGCTATGATTGGTGCTGGTGCTAATTCCTGAAAGGTTACATATGTGTCCATCCGAGCCAGATTTATGAGTAGAGGGTGTCGTTGAGACAACGGGTTGAGTGCTTGAAGATATAGCCACTACAGTATTTGCAGCAGCAGCGATGCGTTATGACAATCACATAATTTTGAGTCTTATGATTTACTTCCTTTAAATATTTAGAGGTATTCATGAAGGCAACACACGGGCGTCTTCTTGGCCGAAATTGATACTTCGTCATTCTCCCCAGCTTACTTGAACATCGACTTCTCCAACAGAGCTATCCAGCTATCGGTCTGGATCAACAAACGCGTAATATTCATCCCCACCGGAGCCATCCGTAAGCATCTAGAGGTCCAAGTTTTTGTATGAGTCAAATTTCCGAGTAGCTACCAGTGAATTACATACCGCGATCTATATTTCACAACATCAGATCCTACGATTTCGTTGATTTGAGTCAGGCTAGGCGGCAGTTCTGAGTCAGATAAAGTATGCTGAAATGTAAACAACGTCAACCCCCGGCGTTAAGGATATACAGAGGCTTCGCCCCCGGCAACCTCCTTTCGTAGCTAACAAGTCATTATTTAGGAATATCAATTATATGTTCCTGGCTTCGTTTCACAGGACTGCCGGTTTCCCCTTATCCAAATCCAGTCGAGTTGGATCCTGGACCGGATTAAACCGACAATAACTAAGATAGAAGATATCCCCTATACAGCCCGATGCCCGTATGAGTTTGAATGCCTTGCTGACTTAGTGACTCTCACTGTTGTATTTGACTAACTTATGTCAAAGAACTATGAGGAACTATAAATATAATAGCAAAAAATGTATTGACGTGAAAGTTCCGGGAAGTCCCATGATTGGAAGATATTATTTCACGCTTTTTGCAGATGGCTATGGTTATGCGGCATATCAACTTTTCATTGGCCAGAAGCCAAAAAGACTTTACCTGTCGCCTCATACCAGATCATTTATAAGGCAAGTGAGGCAGAAAATCATCGTGCTTCTTTGAGCGCATTTTCTTACGGAGTATATCACGATCGAACGATTCCATACCGGGAAAAATCATCGCTACAGGTGCGTTATTGTTATAATTGCAGGACTTGACGAAAGTAAGTATAAAACGACCAGTCAAGAGCTGTGATAATGTACATCAAGACGACATGTACAACCAACAAACCGCTCATCATCCAAGCAGTGCCCTGGTGGATCTGGAGTCACGTATAGCTGGAATTACGCATTATACCCGTCGCGTCACCTCCCCCCACCTAGCGGTTGGGTTAGGGTTAGGCGAATGACTCTATTCCCAGCTCACCAACTACCAAATCAATTTCTCCACCGTCAAATACTGCAAAACTACGTTGCTACGTCAAAAAGAATCGCCTCATAAAACGCCGCCATGAGGGTGATTTGTTGAGGTATGAATCAATCAAACCTGTACTATGTTCAAATCGGGAGTAGCTAGGGTGCAAAAGCATAATCATCGCCAATATGGGACGTTCTGAGACCCATCAACGATGCTTCGGGCGATATCACCGTAGTTGTAGTTGTTGCCCATCGTACAGGCATCGGAGACCTGCTTGGCGGGTTGAATCAACCAGCTTCCTGAGATCTGCAATGGCTTCAGTGCTCTCGCTATTCGAGGATGCGTAGATCTGAATATTGCGTTCGAAGCCCGGGAACACGGGATGATCGATACGCGTAGTAGGCTTGTCCCAGGTCCATTCAAGAATCTTTGATGCTGACGTGCCGACATCTTCCATGCTTTTGAATCCTTTTGATGCTGTTTCTAAATGTTGTGGTGGTGGTGCGGTCGCGTCACGCCGAACACCTTGCAGAACGAGATTTTCGCCCTTCACGGGAGTCACCAGAGCACCCCCGGCCATGACTTGTGATTCACCTAGTAAAACTAGGATCAATCGATAGCTCATGAGTTAAGGAGTGAACTGCTAAATTTACAGCCGTTTTTTCTGGCCTAATCTGGACTCGCAAATCCAGAAATTCCATTCCAATTATTTTCAGGCGTGATTTCGTTTGTATAGCGCTGGGTAAAGGACTTTGAATATGATGGATAATAATAAAAATAAATGCGAAATAACTGTACTAAAAAGGCCATAAAAACAGGTCAGAGTTAAGCCACTTACAATTCAAGTAAGGTCATAAGCACTGAGCAAGTTATCCAGTTTATCCCGATTGAAATTGCAAGAAACATAATTTCCGACCGTTTTGAGATATCAACGTTACAGAATCAAATAATCTCCTTCAATTTTCCGGTTTTAATATCAAAAACAAACCCTTGAATGTTCTGTTTGAGTTCCTCGCGAAGGAGAGGTGATCCCTTCAGGAATTCCACATCATCCTTGACTGAGTGCTCAACACTATTTAAGGTCATATTAGATCAGCGATAACTGAGCTTCTTCAAACAGAGAACTTACTCGCCAAGAATCTTTCCAAATTGCATCCTCTCGATCTCTTCTTTATATTCAGGAGCCCTTTTCATAAGCCGCGCTCTTATCTCACCATCATTGAAATTGCGTGCCCCGCAATCCGTATGTCCAACGACAAGCACATTCTCAACACTGACCAAATCGTCCAATGCTACCAGATTAGCTAGAGCAGGTCTCGCACGAGCGCCTGAGTTGCGAACAATGAGGACTTCTAAAGAACTTTATCAATGTCGATAACAACCTCAGTCTCGGGGCTTGAAATCTTTACCCTCAGGAACTGTTATATTCAGGAACTTCTCTGGCATGATTCTTCCATCTGTGCAGCTGATGATCAAGGTTTTATAGGCTAAGCGCCCAGATTCTTTAATTTCAGCAATGGTCGGAATGGCTGTATGAGACTGGGAGTAGATTCTAGTCAGATATTCTGGGTTTAGTGTCGTGTGGTTAACAATCAGTTGGAGATGACATTGCTGGGTAACATACTGGTTACGCTCCAACAAGTTGGAAAGAGTTGCAGTAGGTGACATGTCTTTGACTAGCTTCGATGACTGTCGCTTTTCTTTGGTATACCACGTCTTGTTGACAACTCAGACTCAGATATTGATTAATGGAAGTGCCCCAAAGCTATGTCTCAATTAATGCTGGATTTGGAGTTCCTCTTTATATGCTATTATTAGGGGTATTCATTGGTCAGGACCGTCCGAGACCTGGCACCCAGCATCCAGCACCCAGTACCCAGATCCTCTCCACAGCTATGTTATCAAACTGGCCATTAATAATCAGGCAAAACATGGTGCGTAAATTACGGATAAGGCGGAACACACGGCATTACCCGCGGAAATTAGATTCACCATTCGTCCCCAAATGATGTAAATTCCCTCACATTTTGGAATTGTGCTGTTTCTGTCCGGGACTGTTCTAATCCTGTTCGAGATCGCACTGTATTACATCGATTCTGAGTTGGGTGTAGAAACCTGGTCTCATGGATTGGGATAACTATCAAAAATGTTACAGTATCCATACAATGATTATTGATGTCGGAGGGTGAGGGCGCCTTTTAAAATTTACTCGGAGAAGTCATGACGTATGTGTAGGTTGTGAAAGATGCCGTTCCGTTTGCGGAAAAAGCGACAACCTGGCGATATGGAACACCCGCAGATGGAGAGTTCTGGTTGAATACTCGCAATGGTGAGAGCGACAGAGACCAAATATAACATTAAGGTTCATGTTGTAGGTTTATATTGACAGCTACACAGTGCCAAATTTATTTTATCTGAGGAGACAACCATAAAGACAGGTTTGCATTACCAACTCAGCAGCAAAATTAAACCAGACGTGAGAAAGCGACGATTCGAAGAAAAATCCTGAAAGAATGAGAAGACGAATGGAAGACCTCTCGCAAAGGGGCTCACCTATTGAAAATTGAAATCAAACTGTGAATAGGAGAGAACATCTCCTTCCGCGTGAATTGGATTTTTGAAAATGCGCGTCCAAATCCACCTAGAATTGGCTGTAACTTTTGCGGTTTACTCACCGAATCCAGGACTATTGATTGATCCTAGTTTTACTAGATGAATTACTAGCGATAGAGGAAGGTACTGTGATAATACTTCTCATATGTAAAAATCTTATTCTATAAGATGTGACACTTTCTCATTCCTAAACTCCAGGGCAGCTCTATCGATGCAAAACTAAGCATACAGAAAGGAAATAAGAAGGAAGGCTCTGTGTGAGAGCCCGCTACGGCTCTTCATACCGCGGAGGCCTTCATGGCGGTGCATAATTGGGAATGCATGACAACGCAGATAGCTCTTAGGGATTAGGGCAGTCACAGCATCACAAAGGACTGAGCCAGGCTCGCAAGGCGTACTCCGTCACAGAAAATCGACCGTTTGACGCATACATTGCCTACTTAAGAGTGTGGTCTTCAGCTCGAATCGTATTAATTTCCTATACCATTATCCAACCCTAACGATAGGCGCTCATTGCCCAGAAACCCTTGCTCCATTAGGCCATACAAGAGGTCAAGACTATCAGCTGTTGACATACATCCAGATTTCGGTTACAACAGGTAGTCATAAAGCTAGAACCCGCTTTTTAGACTACTCACGATGTGTAAAGAGAAAGTTGAGTCTGCTCTTACTCAAACTGATACTCGCCCATTTTACGTGGAGGCACATGACGAGTAAACATCCAATCAATCTCTTCAAATGTTCTGCCTTTCAACTCGGGCACATAAACCCAGCTCCCGACTGTCGCAATTAACGAGAGGCCGCCCCAAACGAAGCCAACCTTTCCCTTCATGTTGCCCTCATCTGGATTGACCATGTACGGGATCACAAAATTCATGATTATACCGAATAAAGCTTGGACAGCGGTGGCTAAAGCCGTGGTCTTTGCGCGCAAGAGAGGGCTGGACGCTTCTCCCAATAATACAAAGGCAACAGCGCCGATGGTCATAAAGTAAAAGAAAGCGTAAATAACGGTGCATGAAGCTTGCACCCATTTCGCCGCGCTCGTTGGAATCAAGTCCATGATGCCGATCAATAGGAGAAGAGTAGTGAGAATCGCCATGCCTCCGATGAAGAGTTTGCGGCGACCGATATGGGAGTTATTGATCATGAACCAACTGAGGATGTTACCAAAAACACCACAGGCGGTCACACCGACACCAAGATTAAATGCGTGAGAATCGTCTAACCCTGCGAGCTCGAAGAAGTAGGTGGAGTATCCAAGAACAAAGATGATGCCGACCACGTGTTGACAAACAAATCCCCCGCATGAAATTCCCGTTCGAAGCAAGTTGGTTCCTTGGAAGCAGTCTGTAAACTTGGCTTTCAATTGCTGCGAGCTTTCCCCAAGAGACAGTTGAATTGCGTCCAGCTTGGATGTAACGTCGTAATCTTTCCCCCAGATACTTTGCAATGATTTCCGGGCTTTGTCGATTTTGTTTTGTTTGACGAGGTACCATGGTGATTCCGGAGCAAAAGGGAGTCCAGCCAACAAAAATAGAGAAAAGAATAATTGTATAGCAAATGGTCCTCGATATGCCCAGTGGTCGCTACGATTGCTGAATCCCTTAACGACTGCGTTTGATAGTAGCTGACCCACGCTTATCCCAAGGTTAACGCCGGCAGTTGAAAGCCCGCGCAACACAATGGGAGTGATTTCACTGCACACCATAGGCCCGAGGGTAAGATAAAATCCTAGTCCCAATCCTAATACAATCTTGGAGGCTAAGAATGCACCAGGGCTAGGAGCCAGAAGCTCTCCAATTATTCCGCCAGTACAAACAACAATGCCACAAAAGAGAGACCGCTTTCTTCCGACGCGATCAGCGAGCCAGCTGCAAAGGAAACCTCCGAAGAATTGACCGACCGCACTACAGACGTTGAATGCAGACTGCCATCTGGCAGGGAGGATTACCTGACCAGCTGATATATATCCGAAATCATGCCGGAACGCCGGAACTGCGATCATAGCACCATTAATTTGAGCATCGAAACCCCTGTGTTGATTATCTTGGGTCAGCCTGTTATTTTTACAAGTTCATCTATCCATCCATTAGAGGAGATGAATAAAGAAATATAGATGGATCGTACCAGCCAGTGGAACACATAGCCCAGTAGAACGACCACCAAATCATGGTCTTGTGGTTTCTCCAGACCGAGGAGAATGTCATGTTATGCTCTTCATTATTCGCATTATTCGCCGATGCGCCCATCTGTTTTGGCTTTGTATCTTCGATATAGACCGCGGTCTGATCATGGTCAGTCTTCACAGGAGAGTCGGCCATGGTTAAGAGATCTTGACGAGACTGATCGTCTCAGGTAGAGAAGAAATTTTCCCACTGATTTGTTTTCTGATGCGAGACTAAAATGTCAAAAAAACGCATTTTGACCGGTCGTCTTCTCGGATTTTATAGACTTGTGTGTGAAGGCCTTGTTATGGTAACCTGATCATTAGGTTTCCTCCCTATAATACTTGAATTTAGTCACTAAGTTACCGACGTAGTGGTTCTCCAAAATCTGGGGTTTTTCGACCTTACCTCTTACAGCCACGTCTGCGGTATTCCGCGATGCGGGGTCGGAACTCCCCCACAGCAGGCGAGCTTAAAAAGGGGCTCATCTCCCCTTCAACAATCGTTTCCACTTTCCCCTGCGACAGCCCGCGCATCGAATCACATCGTATTCCATGGCGTCCTCCGAGGACCAGGCTCTTCCCTTGCAGACGCAACACTTGAATGAAAACCCTAATTCATCTCCGTTCGAACTGCTACCAGCTGAAGTCGGCGAAAAGCGGCCCTTGCCCCGTGGAACTGCCTCGTATCCTCGCAAAAGGGCAGTCACCGCGTGTCAAGTGTGTCGGGCAAGGCGGACGAAATGTGATAATCGGAAACCAACGTGCTCATTTTGCCTAAAAGTCGGTGCGCGATGTATCCAGTCGCCGGTGGATTTATCCAGCTTTGATCCGGCAAGTCTCAAGCTTCTCGAGAGGCTGGACGAGGTCGAATTGGCTATTGGGAAATGTCAGAGCGCGATCGAATCAATTGGATCACGTTTCAATAATAATACCTCATCAGGTACAGAATCCAGCAGTTTCCGGCGTGCTGTATACCCTGATATCGACCGAACGAGATTGTTGCCTGCATCGATTAAAACGATATGTCAGTGGCCAACTTTTGAAACGGCTGGTCTGGGGCAGACCGGGGGAGAATTTGCAGCATCGACTTCAGCCTCTCCTGCAGAGATAGACACCGGCTCCACAGTATCCATAGACGACTTGCAACCCCGCTTCACCAAGCTCCTACTGGACAATTTCTTTCAATACATACATGTAAAAAACCCTGTTCTCGATGAAACTAGAACGCGGAGGATGGTGTTTCGTCTCTGTATGGATGGACTGGATTGGTCCGCCGAAGCATGCCTTGTGCTTCTTGTTTTGGCTCTCGGTGCAACAGCCACTCCATTTGAGTACCCGAAATCTGGGATGAAAGATCCCGAGACTTTGCCCTATGCACGTACATTCTACAATGCCGCTCAAAAACGTCTATGGGCGTCTTTCTCCGGGTCTAACCGAGCTCTACAAGGGCAATGCTTCTTTTTGTCTGGGGTCTACGCGACGACGATGTTTCAACCAGAAACTGCCTGGAGGTTTTTTTTACAAGCACTCGCTTGTTGCCAGGGCTTTCAACTTTTACGGAACGCAAATTCTTCTTTAGAAAGCTGGCATGCACAAACTTTAAACCTGCATGAATCACCATCTTCGGATCCTTCGGCATCGTCACCATCCATAAATACTACAGAGCAAACGATCTATTGGTCCGCATGGAAGTCTGAGCGGGAATTGCGCGGGTATTATGAGATGTGCGATTTTCCCCCGTCAGTGGTCGACTTGGGCTACCCGCTATTCTTTCCAACACCCCCAGTCGCTGCTGAGAATGATGTCTCGCCAGGAATGGGTAACGACGAAATGCAGTATCGAGAGCGATTGTCTTGGTACTTTTACCTTTCTGAAATATCCCTTCGACGTCTCTCGTTCTGTATTTCTAACGGCATTGTGAAATTCGAACCAACGGGAGAAGATTCCTTTCTAGACGGGCTGGCTAAAGAGACTCCAGTCTACGAAGCACAGGCAGAAGAGTGGGCCATGAGGTTGCCACGGATTGTATCCATTGCAGGTCCGCCTGACGAAGACGATATTTGTCGGTTTGTTCTGAGGGGCCATCTCGTGAACCTGTACGAAATTATTTATTGGCCGTTTATCGATGCATTCATCAATGGCGTCCCCGCCGATGGAGCAGATCGACCCCTCCTGTGGAGCCTTGTTCGTAAAGGACTTGAGAATCACGTTGCTAGACTCTGGGTCAATGAACCGGGATACAAACATCGCCATCATGGCACACTATTCCTACTTCATTCTTGCAACCGAAGTGCCTTGATTCTTATTGCTGCGGCAGCTTCGCTAAAGCATCGGCTTGATCAAGGTATTCAGCCGAATCTCTTTATGCCAGCAAGATGGCATGAAGCTGTAAGGCTGGCTATTGAAATGAATCGTTACTGGGTGATGGAGTCGGCAGATAGCCAGTACCTTCTTCAGATTCTTGAGAAGGCGTATGCGTATGTACAACATTTGGAAAGTCAGTAAATTTAAAGTCAGGTCCAAGTAATTTAAATCATTCTTTGCTACACTTTCTAATCTTCTCATTAACAGGGGACTGGCAAGATGGTGGATAAAGATGGGAATCTCGGACCAGTTTAGACTGGCGGAGGTCTGCTGCTTGGGGAACAGCGATAAATATCTGATCGAGCTAAGATGTCAAATAGACACAGGTAATCGCGATGACAGGTTGAGGACCTTCCGGTCTGCTTCGACGAAGCTGGAGAGGGCCCGAACCACAATAGGCCAGAACATGTATAATAAACTACTGCTATGTTTTTGATCAACATTCAAAACCCCAAGGCTAAACTGGTTGAATAATAATAAGAAATAATGGCTTKGGGGCCCYGTGACTCTTGAAGTCTGTTCATCCCGGGCCGTCGCGGAGTATCGCAGCTCTTGGCCTTCAGACGCGGAGGTAATTCTGTTAATTCTGCTCCCATTGACTAACTCTCCATTGTCGGTAAAATTCTTGGAATATGCAAGCGAAGAGATATTCTAGTTCATCGGAGTTGATCCGAAGTGAAACTCTAGAAGTATTATGTATATATTTACGCCTCCCTCTCGCCATCAATTTTGGACTCTCAAGAAGGGTCTGCCTGGATTCTATAAAACAATTTGTCTAATTAGTCTCATATCATATCATCTCCTTATATCTCAAATTTTGGCGCTATCAATCGAAATAGAGAGTGAAAATGGCTCCTCACCTAGATATCGCAGAAAAGCCCGTCTCAAGCAACGGCACAGTGAGCAACAAACTCACACTGCTCCGAGTCTCCGAAACAAACATCGTCGATGGATACGGTAATCCAGTCGTCCTGAAGGGTGCCGGCCTAGCCGGCCACCTAAACATGGAAAATTTCATCACAGGCTTTTCGGGTCATGAATMCCAACTCCGCCAAGCCATGACTGAAGTACTGGGTCAAACCCTGGCAGACTACTTTTTCGAACGCATGATTCATCATTGGTTCACTGAACAAGACGCTGAATTCTTTGCCTCGTTAGGGTTGAACTGCATACGATTGCCCTTCAATTACCGGCATTTTATTGACGATAAACAAAATCCTCGTGTTTTGAAGCCAGACGGGTTCAGGTATCTCGACAGAGTGGTGGAGATCTGTGGCAAATACAATTTATACGTGATTCTGGATCTACACAGCGTTCCTGGAGGTCAGAATCAAGACTGGCATTGCGACAGTGGTCTGTCAAGGGCATTGTTTTGGGAATTCGAACTATTTCAAGAACAAGTCATCAATCTGTGGGTTGCCATTGCAGGGCGTTACTGCAATAACCCCATCATTGCCGGTTACAATCCTCTCAACGAACCAGCCGACCCCAACCACATTGGGTTGTTGAACTGGTATGACCGCGTCGAGAAGGCCATTCGGGAAGTCGACCCAAATCACATCCTCTTTGTAGATGGGAATACCTATGCCATGGATTTCTCGCATTTTGACCGTGTTCTACCCAACACAGTTTACGCGTGTCACGATTATTCGAGGATGGGATTCCCTATCCCTGGTCAGCCGCTGTATGCTGACACCGACAATGATAAAGCAAAACTGAAATTTCAATTCGATCGAAAAGTCCAGTTCATGCGTGATTGGAACGTCCCAATCTGGAACGGCGAATTTGGGCCTGTCTACCCAAACCCAAAGGATACGGATGCTGCTATAACAACTCAAGCCCGCTTGAACATGCTCGGCGAACAACTGCGTATATACGCCGATTCTAATGTTAGCTGGAGCATTTGGCTGTACAAGGATATCGGATATCAGGGAATGGTTTACGTCGATCCAGAGACACCTTATATGAAGCTCATCGAGTCATTTATTGCCAAAAAGCAGCATCTTGGCCTTGATTTCTGGGGCTGCACCAACAAAGAAGGGGTGAGCGATGTGTATGAGCCATTCGTTCGACGGTTGAAGGATATGGTTCCCAAGCATTTACAGAATAAAAAATATCCGCCTACATGGAAGTTTGATCGTCAAGTCGAACGCGTCGTGAGGGAGTCCTTGATGAGCGAGTATTCAGTATGGGAATTCGCAGAACTATTTAAGGGGAAGAACAAAGAAGAGCTAGAGGAATTAGCAAAGTCGTTCGCATTCGAGAATTGTGTCAAAAGGGACAAATTAAATGTGGTATTGAGGAAGGATGCCGTGGCTGGAAGTCGATAGTCATATTGACCTCATGACTGAAGTGATAGGTCAATATACTGTGCGGCTTTATGTCATATGTTTTTGCTGAAAAACACCTAGAAACATAGATATCTTCTCCGACCTTGCTTATCTAGACGCTCAAACTGATTCCATTGATACGTGTCATGGGAATGTGTGAAACTCGGCATCGACGTGGCTGTTCATAGAATCCCAGGCCACGAAGGCGTAGTAGTAGTAGTAGTAGTAGTAGTAGTAGTAGTAGTAGTAGTAGTAGTAGTAGTAGTAGTAGACTCAGCAAAAGGTTGGAGGAGCCGTGACTTGGCTAACTTAAGTAACTACTGTACGAAGTAGTAGGTTACTTGCTTGGTAGCTTGGCCATCCCTCTCCACAAGTCGAATTATTGAAATTGTTCGCCTAACTCCGATGACCATTGAATTTAACTTTCGTAGTCTTTTCCTTAGGGGCAAGGGCTATCGATTGATTTTATGTTTACTAGGTGCGACGCTGGCAATGACTTCAAGCGCACTGGGAATTTCGTTGTCGGTTGTTACAGTAATCTCATTCCACGAGGCGTTCACGCGAAGACCACGATGATTATGACCGAGACTCATCTGGTGGGCAGGCAATAACAGGATGAGCAAGGAAACGGCATGTGTATGTATCTCTTGATGACATTCTGGGCAGTCACAATGGTGGCCGCAGAATGCCAATGGTAACATGACTTGGGTTTGGTACTGTAACCTCCTCCGCCTTTATGAACTTCAGTCAAGTAAAGAGCTTCAAGGGGGCGTAGATTTTAACTTTAAAGAGTAGTTATTATATGCATGAAAGGATTACCGCATTCACAGTGCATGATTAAATCACCATTCGCGCGACCTTCTTGGATACTTTGATTATTGGTCATTGGTGAAGCCGCCACTCCATGCTGTATTGAGAGACATGCGTCAATACTATCGTCATCAACTCCGATCATACTTGACAGGATTGAGAGAATACATAACTAGTGAAAATGTAGGATTGTCGGCAAAGAGATTCGTAAAGTTGATTTATAAACCACTATCCATTAGACTAGGTACAGATTCATATTCTGGTCTATTTGGTAATCTTAGTTCAGCGAGGTGTCACGGTAAATGAGATCCATCCGTCCATCTATGATAGGAAACAGGATAGCGGCTGAGTGGCTTAGGTCTCTACCTCTTTCCAGATTTGCACTGCATCACGAAATGTGCGAGTTTTCATGTCCGGAAACAGTCTATTTATTGATAGATTAACATCCAGATCCATCTCACCGTCGATGACTCTTACTCCTGCTGCTGCGACCATGTCCATTATAAATGCCTCATTGATTCCAGGGAACAGAAGTGCTCGAGCGGTAGGAAGCAAAGTGCTTCTGTGTTCAAGTAGATTTTCTTTCTGATCATAGTGCTTGTGGAATGTAACGCCTAAAATCTCTTCAGCGACGCGAACCATGTCGTTGATGGAAAGACGATCACCGATCAGATGATAGCGCTTCTCCCAGTGTGGCAGGKCCAGAACAGCCGCAACAAAGCGACTAATATCGCTGGTATGGGTCATCGCTATAACGCCCTCTCCATCACCTGGAATCGCAGCGAACTTCTTTTCGAGGTCGATCCAGACGGGAACGGAGAATGGCAAAGGTGTTGGAACTCGCGGTGATGTCATATAGTCAAGAAACATGCCGTTGGAAAAGAGGGTGTATTCCAGAGAACTCTTATCGAGGCGTTCCACGGCCTTCAACTTCCAGGCATACGAAGGCAGGGCTTTCATATGCCTAGAGCCGGTATATATTAGTCTCAATGGTCATTCCCGACATAGAGTGATACATACTTTGGTTTATATATCATGCCAAATTCACTCGGGATGAACCTATAGGTCGACCTAGACCGGTCGGCCGCCTCAATAAGATTCATTTGGGACTCGCCACCGCCGTTTTCCATAGACAGAGCTGAGATGATAGTGTGGACCTCATTGGTCTCCAGCGTGGCCTGGAGGCTTTCGATATTTGCGTAGTCGACGATGATGCATTTTGGATCATCCTCATGGGCGGTGCGGCTAAGAATCAGGCACTCGTGCAAGCCACGCGATGCGATACCTTCGACGATGGCGCCTCCAAGGCCTTGGCCGCCACCAGCAACTGCGACTTTGATCATGCTGACAGCCTCACAAACGCTTGAAGAGCATATTTAATTTGTACAGAGGTAATAGTGGTAGGAGTACTCCGTGGTTTCATTTAAAAGTTTTATTGGGATGTATTTTGGTGGAACTTTCGGAACCGGAAGTCTGGATCCCCGGTAGGGGCTGCGCCGTAACGTCGATTTTCCAGGACTTGATACACATTCTAGGGACATAGCCCAATGTGTGTTTCCGGCAATAACGGACCGATGAAGCCCTGAACGTTTACCGGAATGACTTGCTTGTTTCATGCTCTAACTTCGTCCGTAGCGTTTCGTCCGTAGCCGTTGAGTACCAAGATAGACTCACCAAAAACTGAAGGAACGCTTGTTCAGTACAGCTTCACCCCGCACCATTTATTCTGGCCTGAAATCAACCGGGTCGAACCGTTGTCAGAAATCGAGTTTCCGGCTCTATTAGGAGCATGCTTCTAAGGAGGCTAAATAACGCCAATTCACGCGGTTCGTCCGGAGGCGCTTTGCAGAATACTATCTGGACGTTATGCTTGTGCACTGCATGCTGAAACTTTTCGGATGACGAGGCATCCGACCCATTAGTGATCTGAGGCAACTTTGCATCCCAGGATCCGTCGGTCTGTAGCGTTATCCAGTTATGGACAATTCTGTTCGGAAGACCTCACCGTAAGCTCCGGTTTCACTTTGTTGTATATTTAAGTAGAAACATACTATACTTACCAAACCTATGAAACCCCAGGTTTCAGACTTTAGGAATTACATTCGAGTTGGTGTGCAACCCGACCTTGGGACACATCAGGAAGAATATCCATGGAACTGCAGAAAGCCTGACAAGTTTGTTAAATAACTTTGCAGTTCTAAAAGATAGGGTCACTTTCCCATCCACGCATCTGCTCAAAGCCGTTGATTCCCATCCGATAATCCATTATCGTTTTGTTTATCCCGTTTCTACACGCATTTACAAACAGCCCCATTCTGTACGCCGACCTGACCATCTAATAGATCACCAGCATTCAATAGCAGCCTTAGCCTCATTCCCACTTTGATTACCGATCTGCACCGCCTCCCCATCTCTTTTCAAAAAGAAGGTGTCGTGCAGTCTGCCCTACGAATCCACAACATTAGGGCTTCCTTTAAGAACATGCATAAACGTATTCCAACCTTCAGGGACAAGATACAGGAATAGTCCAGCGTAGGGCGAGAAGATTATCGCTTGCGACTACTTCTCGAACGAAGATCGGTCAACACCAACGATGCATTCAGAAAGATTTAGTAGTCATTACAGATAAAGAAGTCTTGAAAGTTGAGAATTAATAATCCTATATAGGGGGAAATAATTGATTTATAGTGTTGGTTTAACGATGGTCCGTATTACATCACGAAGCATAGAAGGGCGATCCAACAACCCTACGGGGTGAGCCTGTTTATAAGCACGAATTCGTATATATTTAGTAGTTCTTTATAGCTCTTTAATACAAATCACTTGAATATAACAGTGAGAGCCAGCAAGGTATTTATACTCATATAGGCGTTAAGCTGTACGGGGGATCTCTTCTATCTTAGTTATGTTTAAGACTTTCATATATCAGATTGACTACTGTTACTATTTACTTGGCTCACTCTATCGACGACAACCTTCGAACCATTATGTGGTTCAACCAAAGCCTAGCGTACCTCGACACAACGCTGTTTAACTAAGGTGGATCCAGGTCCGTGACATGCGGTGTATTTGAATTATCTGTACTAGATAGGAAAGATGCCTAGTGGAGCATACCTACATTATTTACCTTTTTCTTGGGATTTCGTGCATCTTGCGCATGGGTGTACATGTAAATCGGTGTTTCTATAAGGATTGCATATGCACATGATATATCAGTTTCGAATAGTTATCAATGATTCAATGACTGATTCAGCTATCACTGACTCATTATCTAAGGTCGAAGCGTAACGTTAAATCTAACTATCCGACCAAGCTAGTAGTTAATGTATTTCATGAGTAAGCGGGCCGCACGCTACAGCTCGGGTGCAACGGCATCTTTCCACATACCTAAATCAATCACTTTTGATCCATTTCATGCGTGCTAGGTTTAATATAACCCCGCCCTAACTGGACAATAGCGGAATCGGCTGGTCTGTCACCGGAACCGGGACCCTCAGAGCAGACTATAAAAAATGCATCGCATCACGAGCAAAGGTCTCAGTATCACGATACCATCTACTCAGCTCTGGAAATCTCAAAATGAGTACTTTATTCATTGGAAATGACGAAAGGCAAGCTGGTGATGGCGATGCGATAAGTGCTTTGGCCAGAACTGCACCCGATCTGCACCAATCAAACGAAGCAGAGCAGGAGAAGTCAGATGCGATGTTTGATGAAGAGAAAAATGCTGCGAGCATACAGCCTGGAGATTCCAAGCGAAATCACGAAACCACAACAGCTGATGCTCCGTATTGCATACTGCCCGAGCGCCAAAAGGTCTTTCTGATGTTGCTTTGCTCCTTTGCCGCAATGATTTCACCCATTTCAAGCAGTATTTATTTTCCGGCTCTGAACAGCATTGGAAGTGACCTGAGTGTGTCAACTACTAAGATGAACCTTTCTATCACGATGTTTCTGGTGCAGATTCCTTCCAGAACTTGTTCATAGAGCGAAGGATACAGCTAACACACTCTGAGTATAGATCTTTCAAGGAATTGCTCCATCCTTTATTGCAAACTTCTCCGATATCCATGGTCGCCGCCCAGCATATGTGATTGCCTTTGTGATATATCTGGCGGCCAACATTGGCTTGTCATTACAGAACAACTATGCAGCTCTCATGGTCCTTCGATGTCTGCAAAGCTCTGGCAGTAGCTGCACCATTGCACTAGGGAGCGCAGTGGTTGCGGATTTGTCTACCCGTGCAGAAAGAGGAAAATACATTGGCTACGCGACCATGGGTGTTACACTCGGACCGGCTTTGGGTCCTGTTATTGGAGGTTTGATAGATTATTTCCTGGGTTGGCGGTGGATATTCCGCTTCTTGATTATACTCGCCGGTGTGTACGCTGCTCTTATCATAATGTTACTTCCAGAGACATGCCGTGTTGTCGTGGGTAACGGATCTGTGCCGAGTGCGAGATGGAATCGTTCTGGGTGGCAGGTTCTGAGTAGCGGATTCCGGCACGGAAGAAAAATATCGGAGCCAAACTATAACACTATGCAAAAAGGCAAACTTCGGCCTAATGTTTTTGCGTCTGCAGTGATTGCCACCAAGAAGGAACCTGCTATCATTCTCGCTTATGGAGCATTGCTTTATTGTGGGTATATAGCTGTTCTAAGCACGTTGACGTCGCAACTCAAGACACAGTATGCATTTAATTCCATCCAGATTGGGTTGTGTTATCTTCCCCTCGGTTGTGGTAGCCTTACGTCTCGATGGTCAGTAGGATTCCTCCTTGACTGGAATTTCAAGCGGGAAGCTGCACGACAGGGGATGCCCATAATCAAGAATCGACAACAGAATATTGAGAAGTTTAATGTCGAGGTAGCTCGACTCGCAATCACAATACCTTTTTTGTATGGAGGTGCGCTGTGTTTGATCGCCTATGGCTGGATAATGCAGTTCAAGACTTCTCTTGCAGGATCAATGATTATATTGTTTTTTTTGGCGCATTTGACCACAGGGGCTTTCAGCGGGTTGAATACGCTGGTCATCGACACGAATCGCGAAAGTCCAGCAACTGCCGTAGCTGCAATTAATCTCTGGCGTTGTTTGACGGGTGCTGGTGCTGTTGCAGCAGCAGGTCCGCTGATCGAGCGAATTGGAATTGGTTGGACAGCTACTTTTATTGCGTTCTTATGGCTGACGTTTAGTCCGTTGGTGTGGGCTGTTTATAAATGGGGATATGTTTGGCGAGAGGACTTGCGGAAGAAACGTGGGAGCACGGTCTGATCTACAAATAGTTTAGCGATGGAGGATTGAAGTAGGATCGAAAGAGGCTAGAAAAGAAACCTTAATCTTAACCCTGACAAAATGTTGGCCATATTTTACCGCGACGCTGGGAAAGGATAGAGCGCCTGAATCTATCTGACAAAAATGCGCTATATTCACAACACCATATGGCACATTATTTGGCACACAGATTGATAGAATCGCAGTCGTTTTCTTGTATGGGATACGCATATATAAAAGGGACAGGAATCTCAGATAGGAATGATGGATAGAACAGATCAATATTACACTGAATTTCCTCCATATATTTTGACTTACTGAGTTGGTGCTAGTGGTAAAAAGCCTCCAACACAAAATACTGTATGTAACATGCTCATATTGAGTTTTACCTTACAACAAACGCGGAGCCGGAAAGGGCCCCAGCAAAAGTATTAGATCTTCGCAAGTTGAGACATGCTTAAAACCTTAGCGGTAGCAATTTCTGATCAGTCAATGAATCAGAAAGCCCTCGGTTATTTTTTAGTATGGAACGCAATAGATAGACACGATTCCCAGATCGAAAGCAAAGCCCCTTTTGGCCTGCGGCAACTAGAGAAATTTGGAGCGGGGCACCAGGATGGATACGAGAATGCGAAGGGACTACTGAAGACATCCCCTAGATATTTGTCGAGAGAAGCAGCTGCAAATGTCACAGACTGGCACCCGGCGGTTCTTACCTGTTTAAATTTCTGTATCGAGTTAGAATATTCTGACTGGCTATCTCATTGATAATTTAACCAATCATTTCAGTGCATACACATTACCAGCTTACAGTCCAATCTTTGTCAGGCTAAAGAAAGCGCTTGCTTAGATGCCTTGTTGCCCCACTTGAAACACAGAGTTCTTTGTTACTCTTACATAGGAATCACAGAGATTTATACGGTCATCTGAAATTCGATTATGTCAATTTGATAGTGTAAGAATATTAAAAGTATGACTTAGTACTATAGTACTATAGTAAAGCTCCGTATCTTATAATATCACAGTGTTGCAGCGAAATTGAGTGATAGGCAGGTACCTATACGAACCATATTTTCCCTGCTACGAGGGGTTTTCCTTATTCAGCTGCTGCCACTTTTGTAAGGGCACTCATACTCTAGCTTACCAAATTTTAATCTAGGCTTACACTTATTAAGCCGTTTAGTATTAGTTATTTGGGCTATTTGCTGTGGAGATCGAGACTATTGTGGAGAGGTCTAATCGAACGGGTTGAGTCACGTTTGAGTACAAGATGTTTGGGTACTAAAATTGTTACTTAGGTGTTCATCATTGTCAGCAATCCCTCAAAGCCATGGAACCCGACATGGGTTCGAAGTTTTCCGCTACCAGTCTCACTCTATACTAGTGCTATCCTCTCTCTTCTAAGCGAGTCGGACTATCGCATTGAAATTTCGTATCACGGTATCTTCGACTAACCGGCAACTCAAGCCGAGCGTGAATTGATACACGTCGTTATTAAGGAGTTATGTTGAAAGATGTACTTGGGTAACCTGAGCTTGCGCATCGGAGTATCAAAAAGAACAGACTCGTTTAATAACTATAACGTGAAGAATTCTCTCTATGCAAAGGAAGAACTTCCACTTCGAATGTCGGTAGCACAGAGATGCTGTGATCCTCCAGATTATTCGTTGCAGACCTAACAAATAACCGCTTCTGATCAACACCTTTGTCCAGTCTGGCGACTTTCCAAGGATCCAGCCCATTCCATTCACTTGATCCTGTCTGAATTTTTCACTGCATCTTAGAAACGGGAAACCCCTAAAATGACCGTGAGGTTGACTAGGATAGATGAAAGCTTTGTCTTGATAACACAGGCTTCCCTTAAAACTTGCTCGTAAAGAAGACCTTCGTCTCTCAGCGGATCCATCCCAAAAATCTGCAGCACAGTCGACGGCAAGTGCGCATGGCCATTTGGGTGATTGAAGATGGCGTAACGGACAGCGTCATTGATATCCGGCTTGTAGCTGCGCATAAACATATCTATGGCTGACACAAGCAATAGTGGAGCGAACCTGTTTTGTTCGTAGTGAGGTAGTGTGGCCGATATTTCTCTGGGACCACCTCAGGCGGGGATAACCAGATGTTGCTCTGTCAATGATGGAGAAAGACAACCCAGCATCGTCACTCTGATCGAACTAAGTGCAATTAATAGATGGAACAGTGACTTGGGGGAACTTCAAAAAATGTATCGCGAATATATCACATACTTGGAGTCACATTGCAACCGATTCATCACAGCATCTAGTATGGTGCAGCGGTTTACAGATCTGAACCCGGTGAACTCAGTCGATGATCACAGCTTTAAAATAGTTAGTTCTCCATTTTGTGCATCATCATCAAATTCGTGCCCTTTTGGCGTCTCCCATCTGGTAGATCCGGTGGATGAGTTCGTTGTGATGAATACCTTCGAAGACGAGCTAGAATTGGGAGATTTACAAGATAGGAGAGCTGAGAGAGAGAGAGTTTACTCTAGCGGCCTGTCTGGCTACATGGTCAYCCCGCCATATCTTTTTCTTTGCGATTCCTTCTTGTATCTGATGGTTGTTATACTTCGAAACGGTCCGCAAAAAAAGGGGGGGGGCATACTATCGACCCGTAGCGCATTTAATTATCAGGATGCGCAAGTTCGCTTTCACGATGTGTAATACGTATTACTTGAAGTACGAAGTTTTGCAGTCAGCTCGAACAATCACTGAGTAGTAGTAGCGTTGATATACCTGCTGTCTCAGAGCCGCTACGAAGAGGGTGTGCTTTGTACACACCCAAGAAGAATATTATACAAAGATCCAATTAATCAAGGATAAAAACACACAATCCATAGTCATATTTGAATCTCGCATCATTTTAGAGGATCCGTTCGAACAAATCTCACCCATTGAAAATCTCTACGGTGGCCCCCTTTGGTTTGGTAAATTGACACAGCTGGTGTCAGATTGGCTGCGAGCTTAGGGCACGATCACAGATCAAAGAAGTAAATACAATTTCTACGTGTTGTAAAGCCCATATAAGTCAGGAGTTCACGACAAGCGCCTTTTTGAATAGAGATGTAATCCAAGCCTGATAACAATCTTCTACCTCTATTAGATCGCTACCTCATACCCAAATACAATTGACATTCGAATTCTGGATAGGCGCTGTCGCAAGATACAGGACAGCCCACGAGACATCTAGGGTTGTACTCGTTATAGTTTCTTTTGAATGGCCTTCGTCGAGACCTGCCGTAAGTGGTGTGAGAGTAAGCCATGGGGAGCCCATGGATATTGCGATGCCTCTGTCTTTAGTCTCCTGTCGATTTGCAGTGCTTCTAACAAGCCCCAGAACAGCATGTTTAGATGTTGCGTAGATGTCTTGTTCGGCAATGCCAAAGCAAGATGCTGCTGACCATGTAACAATAATGCGACCCCCGTTTTTTTTCGTATAATGTACGGCAAGCCTCATACCATACACAATGCCTTTTAAATTGAGGTACAATACCGCGTCCGATGGTGGTTTCAAGACCTTTTCACCATGCCTTTCTTGTTATATGTCAATATACTTGTCAGCCAGGTAATTATACAGTATCCGGTTCTTGGAGTCCTTCGATATGGACTGGTGACTAGCAGTCATGAGCTCGGGGTCTATACCGGCGTTGCAGCATACCGCGTATGGTGGCCCTAGATTCTGCTGGACCCACTTGAACATCTCGAGTTGCTCGTCCCAAGAAGATACATCACATCGATAGATATGACACCCATGGCCAATACGCTGCGCGGCTTCTTGCAGATTCTGCTCACGTAGGTCCACGAGTACAACAATTGCGCCATGCTCGGCAAAGGGCTTCGAGATTGCGAGTCTGATTCCCGATGCAGCTCTAGTTACCCATATCAATCGTCCTCGTATTTCTTCTGAGATTTCCCTACTGCTGGGTTTGTGAATGGTAGACATAGCGCCCCTACAGATTATGAACAATGGGAGATGAGTTGTCGAAGTCCAAAATGACCCTGAGCGTGCAATATGCTTCCCATACAGGCGTTTACTAAAATCCTGCTCGCCCTCTGCTCTGATGCAGGCGTCGGGTTCACATTAGCTTTTGCGCTTGCAAGGAAAAAAAGCTGACTCGATCGACTGACACATGACGCGTGGCGGTTTCCCACATTGATCGTTCTTGTTTCCAACCCCATGACAAGCAGCTTTACCTTGTGCAAGTTTTATTAATACTATCGTACAAATGTACGGTTTCGTGATCCGAAAATTGGCGCTTGTTTTTCAAACATCTATCGACCAATCTCAAAGTATTACTTCGGGTTTTTCGTTCCTTTCGGACATTTCCCCCTCGATCAACACACCCACGTAATGTGGAAGATATCTTCCTTTTGCAATGACGTCTGACATTGGACTTACGGGGAAGGTCGCCATCGTCACTGGTGCAGGTGGCGGACTAAGACGAGATTACACTGCTCCTGGCAAGCAAAGGTGTACAGGTTGTAGTGAATGACTACGGCGGTACGCTCGATGGGATAAGAGGAACCATTTCGAGAGCACAGAGTGTGGTGGACGAAATCATAGCCAACGGAGGAAAAGCAGTAGCTGATGCTCATGATGTGTCTGTCAGTGACGAGGTCAAGGAGATAATTAAAACAGCCATCAGGGCATTCGGAACTGTGCACATATTGGTTAACAATGATGGAATCTCGGGTCAACGAAGTTCCCACGACAATGTGAATATAGAATCTTACCGAAGGACCTGGGAAATTGCTGCATTGGGTACGACCCTGCTCATATCAGAGGTGTGGCCCTTTATGGAAAAGCAAATGTATGGCCGAATCATCAACACCAGCTCCGATTCAATTTATGGCTTTGGTGGTGGTGGTGATGGCGGTTATGTTTCTTCAAAAGGTGCCGTCTTTGCACTCACCAAGAATTTGGGAAAATTCAGTCATTCATTCGGAATTATGATTAATGGCGTGCTTCCTTCAGCTGTCTCAGCATGTCTGACCTCTCTCCATTTATTAGAGAAGTTACTCGGGCATACTTTGACACCGCAAAAGTTGCTCCCTTCGTTGCGGCTCTAGCTAGTGCCTCATGCACTGTCTCAGGAGAGCTGTTTAGCGTGGGTGGCGGAAGAGCTACAAGGACTACCCTTGCAACTTTTCCAGGTTACAGTAGTAAAACGGCTGAGGAAGTTTCTAATTTGCTTCTACAATGTAGCTAAGAGCTATTCTCTATGCTCTCTGTACCCTATTCCTCTGAGATATCACAACTGTACGGTCTTTTGGGGGACCCCCCCACCCACAGAATTTAATCCCAAAATTACTAAAGCCACAAATTCCGTGACAACCAACGGAAATTGAGTGAGAATATATTGACCAAGGCTAGAATGGCCTACAGGATGGATATACCCAGGAGAATAATTAATTGTACTAGACTAGGATCAATCGACAGCGCTGGAATTGGTGAATAAACCGCGAAAATTATAACCGTTTCCAGCCGGATCTGGGCGCGCAATTTCAAGAATTCGATTCACGCGGAAGGAGATATTTTTCGAAGACTAACTTTATGCCACGTATTTTGGCATCAATGTCGATACGGGTCTAGATATTTATAGGTGTCTGTAATTTTCAAGGTTTCCCGGTGTGTATTCAATGGCTCATATTTGCAAAATACCCTTGGTACAAGACTATTTCGCTAAGAACGCAGACTTGATCCTTTCTACATGGAACAACGGTGGAGGAGAGATTAAGGAAGTGATATCATGATAGGAAAAACAAGACACTATCTATAGGTACAGTAAAAAATCAAGACATATGCATAGTGTGTGGACATGTGTACCACTCATTGCCATAGATAGTCGGTAGGCATTGAACTCTGGAGGAAATCAGGATAGACAGGATTATGAAGAAAGTCTCTCGCACTGATCAGCTGGTCGTAGACCAAATGTTTTCCTACCAGCGCCCCAGCTTATTGCAAGTGGCTTGCGCGCATATTCCCGCAATTCCTTGTCATATTCGCTAACGATTCCTGACAGATCTTCCTGGTTATCGTGAGCTTTGATAATTCTGCGAGCGAGGTCGCTGGCATCCCGAAGCGCAGTGTTGACACCCAGTCCTCCAGTAGGAGGCATTGCATGAATCGCGTCCCCAAGTAATGTCACTCTCTCCCAGGACTGCCAGTCCGGGAGTTTTGGATCCACCGAAGCTATTCTTAAGGTCGACGTCTGTGTTCGATCTTGATGCTTCACAACTGCTCTGATACTCGGATGCCAATTTTCGGTTAGTGATAGCGCCAGATCTGCAGATTCTTCTTTGCTCAGGCTCAGCAACTTTGTATCGGGGAGCGGGGAATGTTCTTTGCGGAGTAGCAAGACCCAATAAAGGTAGTCATCGGGAAGTTCGATGTGCTCGATAGAATTCCCTTGATGAAAGCGTATAGCTTCGAGTAGCATCGTTTTTGGGACTCCGTGAGTTGTATCCTCCGACAAGAGGCTCATGCCCTGAAGCAGCTTGGCCGAAATCTCTGCTTCGAATGCCGAAGTGATAGGTGATTTTCCGTAAATGATTCGCGATTCCGTGTCAAGAAATGGGTACTCCGGTAAAATTTGTTTTCGGATCGAAGAGTTTAGGCCATCGGCACCGACAAGAAGTGATCCAGATTCGGACGTGCCGTCTGAAAAATGTGCGGTGACTCTGTCATCATGGGTTTCGAAATGAGACACGCACTTTCCGTAATGGAGCTCATTTTCGAGATTGGTCAGCAACACCTCGCGCATTGTTGTACGATCAACCGTGTATGGCTGCATCTGACCGTGAGCACCGGCAGGAGGTCCGCCGCCAGCTGGAAGAGGTTCAGCTGTAAGAACGTTCAAACGGCCACCGTGTGCTCCGCCGACAAACTCGGCTGATGTTTTCTCAAACAACTTCCATACTTCGGGTGTCAAGGAATACTGCAAGCCAAGAATGCCATCTTCTGATATGCGGAGGCGATATCCTTGGGCTCGAAAATCTCGCTTGAAGTCTCTCTCGAAAATTTTGAATGGTATGGCATGCTTCTTCAATGCCTGAGCTAGACACAGACCGCCCAAACCGGCACCAGCGATGAGCACTGGGGTATTGTTGATCTTAGGATAGACAGAGTCGGAACTCATTTTGTACGATTTGAAGGCTAAATAGGCTGTTGATAAAATCTGAAGTCGAAGGATCGCGGTGATGTAGAGAACTTCTGGATATTTGTTTTGTCCCTGGAGGCGAATCCCGGACGAACCTGATTACTTATACCTGAAGCCTAGAGCTAGCCTAGACGTGCTAGTGTGATATCTCGTTAACATGACTCAGGAGATAGAGCGATATACTGCAACTCTAAAGAGTCTCGAAGGATGTTCTGGTTATCTTCACGCCGATGTGACCGATGAGAGAACCTGGCAGCATCCCTGTTATTGGTTATTGAGTCCCAGTCCATCGGGAGTCAAGCTCCGCCCACCGACTACCCATCAGAGCTAGCCCCTTTTGGTAGCTGGTCGGCGAAAACGCTTCGGAGGACCGCCGATGACTCAGATTGATTTTGTCGACTTGGCTTTGCATAGATTGTTTGCAGAAGTACGTACCGTCGCTTTCATACATACTATGTAGTAGTCCATACAAAACTCAAGATACTCAAACTACCTGGCAAATTTTCGACAAATAGTGTCATCACGTTTCAAATTCTCATCAATCATTCATTACTGTTTGTTATTGATTTTGTACATCGATGGTAGATTGCAGAAACCACTATTCACTCCGGCGGTGTAAAGTATCGCTTAAATCGCTCCACTCGACTCAAGTCCAGGTCCACCACAACAGTATGGCAGTTCATCAAGAGAGACGGAAATCTCACCGCCCAGAACCGCAAATAGCCCTCTGGCAGACCACCAATGTGCGCTTTAAGATGCTCCGACATGTCATTGTAATGATTTCGTTTGTTGCGAAGAGCGCGCAGCAGATCGAGCATGCGCGATCCCGTGTACTTGCGTTGTTTGCCTAAACTGTCTTTGAACTCCTTGGGTAAGAGTTTGAGAAAATCCATATCAGGACCCATGACGTTGCGGGCAACAGACTCAAGGTACTGAAGTGCCGGAGATGGCGGGTCGCGCGGTTCGAATTCGAAGTGATCTGACACATCGCAGAGGAAATTCAGACGATCTGCCGCATTCCAGAAGAAGGGATGCATGAGAACTGTCGTTGCATCAGGGCTAAGACGATCAATTAGCAATGTCCTCTACGTGTTGAGCGAACGAGGGACGGCAGAGATACATACCGACTACGAGGATTCAGTGAAAGCATATTACGAATGAGGTCATCCGCTTCAAACGCATAGTCACCTAAACGTTCGAGGTCCACAAGATTGTAATTGCCTTTGACGATATTTGCCTCTCGCATGAATTTGCCGTCCTTGTCGTAGGGATGTCCTCCGCGGGTAAGGACGTAGTAGAAAACACATCCCAGAGAGAAGATATCAATGGCACGGGTCGCTCGTCGGTTTGTCTGTGGATCAACTACAGCCGGTTCGGACGACTCAGTATGGTTCGAATGTCCACCATTTATTGCTATAGCCGACTGTTGGTCTTCATCCACCAGCAACTCTGGTGCACGCCATCCGGATGTACCTGCGGCGTGCGCTGTAGTAGCTCGGAAAGAGCTTTGGTTATCTTCGAGCTTCTTACACAAGCCAAAGTCTGAGATCAAAAGACGAAGCGCCGGGTACTGGCTACTTATACTACGACCTCGTGGTGCAGCGACGAGGATGTTCTGTGGTTTGAGATCCCGATGCACAATCTTAAGTGAATGTAGATACCGTACACCAAGCGTGATCTGCCGTAAGACATCTGGAACGTCCAAGCCGCCTTTTACCAATTGAGGATAGTCCTGCGGTTTCTCGACTACCTCTTGAAGGGACGCCGGACAAAGCTCCAAGGCGATGTACAAAAACCCAGCAGCCTGTTCACGACAATAGTATCGGATGACGTTGCTGTGGTCGTCGCTCTCTTGTAACAAGCCAACCTCATGTGACGCTATATCGAAGAACTCAACTAGCATTCGCTTGACAGCCACGTCTCGTCCATCAAAAGATCCTTTGTAGACAATAGTTCCATGGCTACCATGACCGAGTACCGTATCCGTATATACTTTGAGCTGACCAATCCGAATGGCGCCGTCAATCTCATAAATTTCATTCGAAACCTGACGAGACAATTGTACGTCTGGTTCAAGTCCTGATGGTGGAACTAGTGATTTGACTTGTTCAACTGCCTGTGACAGCACTTTCTCCTCGTCGGAGCCGGGCTTGGGTTTTCTTTTATGAGCTTTACCGCCTCTTTGACCCCTTTGACGTTTCTTCTTCTTGGGTTCCTGGGGGTTCAGCTCGTCTCCATCGTCATCGGGTCCTCGAGAAGGTTCGCGAATACGGACTCGAGGTGTCGTCTCTGGGTCGCCAGATCGGGACGAAGTCCGGTCATTTCGTGGAGTGGATTCGTTGTCAACCTGGATATCCTCTAGTTGAACCGGTGCTTTCCTGGGCGTTGTGAATTCGGAGCGAATATTAATCGGACTGGAATCTCGTTGGAAGGAGTTCACGGTTGGAGATGTCGGCGGTTCAGAAATGTGCTGATCGTAAGCAGCCAGGATGTTCTTCAGGTCCAGCTTCTGTTTCAAATGTTCTTGAAACAACGCCGAATTGACCCATAGGAAGTAGCCAAATAGAGCAAGAATGGCCAAGACAAATATATCGGTGCGGTTTTCCCAGCCAGTACGGATAATTACACTTTGTCTGAGAGCAGGAGGTGAAGCAAGATACGATGGAGAGCTGATCATATCCCGAGGTGTACCGTTCGGACCACCCCCAATGGCTGAAGGGCCAGAGATGCTATGCATTCGACTGCGACGGCCACCATGGCTGGTCGGCATGTTGACCGAATGTACGCCGACGAGAGCTTTGCGCTGCCGCTCAAGATCGAGTGTGAGGAGTGAATGGCTATCACGGAAAAAGTCCTTGTCGTAACACTGGGCCATGCCTGCACGGCCTGTCACAAGAGGATATGTTGTTTCCGACATGGCGTACCAACCACCAGCCTCGGTACAATCGATGAAAACTCGGTCTTCAGTGTCGGGGGAGGCGGCATAATCAGGGTCAGGTGGCTCGAGCGGTTGAGAGAGTAACACGAGTGGCAGAGGGGAATCTGGAGACTTGACATTGACCGGTCGAGCTACATCGAAAACTCGCACGACTGGAGATGAGAACCGTTGAGTGTAACGAGGGCGTTCCATGCGTGAATGATCAAAGCCGAGGACCACACCATCATGCATGCTGTAAATGTGACTTTGGTCCATGGTCTGATAGTACTGGCTTTGAAGATCAACATCACGATTATTCGGTGTCCATTCGGAATACTTCAAAGTGCATATAGGCTCGCCGGKTTCCGTGTTTTGGATGGCGACGGCATACTCAATACGGCCAATGGTCAATGTCCCAGATGTCCCTCCACAGTGGCCACCGTCCTCACTGGTGTTGTCATCGTCGAGATTGTCATCGGTAGCGAGTCGGTCGGTTTTGCAATTGTGATCGGCGGAAAGAGGACCGCGAGAGCTGAAGACACGGAGGACATTACCGGTACGAGCGTCAACGGTATATAGAGTGGTCTCTTTGCGGGCAGTGTAAGTTACTGCTGGATCTGTTCCGGAATATGGCGTTTCGTTGACAAGGTCCTTGACGGTAAGTCCTAGTTTTTGGAGACCACCTTGTTGTCCGGGACTGAAAATATAGAGACTGCCATCCATGCTGGGTTCGACAATCCAGAGAAAGTCGTCATCTCGGATGGAGGTATCAGCGTCGAAACCGGTTGTTGAGCGATTATGATAGATGCTTTCGACCATGGGGCTACTGGGAACTTCCAGGGCCCATCGAGGGGAACCCGTTTTGCGATCTCGAGCATGAATGGTACCATCGACGGTCGCCAACAAAACAAAATCCTCAACCTCCCAGTCCTGCAGGGACCGCGCTTGAAGCTGCGACACCAAGCCGGCAGTTGGACTGCTCAGCTGGGCAGGGGGGGCTCGAACGGCACGGCTATTAGAGCCTGCCAGAGCCAGAGTTGCTAGGGCGCTCACATCGTCCGGATTGATCTTCTTCACGTCCGGCGGCATGTGTGTGCGGGTATCTCGAAAATATGTATGGGGGCTTTCGTCGATAGTCGACTGGCCCGTGGGGCGCGAGGCCACGTATATCGAAGACGATACGGCGGCATCGTGTTGTTGAGCGTAAGACAGCTGCTGCGGAGCCGTGAGAAGGAGCGAAGGGAGGAGGATGGCGGCACTGGCCGGAAGCGCGGTCGGCAGCTTCCACCGCATGATTGAGCGATTAAGCAAAGAGATGTATCTCGTTGCAGTTCAGCGAGGAACTCATCTCATAGATGAGAAGGATGAATAAAGTGAAGGAAACGAGGAGTAACCCTCAAATGTATTTGGTTGGAATGAGGGTCGCTGTGTCGGCCACTGCGGCCGGAGGTGACGTGCACAAATGGAGCAATATACGGCAGAAGCCACGAGTACTAGTACCAGGAATACGCTAAAGGTCTAAAGAAAAGTTAGGCAGCGCCGTGAGTAGATTGAAGGATGAAAGATGAAAGATGAAGGAAGTCTGTCTGCAGTTGGAATAGGATAGAATGGAGCGAAGTCGAAGTCGGGGCTGGGGAGGGCCAACTGTGGATGTGTGCCGGCCGCTAAACCACACACGGCTTAGTCTGTCTGACAGTCGAATATGGAAGTGTGTGGAACAAGGTCTGCGACACTTGCTCCCACGTACTACGTAGTACTATGTATGTAGTAGGACGCTGTAACACCAGTTTGATTGGTTCAACGATAGTGGCCACATAATACATACTGCCACTAATTCAATCAGTCGACAGACACCTCCTATGTATATAGTACGCGTGCGTATACGTAACGGGATGCTTGGAATAGGTAACTTCTTACTTAATACCAATACGTGTACCGTATTTGTGTTGCACCGCGCTACAAAGAGAATCGTGCGACCCTGGCTTACGTAGGCGGACATGAGGAATTCCTCCTTCCAGCCGAGGCGATTATACATACGACATAACTGGTACAACAGGAGTTTATTAGACGACTCATAGACTAATTACTTAGATTTGATTAGCCAGCTATGGTCTAAGGGCCGCTATCCAGGCATGCTAGAACCCGCAGGCATCAACAAAATTATAGTGCAACCATGGTGGTAGTTCGTACTCTGTAGTAGTAGTCAAGTCCGCGACCTCACGCTGCACCTGAGGGTGCGCGTCGAATCAGCGTAAATATCGGATCAATACAAATTTGTGTTTTAAAATCTCCCCTGTCCGTTGAAAACCCACCCAACACCACCAAAATGTCGTCGGGTCTATAAAGAGAATAAGCAAGGATTCAGAAAGCATCCTGACAGATTTATATGACCACTAATTTGCCACCCATTAACGGGATCTCGCTTTTGGTCGTATGGTGAAGGACATGGTTATGATCAGCTTTACCCAACTATATTCCCAAGTTCGAACCAGACTCTGGCCAAGTCAATCACTCAGTACTAGGGCGAGCTGAGCGTCCAATTCCCGTAAAGCAGGGGGGTGAACGGGCACCCCCTCAAAGACCACGGCTACCAAAATATGGAGCAGCGATAGTTGCTCCATATCCACAGCAACGACACATATGAACTTGGGAGGGTATAACAGACTTATGATCACTACTTTACCACCCATTAATGGGGTCTCGTTTTTGATCGTATGGTAGATCTGGATTTTAAAAACCGAAGCAAAAGTCACGTCTTAGCGCGAGAATTTGATGTCCCGTATTATTTGGCATCCCTAGATGGGGTGCCATTTTTACAATATGAATGCATCTATAGGGGGGCTAAGAAAAGAAGGCAGAGAAGAAAAGGAAGGCCTAAGGAGTCTCCAATACAACTCCACCGCTCCCTGCAGGCGAAGAAGCAGCGATTGATCGTAATGATATTTTGTATCAAACTCCGGCGCGTAGGAACGTTGTTTGCCCGAGCTCTAATTCGACATCGCAAACCTTTGGGTCTTGTTCCGAATCTGTTTGCCAAAAATATATATGAACATGCCCATGAACATGAGCCCGGCCGTGATACCCGCGACGATATTGAACGCTCCTTCATAGCCAGCCCGGCTAATGAATGAAATCGCCCCGTAAGAAATGCCGAAACCGATGAAACCACGACAAGAGCAGATCAACACAAGACAAGCATCGATGCGTTGAGGGTAACTGCGAACATTAGCCAAGGCACTTTTGAACTGCACTACTGATCATTGACTTACGCATCCATGCAGTAGACACAAGAAGAAATAACTATGCCGACAAAACCGAAGTATTCGAAGTTAAGAGTGACGGCAATGCCGGCCCATGTCCAATCCTCGGGATGTGCGGCAGTCTTACCATAAACTATGGCAGATATCAGAACCGCGATTGTAGGAACAATTGCAGCGATTAGACGATATTCCGGCTATTTTCCGTCAATACGGCTATGTCCATATGCATGTAAGGGCGACCACTTTACCTCACTGACACCCTTGTTCCTCTTGCTGAGCCATTTGATTGTCTGATCGCTTAGATACCCACAAACAAAAGGTGCAGCTATCGCAGTCGCAATTTGGCCAACGAACACATAGCCAAGGGTGTTGAATCCCCACAAAAAAGGAGGCGACAAAAGGATTCCAGCAAATAGTGCGGACATAAGTACATATATACCCAGTCCAGCAGAGTTCCTATGAGTTGTTAGAGAAAAATAATGACCGTCAAAACAAGTTCTAGGCAACTTACAGTAGGATGAGCCATAGAACATTTGGAAAGAAGATAACCTGAGACATCTGTTTGAGACACTCTATAGTGAGTGACCACTGCGCTTCGCCAGACCAAGGTGCCATATCTCCCACAAAGCTTCGCGGGCGATAACTGACTTCATCGAACTCACGCTTTGTTCGAGTCGTCACGGGAACGAGAACGCCATTGACTTCGTTTCCTTCGCCATTCAAAGCCTGTATGGAACGTTCGTACTTGGTCTCCTTGACAAAGATGATACTGAGAACAGCAATTGCTCCGCTTACACACCCAAAGATACCGTACCACCACCGCCAGCCTAGATGGGGATTAGAAGCAATATATGGGCTTGAGACAATCAACGCGGCAGTTCCAACGGTTTGCAGCGCGCTGAATACCGCAATAACTAAGCCACGTTGGTGTAAGAAAAAGATTTCTTGGACGATGATGGGACAAAGAGCTTCAGCTGTTCCCGCAGCAATAGACATGACATCTCGTCCGGCGATGTGTGACTCGAGGCTTTTACTCTCTGCACACCAAAGACACCCAAAGGCTAGGATGATTGTAGAGGCCAGATACATGGGTCGTCGTCCAACTGCGTAAGCCAGTGGAATTGAAATGAGATTGCCGACGCCCATGAAAAATGCAGGCCAAGTCACCAGATCGTTTGTCTTGGGGTTGCCGTTATACGACGCTGTCACCAACGGCAGGAAAGCGCTCATACCACTGGTCATGAGGTTTCCTGTGGCGGCGTATGTGCCGACGATGAGTAGAATAAGGACCTTCTGCCATGTCGGTAAATTCAAAGGATCTGGAACATCATGTCAGATGATAGGAGATTTTACTGGTAAAGTATTGGAGGGTTTTACCATTTGGATCGTTTGTTGGAGTAGGAATCAAAACAATTTCTGAATTGGTGATGAGCTGGTGACTGCCCACGACCGGTTCGTGGCCATTCTTGAATGTCTCAACATCGTCGATATGGACTGAGTCGAAGTACTTCGCATCCGTTGCATCCATTGTTGATAGTGAAGGGCAGATCTCGACACCTATCGATCCAAAGGTTGCTTTCATCAATCAATGCATTTGAAGTTTTCGGGACAAATACCGTGGCTTATGAATGCAACTCGAGGTGGAGCCGGTCAACGCTCTCGGGAGGAGAATTGGACAACCCCCAGATTCTGCTGGTTACCAATAAGTTAAGTTGCACTGGTTATTTATTTCTTGTGGTTATCCGGGGTCCCCACATTGGCACGTTTAGCCCCCGGATCACAATGAATGTTTGCAAAGCATCACTCCCCGAGTTCTGGTAGGCCACTTACCAAACTGTACTCCGTTGGTTCACGTCCACACATACATTGGCTCTTTCTAACCTAGAAGGCGGCCAAAGGGAAAAAATGTAACCGAGATTTCGTGTCTATTGCCACTGTCTAACAAGCAAGCGCTGGGTAAGTAATTATAACCGAAGGATCTCGCTTTTAGATCTCGTACATGGCAAGGTACGGCAGTGCTTCGACTCGATATACCTCACGTGAGAATGGTTTCTGCTTGTATGTAGTTGAATGCAACCGCACTACAGGCTTGGAAGGATACAAGTATCTGGAGAGTATTGCTTGTGTATGAGGAGCTAAAGGCAAAAAGCAACAGCTAATTAATGAATATGAGTAAATTCTAACCTAACATACAGCGAAAAATCCTTGCAAATTTAATACTCCTTGATACCAACGAGCTTCTCAAGTTTTTCCGTGATTTCTGGCTTGTTAATTGGTTCCGTTCTCTCCCATGGATCCAATTTGCCGTCAATCTTATGCTTTCCATGTGAATAGATATTGATATGCGGCCAGTGGGTTGTTGTTTCCCAGTTGTGGAAGATCTCAACTTTTTTCTTGCGATCTTCGGGTGACAACCACGCAGCTGGAGTCATGCAGGTATAAATGACTGTACGAACAAGATCGGTTTCGGGATAGAGGGCGTAGTGCATCTGTCGAGAGTCCCACAAGACCAGGTCTCCGGGCTCGGCGCAGACCTTGACGAGCTTGCAACCGTGATCCTCATACCATTTAAGATCTTTGTCCTCAAAAGGATAGAAGTCGTAGTGCAGGGCAGCAAGTGGGCCCTTGGTTCGGTCAGGTGGAAACTCCTTGAAGAACTTGTCAAACAATGGCGCACTGCCGTCCATGACAACCAGCCCTCCGTCTTTGGGGCCTGATTCGGAGCCTAAGAAATGGGTAGAGGAGTTAAAACTGTGTTCCTTCTGCTCTGCTTTGAACACACTTACAATTAAGGAATCCCTGAACACAGTGCAACCCATTTCTCTCGGGCGCTTGATCAACATGTGGCCATGGTTTTGTGCCTCCCATTTCTGCGGCATTTGGAAGGGTGATGTTGATTGTGTCAAAAGACGATATCAGCTCATTGGTGCCCCAAATTTTGGCAAAGGCATCAAAAACACCTGGCTCCTGTCTTGCTTCCCAGATATAACTTTCATGGGCGGCGCAAAAGTTGAGATACATGCCGTTTTTGAAACTCCAAGGAAGATTCTTTTCTGTCCAAGTGCTCCGGTCATTAATATCAAAGTCGTTTGGGAAGGTACCAAGCCAGTCCACCATTTTCCGATGATAGTATGCGGCTCGTTCCTTGGTCACGACATTTTTAAGGACAACATATCCTTTTGTCGAAAATTCGTCTCTCCAGTCGTTATACCTGACTTGTTGAGTCATTGGATCTAATGGAGCAGTATATGGTGCCATTGTGAATGCAAAAGATGAAGATTTCGATATATATTGATGATGATGAACGATGAGTATAGAAAACGTTTTTAGTCGTCTGGTTATGCACAGAACGTGACTATTTGAATTTGAACTTATCAACACATCAGTCTGAATTACGACTGTACATAGTTAAGTACCTGCAGCTGCTTAATGTTTATTTTCTTGTGATGAGCGATGTCCAATAGGGTTATCCGGCTTAGTTGTGATACCGGGTCGGACTGAAGATGGGTACGCGCAGTTGATCCGAAACTCATCGGATCTTGATCATGAGACCACTACAAATACATTGGCTTCAGAATTGCCAGTACTGGTTCCAGTTCAATATCCGTACTGAACACGAATAGAAGTATCCGGCTCAAAATTGAAAATATCTCCATATGTTACAGAAGCAGCAGGGATTTTGATTAGATACAAGCTAGTTTATGTTTTACGGGATTTATCAAAGTTTTAGTTATGTGTATCATCTACTTCCATGTAGATGGCCATTCAGACAGTTGAAAATCTCTGGTACTAAAGATGTCGTTTATTTGAAGTTTGTATCGGCCAAAGCGAGATCGAGCTAGAAATGATACTATGCTCTCAACATCATCTGATAATTTCTGTCAGCGTAGAATAGTCTGCGCATCGTCGTCTACGGGCTAATATCAGCTTTCTGGTTTTTAAGCACCAATAGTTCCTGCTGTATACGTGCAAAAGGTAGAATAACCAATTGGTCGCTCGTTTTCTTAAGGGTCTTCTTGGGTTAGTAAATAAAACTCGTGTAAAAAGGCCTGAGATATTTAAAGTCGCGATAGAGGTGCTGCAGCTACATGAAAGATTCTTTTCATTCTTGCTTCTTCATATTAGGTCTAAGTTTGCTCTTGGAAATATGGATTATATTGGTCCCAGAGCCTTTCATTCTAGCAGAAAGGAAGAATTACATGACTGTCGTGCTCGCCTCCAATGTGAACAACATGACGGCCTTTGTTCTTGACATGCTCCGGTTTTCCAAAATTCGATACCCCACGGAAATGTCCCGCTACTTCAAATTGTATGCTTTCACCAGCCTCAAATTGAATACCTGTCGCCCAGATACCAATCTCAAGCTTGATAATTTGTCCGGGAGGAATGCGCTCCTCTCGGTCATGGGGGTGGAAAGGCCAATTCGGGTGCATTGACTTCGTGGAGTCAATGGCACGTTGAGAAGCTCGAATAATGCCAGTCGGCCCTTTATAAAGGATGACCTCTGTCGCCAGTTTTTCAGGGATATCCTCAAATGTCTTGATTGGCACACCTTCCCATGGCACGTTCAAGCACAGCATGGGCTCGCCTGTTGACGAGAGTTTGCGTAAGATGAGAAAGACATCCATATCATCATGCTCCAGGCAGGACATGTACAAGACTGCTTTTGGTATACCCATCATGCGAGTGGTCTTGTCAAACTTATACGTAAATTTCAAAAATTCTGTCTGGGACGTAGCATCGTATGACAACTGAAGACTTTCAGCGGGAGGTTTGAAGGACAGACTGTCGTTAGGTGCCAGGTATGCCTTCTTATATTCAGTGTTGGGAACAGGAAAATCTTCCTCTACTATGTTCGCAATCGACGGTGTTTGGCCGAATCTCAGCAATGCCATGCGAACACGGGGCGTGCTTTCCCAGCCATTTTCAATTCCCTTGAGATAATGATCGAAGTACCGAAGTAGATCCTGCATTGACTCAGGGTTCCCCCAAATGTCATACCACTCCTGGGTTGGGTGGAATCGGAGCCATTTTTCTGTGGTCGTGGTCTTTAACCATCCAAGGATAGACCCCATGCCGTGCATAGTATTGGAATATGTCCCGGTGATATAAGTTGGGATATTGATTTTCTCTACTTCAGCGCGTTTATCGTTCCAGTAGTCATTAGCCAGGGGATACTTGTCGAACATAGCCCGAATGTCTTCAATTTGACGGCCGTGAATGACATATTTCGTAATGAGTTCATCGAAGAGGTCGCCGCTATAAATACCGCCACGAACGAATGTCTCACGGTACATGTCTACGCAGCCTTCCCATGGCGCTATAGCCTTTAGAGATGGCGGTTGCTCTGCTGCAATGAACCATTGACTTTGGGCAAGATGCGAGTTGCCTGCCATTCCAACACTTCCAGTACACCAAGGCTCTTTGGCGATGAGTTCAATTACGTCGTGTCCATCTCTCCCTTCTTGGGTTCCCAACACCGCACACAAACCCTCAGAGTCAAAACTACCTCTGTTGTCGACGTTGACGATGGCATACCCCATCTCCACCCAGAAAGCTGGATCAGGCGCCTCAAATTTCTCCAAGCCACTGAGTGTGCCATCGGGGATACCCAGATTATAAGGCGCCATCAATTTCAATGAATCGGGACCGTTGAAGTTCTTTCCAAAGGGACCCCAGCAGACGATCGCTGGCACTTTACCAGTAGTAGGACGAAGGACGTCAGCATACAAAGTGACGCCATCTCGCACCTTGTACCCAACGTCACGCTCAACTAGAATGTCACACGTCAAAGCTCGGCCACCGTCTTTCGACCAGCCCTTGGGCAGGGTTTCGGTACGGGGATTGAATCCGTGATAACCTAGCCCGACTTTGGGAGGGCTCAAAGGCTTATAGATGATTTCAGTCTCGACCTTCATGGTTACTGTAAATTACAAGCTTGCGGGAGATGAAAAAAATAGTAGTAGCTCCGGTTTAAATGGTGGCATTTACGGCTTATTTATTAAAAGTGCGACTTACTGACCAAAGGAAGCTTTCGCTTTTTGATCAATTCTCAAGGCATCTTCGGGGACTGCTCCCCACAAACAATTTCCGGGGAGAGGTATCGGATGTGGTTGTAATTTGTGAAGTCTCACGGTGAACATCAATCAGCAAATCGGCACCATTGCCTCAAAAGCCAGTTTCAAAGCGGACGATCCGATTGGCTACTTTTACAGAGTTTTTAATGAGAAGAGTAGAATTAGGACATGAATTTCATGATACAAAAGAGCGAGCCGGGGCCACCCCACAAATATCCCCCGCGCCTGAGATTCCTCTACAGCAAAGCCTTGTGTCGTACGGACAAAATATTTATACCTCTGGAAAAAGTCCCATTCACAGTCCCCGGTAGGAGCTATCCGTTGCCCAATAAAATATCCAATCACGCACATGAGCCGCCGCAAAACGAATCTACGGTAAGGATAGGCCAAAACCTACCCCGACTCAGATCTTCCAACTTCCAAGAAGAGGGGGGCATCTGAATTTGAGTCGGCCATGTCCGGTTACAAAAGTACGTACCGCAAATAGATATGGAGCTTTGATATGGCCATGTGGGCTTCGAAAGTATTATCTACCTACTTAAGTTCCAATCACAGGATCGAACGTGGTATCTAGGTCCTGCCGGGACCGCATTCAAGAACTCCTCCGCCTCGGGAAAGTGGATGTATCGGTACTCTTCTCCGCATCCCGTTTTCCGGTCCTCTTTATTGGAGGACCGGCTGCTCTTGAATGTTACACTTTCCCAAAGCCATACAAGCATCATGAATCCCTTTACTGTCTCTTCAACACTGGTTCCCAAGCGAAAACGCTTGTCTTGTGCGTGTAATTACTGCAGGGCTAAAAAGACAAGATGCGACGAGCAGCGACCTAGGTGCACAAACTGCCAATTGGCCGGTGTGCCATGCATCACGGTTGACAGACGGCGAACCAAAGCAGCCGATCAGCAGCGTCGTAGAAATGAAACTACAAAGATTCGACACCTGAAGACAGGAGCCCGGACAGCCTCGGCACTGCTTTCCCCTGAGACAACGAGTGTCAGTCCGCCGCTAAATCCGGATGGCCCAGCATTCCCAACATCCCCTTTTCCTGTTCGAAGAGGCTCACATGATTCATCCAAAGCAAGTTGGGACGACACTAAGGATGACACGAGGTACCTACCCTTGGTGCCTTTCCGAGCTGGAGCCAGTGTTGTGCAGATGTCCACTCGATGGCTCGATCTAGCGCTCTCTCGTCTTCATGTCTCGTCGTCTTCCGCTATCCGCGTGACTTTGATTGCATGCTCACTCAGCACCAACACTCCGTACAAGTATGCGGTCGCCCTCACAGAGCCTGGTCTCCCTCCCGTCGATGATTTCGGCAAGTTTGTCAAGTTATATCTCAAGATCTACGATCCTATATATCCATTTTTGGAATACGAGACGTTGTTGAATCTGCATTTGGACCATGGAAGAACTGACACGGTTGAAAGCCCTTCCCGATCAATGCTCCTCTACCTGATTGTAATACTGGGCTCTATGGCAAGTCTACCAATATCCCATGAGCGTCTCGACACATATCTGGCATACTGTCACTCGCTTGTGGGTCACCTTATACTATACCCTGTCTTGGAATCGGTGCAGGCACTGCTCTTGTTTTCAATCACCTTACGTCTTCGAGATCAATTATCTCAAGCATGGGATGTCCTCACACTAGCTGTCTCTATGTCGCAGACATTGGGGCTCAACGCTCTTTTTTCCCAACAGCGATCGGCACATGAAAGAGTATCGAAATGCGATAAAGACTCCATGCGTACATGGTGGGTTTTGTGCGTGTTTGAGAAATTTCTGGCTTTTGATTCTGGACGAATTTCCAACCTGGATGATCCAAAATTATCCTCTTTGGGACGACAATGTCAGACTCAATCAATGGATAATGAGCATTCGACGCTTCCAGATTACCAAAGATCCATAATCTCGTTAGCGAATATTCTTAATGAAATGCAGCATCGCTCCTGGCAAACGTGGCTCAGAGAAAACCGTGATCCAAAGAGCAAGGCAGAAGCAGGCGCAAACAAGATTCGTGCTGCGGGTGCAATTGATACATTGCTGTGGAAGTGGAAGATGAGTCTACCTTCTGAGTATCAGTAAGTGGTCTTCTTTTGGGAAGAAAACGGGCTCTTCTAATGACTCCTGTCTTCTAGTATCGCAACATCCAGCGCTGCGAATCTACATCTTATGCCGCAGTGGGCTTTTCTCTCATTTTACTATTATCAAGCGTGCGTTGCTCAGAGCTGTCAAATTGTTATTTGTCTTCCGCTGCTATAATTTGTGAGAGTATTATATCCTAATTTGTGCCTTCAGGGTCATTGTACTATACCGAAATGTTCTTGCACTCGATTGGAACGAACTGAAAGGGGAGATCGATAAGGCTGGTTCTGGGGAACCGTGGCATCTGCGAATTTGCAATAGCCCTCAAATATGTCTTGAGGTGGCCAAAGAGATGATAAATTTACAAGCTATAGTGACCGATGCCGAGGAACCCAGCTTTTTATCGCTGGCCACCTCACCACTGGCAGCCGCTTTTGTTCTGGTGGTTCATATCCGTCACCAGCCGGTTTCAATCTTGACCCGGACGCACTTTGAGGTACGTCGTTTTGAGCGAAGTCAGATATTTTTATAATTCATTAACATCATAGGGAAGCTCATGAAAGTGGCGATGGCTATCTCGCGACAGCGACATCCATACGACGCGAGTGAGAGCCCGCTGAACAAAGCTTTGGAAGCCTTAGAGCAATATGTTGCACGATCTCTGACTGATACAGCCCTTCAATCTCCTCAAGTAATCCACCCAGATTCTGTTTTTGAGAACAGTCTCGCCGCCGGGCTAGATCTGGACGTACTTGAATTTTCAGTATTTCCATGGGAGCCTATAGACTGGCTAGGCTGGGATTGGGATGGATTCATCCCCCAAGCTTAAATTGTATATTTCTGAAAGGTCTTGTACTGTATTCGTTGCAACTCATGTCGTTGTAGCTTTTAAGCAACCGTAGAATTTATTTCGCTAAGGCTTCAACTTGCCAATCTGAAACCATTTTTGATTATTTCCAATTTGTTTTGCCCTTAGGCGTCTTCAATAAGATTTCCTGAAGAGAGGGTTTAAAAAGTCATTGATCATGCAACACCAACGTATTAAGTTAGCAGAGCTTGTTTCGATTACCCGGCGCTTTGCGTATTGTTCAGAAGGTGAAAGCCTTTCTCGATCGTTAGCTTTTCCGGGATTACAGAAATTTTCACCGAGAAGCTGTTGATGCCAGACCGAGTAGAGACATCACTACTTCGACAGCAGATATTTTTGCGACGTAAAATCAAGACAGAAGTAGTAGAGAAACGGGGGTATTTGACCTCTGAACGCTGGTGTAGTGGTTGAAAGGCTTCAAAGTATGCCCAACTTTACGGACAATCACATGAATGAAATGCCCTAATCTACCCACCACTTCAACTCACATATAGTCATACGGATGCTGGTGCCTTATTTCCACGTAGAAATGCGCTTTGTCAAAAGAAAAATCTTAAAGAATTTGTCCAAATATGTCAATTGATCATATTCCGTGAAAATGCTCCTCCATAGCATGACTTGTCATTACTACCGAGAGATATAAGAACACGAACAAGCTAACCAACGTCTGCCTATATATTCCTTAAGCCTCCATGGCTCTATAGCTTGGCATTCGCTCTAACACTATAAAGCTCTTTTGCCTACTTTAAGTGAATAGTCAAGCTGGATGATCTTTGAATATAGGATACACTCTGAGCCAAGACTATGTACACTACCCTCAACCCGAAGGATTTTATCATCTTCTTAGATGATGAAAAAGCTACTGCTAAGTAACTGGTTAACTAATTAGTCAGTGAACAGTGTTGTATACTGTGATTGGTTTCCTGACTGGTTGACTTATAGTGTTAGCCTGTCCGAGAGTAATAAATAACAATCAACAAGAATGAATCGCTGAACATAGCCAAATTTACCCTACCTCAGTCCCTCACTCAGGCTGCTAATCTCGCATTTCCTACCTACATAACAACATAAAAGTAACAACAAGGGACACGATTGGACATGGCGAGAAGGAATCGACCGAAGGTCATTCCAAAAATGCAATGGGTGGCGAATCCATACCAAGACCATGCAAGCCAGCCTGCTGTTTTGATGATGGATAAATTGATAAATGCAGAGGAAATCAGAGAGGCCGGAGAGGAATTCGTTGCGAATCCGCAATTCGCCCTGCAGGTCTACAGCACCGTATCTCTTGATTCTGACTACACCGCTCTCTGTCAATATCTCAGTCGAGAGATCCATGACTGGCCATCCATTTCTTTTGAGATATATAGCCCCCAGCCGGATGTATTTGCCTGCGTAGAGCATCAAAGACGGGAGATTTTCCATAGAAAGACCACGACCCCAGGAGAGGGATTGTTCCCTGGAATTGCAAAGGCAGTAACAAACGACTCAACCTCGCTTCCTCAGGGTTTACTTTTTGTGATCACCTCACACAGCTACCGCGACGGCTTTCTTGCCCCTAAATACGAAGATGAAACTGGCCCGTTATGGGTAAGTTTCAACAGGAGTTTCCCTCTCAAGGCAAAAGCGGATTTGCGCTCACGTCTTCTGTGGGTGCCGCCCACAGGCTACAATCCTTCGGCGGTTGAGGAGTCGGATATCTCCCCTGAAAGAGAGGAGATCATGGTGCAGGCATGTCGGCAGACATATTATCCCTTTAAAGACCTACATTTCGTACTGCGTCGGAGTTACATTAACGATGATTATGAATTTGATTATGGCCTCGATGACGATGAAGGAGATCCAGATTCGTTAAATCAACTACCATCGTCAGAGACAATTGAGTCATGGCAGTCAAATGTTAATTCACACCATCATCATGATTTCTCCGTGAAATCATCTGCTGGGGAGCTTATTCTAATCAAATCAAACTTGGCGGACACAGAGCCAGATCTGCAATATGTTATACATGTTTCATTCGCTCATACTAGCTCACAGCTCCCATCCATCGCACAGGCCTTTGCCGCGGCCATAACAGAAAACCTACCACTTGGAAAGACAATCAACTTTGAATTTCATTCAGCATCTTCTCAATGCCTAAGTGTTATCCTAGCATCACACTATGATATCATGAATGTCCGACCAGATATGGTCGTGGGCGCTTATAAGCATGAAAGTCAAACACGGATCTTCCCGCAGGATCGTAACGAGGACTTCCCAGAAACCGCCCTGAAGGTCAAAGAGCCATACCAGACCTTTTTCGTTATTATTGACCGGCCGGATTTCCTCACTGCCCATGGTGTGCTTTATTTCCTGACGGATGGCAATGAATACACAGACGAGTGGAGACGGATCAACCCCCAGTCGATAGCTGATAATGAGCGTAGTAACTGCTGGATTTATCAGGTGTGGCGAAGTGCTGGGATGCCCGAAGTGGCTCGGAGGCTGGGGATGCTCAGGTTAGAACAGTGATGTTATCTGCATCGACATCATATGCCTTGAAGTACAAGTTGAGATTAATCAGGAAAGACAGCTATAGAGCGTTCTTTTCTCTTTCTTACTTTGAATTCACTAGCGTCGGTTTCACGCAATCACACATGTACTCTCTAACCCTGTATCTTTAATACCTAGATAATTCCTGCATTTCAAACCCGTAATGCCCCTAGACCATTATTCCCCCACATACGGTACCTACTAGGTAGAGCCCTAGAAATTGTTGTCAAAGGCGTCGCAGACGAACTCTATGGATTTGGAAGTTTCCCACCACGCGGTTTCGATATTTAGCACTGATAAGTAGTCGAACGTGCTGGCGCTCTTAATTGAAACACGAACGTGCTGGCGCTCTTAATTGAAACACGGCAGTTTTCTATTCTACCGCCCTATGAGGGGCAGAATGTGTACACACAGTTTGAATAGAAGTTGCAATATCCTTAGCAGTATTGCCTACTTTGGTCCAATCCGGCTTCTTTCCTCCTACCCAGGTTCCCTTAGCTCCATTCGTTAATGCATAAAGTAAAGCCATCAAATTCAAATTGTCACTTCCTCTCGCCTTGGTTGCGGTGTTGGCGAGGAGATTGCTCGGGGAAGTGTGTCTTGAGCATTAAGGGGAAAGTCGAATCCCCCAGTATTTGTATCGCCTATAATAGATTGAGCAGATTAGTGCCTTGAATTCATTCTACTGCGGAGGGCTACTCATTGCTAAAAACGTAAGCGCATCATGTCGCCCCAGCACGCTGCCAGCCTGGTATAAAATTAAGTACTCCTATGCCGTTATATGTTGACTCCAGCATCAATGTCATAAGTGAACGAACAGGTATTGTCCGAGTCGGTTGAGAGACCCGCGTCCGCGTGAAAAATCACAAATCCATCCATAACAAGATCCACACTGTAGTCGGGGACCTTTCACCGGGGATCAAGCACAATATCGAATGTAACCTTCGGTTTAAGATGAAGGGCCAGTCCTCCGACGGTACTGACTGAGGCTCAGACCGATGGACTTCCGAGCATCTGCGTCCCGTCGTAGCTGGGAAAGTCGAGGGCAGACACGGGTTACACGATGACCACTGCCACCAAAGGAGAAACCGGATTTGGCACAATACGTCAAAAGGCTCATACGGACCTAGGGATTCTGAGTGAGTAACATGTACGAAGAAGCTGATTCAGGTTTTAGATTTCATCTACAAGATGAATTCGAAGTTAGCATTTATAAAGCCGATCTAAGCGATTGCATAAGACTCGTATCGACCAGTTGACTGAGGTTACCAATGGTGAAATACAAACATCTGACACTACGATCCCTGAATTGTGATGACACTTTCTGTTACTATTATGGCATAACAAACGATATGATGAAAAGGCGGACCAGAACTCGCCAATCATTTATTGAAAGCCCCCTTCAGTGCTGAGAAGGCCGGTTACTTCTACAGCGAAAAGATACCATTCGTTCGATATCCGATTTTGGGTGATGAGATGAATTGTAAATATAAATAATTTGAAGCTTTCAATACAATACAGATTAATCTTGCAGGCATCGATGAATCACGAACGATTAGTTCTTTAGACAAGCAGTACGAGATCACCTTGGTTTCTAAAGCACGTAGCGAGATCGCGGCTCAAATTATCTGCTGCATCTTGATTACGCCATACGTCCTCCATGATTTCCAATGCTTTGCGTACCGTACCAAAGATGCTTGACGGCTGTAGGGCATCTGCTATAGCGCGGAAATGAGGTATCCGCACTGGTTCCGCAAGGCAGCCTGCCACGCAGAAGGGCCACACAATCGCGCGAAGCAATGCTGGAGGGGAAATTCGGAACGTCAATAGCTCGATTATCTTATCAACATGATAGCGGGCATCGATACTGGCAGGCTGCCATCCAGTGACAACGACAGACAGATATAGAAGCGTCGCATGTGCCCAGATTTGGGTGACCAACGCGGTCTGAGCAGAGGATGTCTTTGGGTGAGAGTCTCCTGTCGTGAACCTCTCCAGAAGGCTGCTGGGCTGTCGAGAATCAGGGTCTACCATGTCCTCTTCAAGCTGAGTAAGTTGTCTTTCCAAAGAATCCTTGATCGGTGTTGCGCGATGAACTAGATCTAGCATACTGAGATTCCCGGCACTTTGGCATCCTTGTTTCCACATGTCAAGCGTAGCAGTTTCGCTGATGTGAAGCAACACCCAGTTCTGGCAACCCATGACAGTCTCGAAATTAATAATCGGTTCCGTGCCATCCGAGCTATTGAGAAGGCATTGATGATACTCATAGAGTTTAGGCTGCTGTTGGGAAACCGTGCTGGCAATGATATCATCATATAGTAAGAGTGCGGACGAGAAACGAAAGGCCGCTTGTTCTGCACTCGGAACATAAACACTCTGAGAAGGCAAGAGTCGCGTCGCTGGCCCGAGCAGAGAGATAACAGAAGAAAACTTTGACCTGTTTCCAGTTGGTTCGACAGTCTCACAGCTGTCGAGAAGTTGTCTGAACAGAGCCAAGGCGGCATTGAGGTGTGGCTGGCAGTTTTCAAAACTCAAAACAGCGACCTCAAAACGCTGTATTTGCATGATGCTTGACAGTATTCGTACAGCGCCGTGTAGATGTTCAGTAATGCTCGAACCATGGATGAACTGTAGCGACTGCCGTAACATGCTGAAGGCATCCCTTGTCTGGGCTAAGACCGTTTCCCAGGTTAAGTCGTCACTGGGAACTCCACGCGCCAGTGAGAAAAAATAGGAACTCTGGCACAAGGTAGCCTGCCGTACAACCGGACTACTAATCATCATTTCCAGGATCCAGGATCTTCCTCCTTCTAGCATAGAGGGATTATAGAATGGAAATAGGAATGGTAGTATATATTCGAGGTGGAACGTGAGCAGAATAGTGTCAGACCGCGCGAAATTCATGTTTCCGGAAAAATGCTTGCTGGCGAGCTTGCAATCATGCTCACGCTGGAGTGGCGTGTTGGCGGTCTCTGACCGCGGTTCCTGTGAGTCATTACTGTCTCTTTGAGTCTCTGAGATAGCAAACTGCTCAAATCTTTTTTGATTGCCGTCTGTGGTTGGTTCGACGATTGCGTGGCGATGCCCCAGATCACGATCCCGACGGCTTTTTTTGACCTCACGCTTGAGTCGGTTGGCCATCTCGTCCTGCTTCGCACCGCCGTCCATCCATTCTGGCTTTTCCTGGTTGTAATGACAACTTATTTGGAGTGCAGAGCAAGTATTGCATATGGGACGATATTCGTCACATTTCTTGCGCCGAAGGCGGCATGTCCAACATCCAGTGAAACTCCTCGGTGTGGCGTGTCGGTCCATATCCGATTGGCCACATTTCCACCGCTGCTTCGTGATAAGAATTGTTTTCAGGTTAGATAGTAGATTCTAATTTTTTGAAGTCAACCAGCAACATTAATGTTAGCCTGTTCTTAAGGTCTGAGTGGGGAGGTGGTGGATGACAAATGAAGTGATAGGTGGGACGTGCGCTGGGATATATCCACCAGATCTAGATTAATTCCAAAATCCCATTTCTTTTCGCCAGATCAAAGGTTCGGAATGGCGAGCCCAGATCCGATGGGGCACACCGTAAATCCAGCAGTTTATTCCTCTATTGGCTGACGCTAGTGTCGCTAGGCAAGTCACTAGCAATGACTAAGGTATTTCCGAAGCCCCGGAGTTGCGGAGCTGAGGAGTTTCGGATCCACGCGTGGGCCGGAGTGACGGGCCTGTAAGAAATGAAATACACATCAGTCTGTATGCTTCGGAATCTCCGTTGTTGGGTCTCATTCTATGGTGTTGTTCATGAACATATAAAGTCAAGATGATGTTCCTCTCAAAGTTCGTTTATTATCCAACAACAACAACAACAACAACAACAACAACAACAACAACAACAACAACAACAGCCTCTTCTAAATCATCATCAACGCAGTCAAACTTTCAAGACTCAAAGACAATCACCTATCAGGAATCTCAATCTTTCATTACCTAGGTACTTCAGACAAAATGGTGCTCCCTCGCAAGGCTATTATCAGCATTACCTCGGCACAGGCCACTCTATTCAACGGCAAGGAGACTACCGGTCTTTTCATCAGTGAAGCTCTCCACCCCTACGATGTCTTGACTGCCGCCGGATTTGAAGTCGACCTTGTCTCTGAAACCGGAACCTATATCGCCGATTGGCTTTCTCAACAGCCCGACTTCCTGAACGGCAGTGACCTCCAAACATGGAACGACAAGGACAGCGACTTCCGCAAGAAGCTCGACAACATGCCCAAGGCCGCTGATGTGGATGGCTCCCAATACGGAGTCTTCTACGCATCTGCCGGGCACGCAGCTTTGATCGATTACCCCAAGGCAAGCAACCTGCAGAAGATTGCCGAACAGGTCTGGGCGAATGGTGGTGTGGTCGCTTCCGTCTGCCACGGACCCGCTATTTTTGCCAATATCCTTGACAAAGCGACCGGCGAGCCTATCATCAAGGGAAAGAAGATTACTGGCTTTACTACCGAGGCGGAATATACTATGAAAATTATGGACGACCTGAGAAGCTGGAAATCTGAAATGGTAGAGGAGCTTGCTGCTCGCCTCGGTGCTAAGTGTAAGTTGGCTTCCAAATCAAAGTTCATCGATGATACTAATACAAGACTTAGATGAACGCTCAGCCGGTATCTGGGACGACTTCCATGTCGTCGATGGCCGCTTGGTCACTGGACAGAACCCTGCGAGTGCCAAATCGACTGCCCAGGCTGTTGTCGAAGTGTTTGACAAGCTTTAAATCTACGAAGTCAGATTTCTAACTCCAGACTAGAATCTTGGGCTGGCTGTCAGGCCATATGCCACTTCCATTGGTCGCAGCTAGCCTTTCATGCCTTTATTCCTGCCATTGTTTAACCATGCATATAGACAAAATATTTCTGTTGATCTTAAGACTACCATAATGATATACGTTTACTTATCTACTTACGCTTTTTCAGAGTTGCCGTAAACATTTGTTCAAATGTCCACTACCTAGTCTCTTTTCCCTTTGTTCCATCAAGGAAACGACATGTAGATTAAAAAGTTGAAGTGCTTTCTTTGTGGATTGGATTTTTTCCAGCCCAGATCGATCCATGGATGTTGTAAGATCCATGCTATACCTTTGCCAAGGGAAACCTTGCCCCCTCAAAGAACCGAAAATTGATTGGTAATCCGAAGTGTAACGGCTACAGAACTACTATAACTATATAATAAGTACTGTTCACAATCAGTAGACGTAGATTGATAACTTACAATAAGCATTGATTTGTGCAGTCTGTAAGATGTTGCTATTAATCGGTACGGGTGGGTTCATATACTAGTCTTCGTTCATGAATAATGCCTAGGTACCCCATCACATGTATATATAGGACATTTATCTTATCTTAAAGTACGTCTCTAACTTCCCGTCCAATGTTGTAACTGGCGTTTTTACGTCTTCACATGTCGCACACGTTCATACAATAAAGTCTATTCGCTATTGCATTGCTCTGTGTACCGAAAGAAAAGCCCAAGACGCCAAGTCCACTCAACTCCTGTATGACGAGCTATTGACTAAAAATCGAAGGACACCCACTCTGTCTTTGGCGGTACGCTCGGAACAATGCCATCCTTGAACATTCCATTTTGCACAAAGTATTGGTATTGGTCCGTTACTTCTGCCGTATAGTTTTCATCCTGCTCACTGCAGTCTCGGAGGGTAGCGAGATCCGGCGGCCCATCGTAGAAGAAAATGCGGACCCAGGTTTTGTTATCATGGGGATGCAGATAGCGCGGAGTCCCGCCCTCGTACTGTACTGGTCGCCCTTTCCATCTTATCAATTTCTGTGTCCCTGGATCTCGAACGGTATCGCCCACGAGTTCGGGAATTGGGTTCAGTTCCCCGAGCCCGACTTTGATGATGGGTCTGGGTCCTATTGGTGCCTTTCCGGGAGTATTCACTTGAGGCTGTGTAACTGTAGTTGAGACTGATGCTGCAGTCGCCGGAGGCTGGCCAAAGACACTCGGAGTAGCCGAAGAAGTTGCCGTTTGGCCAAATGGATTGAGCGATGGTGTTTGCTGCGGTTGTGCAAATGGTGAGACATCTTGAGATGGCTGGCCGAATGTGGCACCGGTCGAAGATGGTTGGCCGAATCCACTTGTTGTTGCAGATTGGTTACCAATCTGGGAGAATGGAGACGTTGTCACCTGGCTGGCGGCCGGTTGTCCAAACGGTGCAGAAGTCGAAGGTTGGCCGAATTTACCAGCCGCTAATGGATTTGGTTGAGTTGCAGAAAAAGGAGACGGGCCAGCCGCAGCGTTCGAAAACGCGGAACCTGCCATTGCTGAAGGCTGCCCAAAGGCAGGCTGACCGAATGACGGCTGACCAAATGCAGGCCTACCAAAGGTAGGTTGCGCTGCTCCAAGCATTGATGGCTTACCAAATGCAGAGCCAGCTGTGGATGCTCCCAAGCCTGAAGGCTTTCCAAAAGCAGGCTGATTCTGCCCAAGCATTGATGCCTGTCCAAAAGCAGGAGTAGGTGCAGCTTGAGTCGCACCGCCAATGCCACCACTTGGTTGTCCAAAAGCCGAAGTCGACGAGACTGGGGCTGGCTGGTTGGCGGATGATGACGGAACACCCGATTTACCTTCCACGATATCAATGCGATTTGGGTGTTCATTCACTCCATCTAGTACGTATTTAACGGCACCATTGAGATCATTGAGGATGATTTGAATCTGGTTTATAGTTTCATCATGTAACTTCTGCGCTTCTTGAATAGCCTGGTTGGGGTTTCCAGCCGCCGTGGCTTCGTAATGTCGCAATCGCATTTCCTCGAAGCTCTGCTCTCGAGACGGGCCTCCGAAGAGCTGTCTAGGTGCATTTTTCCCCGGGCCATATGCGGAAAATACCCATTCTGGTCGTTCCTTCCCTAAGGTAAGGTCAAGTTGGATATTTTCAGGTGTGATGTTAAAGCTACGATATGAATCAGTTATATTTAGATCGTCAAAAATTTTTGCAGTGTTCTTTCGGGGACGTACCTCAAGGACTTGTCCTGTTGCTGTTGATTGCTCCCTGGACGATGAAACATTTTGTCAGTACGAGCGAAAACCGAGACATTGATGATAAAGGCGATGGTATTGAGGTCAAGGAAAGGTAAATGTTGGCCAACCTCAGTCAGAAATGAGTTTGGACTGACTGGCTGTGGCCACGAGGCGTTTGGAAAATCATTACTTCGCGCGGCCATTTCGCAGGCCTAACTGAATATAAAAAGAAGACTTACTAGTTTGTGTAACAGCTGAACCGAGAACACCGAAACGGTTGGCCGATGCACCAGACGTTACCTGGCCTGGATGTTCATATCTGCATCGCTCTACGACAGTCAGAAGGGTTCATTAGTCTCTGGATACAAGAGGCTGCGGAGCAATTATTTGCATACAAACGTACCTCCGTATCTGCATCGACCCTGTTGATAGTACGAACAAATTGGCATGTCGTTATACTGTATCGCTCTATATCAAAGTGAGAGTGGTTGTTGTTGCGCGGTCAAGAAGTCTTGGTTGTCGCTGCACGTGGTGTCTGGTGCGTTGATTGGCTGGTTGGCCACCTAAAATACCGAACAGCACGGCGATATTCCTGCGATCTTTATGCTTTTATATTTACCAAGTCTTCCAGGCCGTTATAGAGACAAAGACTGCCTATCTTGCAATTCAGGATTAGCTGCGAGAGACGTGTCGTGCCTATTACGGTGCATATTTGCGCTACATCGCGACTAGAATCTGATCAAAATTTCCGATGGAGTAACTCCTTTTCCATCCACTAAATTAATGTAGAATGTCCACCTAATGAAATATGTAACTTTGAAACAGTTATGCCAATTCGCTAAGAAGCCCTCTGCCCTTATGAAACCCCCCCTAGATCCCCATGAACATGTAGGTAACGCCAAAAACACCATGGACCAATCGCTTTGAATGCTAGAGCGAATCAACCTTGTCAAAGCCTTGTCGTAGATCATCCCAATTGATGCCATCAATCTTAGGTCCACCAAGCGATCTCACCTTCGATGGAAGATCTCGCGTGTTGCCAGTCGCGAGTCGCCGCATCAATACGGTATCTTTTGCGCCGGAAAGTGTTGCGACTTTGCCACCAAGAAGATATTCTTCGAACCATGACTCTTCTTTATCGTCGAACGGTAAGTTGAGTAATTCGATCGCGCGCTGACCCCTCAGACTCCCGGCCGGGCTCTTGTGGACGAATAGAACTAGCTGCTCCAGAAACCGTCTTCGGCGAGAGTCATCATAGTTGCGTAGAAAGTAGAAAGCTTCGGTAACGCTTGCGCGACAGAGGGTCTCGAAATAGGAAGACTGGGCCTTTTCGGTTTCGAGTGGCGGGGRAACCGTCAAGTAATAAGCTATCGCCAACGAGTCGTCATGATTTGGTAGCTTGGGTAGGGTCAATATGTAGAGGATTTCGTCGGGAAATGTTGGGATAAGGGAAGGTTCGGTGAGAAACTGCAAAGCCAGCTATCATATGGGAGAGTACATTAGTACTAACTGGACTCGTATAGATCCTAGATCGCAAATACCTGGAATTCAAGTCGATCCAAATGCCAGAGTCCGTCGATGAACAGCTGATACTTGTCTGGGATAGAACATCGTCGAAGGAACTGAACGAGCGCTTCGTTTGCGCGACAATCTCGGAGGAGATAATATATCACGGCTTGTTTCTGATGATTGGGAAAGGACGATGAGAGAATCTGCTTGTACAAGTCTCGGAGGTGCTGATTCGACTTGGGAGGATATCTTTCATGGACTGTCATCAGGGCTTGATTAGCGACGCCATTGATCGTTGCCACAGTTTTCATACCTGCTTTCACGCCCATCAAACCAAGCAGCCGGTCGATAAAGAGTTGATTTTCCAATGACCGACGATTGCCATTGATCGTATCGATGAGCTTTTTGTCATATGTAAAATTCCGGTTGAATTGAAAGGTGACGTCGAAGTCTTCCCAGGATGCCATTTTGCGATCCAGTCACCGATTAATGGAAGTCTGCGACAAGAAGAATATAGTCAACAACGATGTTCACTGAACAAGCTCATGAAGGCGGTGAAATGGTGAGCTTGCGGGCGGGCGGCAAAGAAAGTACGCTTTTCCCCTTTCGGATTGGAGTAAACAACCCGCGAACCAAAACAAACAAATCAAGAGTGGGAAGGCATCCGGGAATCTTTCTCTCCCGACATCATCTCAGGTTAACATCGACCATCACCCAAATCTCATATGGCTTCGGTAGCTAGAGGTAGACCGTCGCGTCGCGCGGCCTCGCGACGAACATCCTACATCGAAGACGTCTCCGAAGAAGAGGATCCCGGCAATGTCACACCCACACCCTCTCACTCCAACGTAGACGACGATGAGGAGAACGAATACACACCCGTGGCACAGAAACCGATCCCTAGGCGAGGCGGCCGACGGAGAGCATCAGAAGCACCCTCACAGCCTCCCAAACGCTCGACGCGTGGTGGCCGGAGACCGAAAACTGTCGAACCCACCCCGCAGCCGGAAGAACATGAAGAACATGAAGAGCCGTCCATTGTCACAGACACCGTGGAGCATGCTAGCGAGGAGGAGGACGAGGAGGCGACGATCATCGCAGCTCAGGATGAGCCTGAATCGCCTTCTGAGAAGGTTCACGCAGCGCAGAAGAGGAAGAGGGCTGCAAGTTCCCGTAAGAGCCGTGATTCAGCTACGCCAGCCGCAGAACTGTCCTCACTTCCTACTCCTTCTCCTTCAGCTTCGCCCGAAGCCTCCTCGCGATCCCATCGAGAGTTCAGCAGCCCGCTCTCCGATATCACGCAATCTGCTGTCAACAAATCCCCTGCCCCAACGAAAAGCGATGCCGAAGAACAAAAGTCCCATATCTCGATCATCAATTCGCAGTCGACTACCCTCGAAAAGCCGATGGATATTGTTTTGAAGTCACGGTCCTTGGGTATCCCTGTAGCCGAAGAGACCAAGACTCCGCGCGCACGTATGGTAATCACTCACCTTGTGCTCACTAACTTCAAAAGCTACGCCGGCAAACAAATCGTCGGACCCTTCCATGTATCATTTTCATCTGTCGTCGGTCCCAATGGTTCCGGAAAGTCTAACGTTATCGACTCTCTCCTCTTCGTGTTCGGATTTCGCGCCAGTAAGATGCGTCAAGGAAAGATCTCCGCCCTGATTCACAACTCCGCCAGATTTCCCGATTTGACCTTCTGTGAAGTGGAAGTTCACTTTCAGGAAATCATGGATCTCCCTGGTGGCGCTCACAAAGTCGTTCCCGAGTCTCAATTGGTGGTTTCCCGGAGAGCGTTCAAGAACAATTCAAGCAAGTACTACATGAATAAGAAGGAAACGAACTTCACTACAGTCACCACATTCCTCAAAGATCGCGGGATCGATCTTGATCATAAGCGTTTTCTTATCTTGCAGGGCGAGGTTGAGTCGATTGCGCAGATGAAACCCAAGGCTGGCAATGAGCATGAAGACGGTCTTTTGGAATATCTCGAGGATATCATCGGCACTTCGAAATACAAGACCCCTATCGAAGAAGCAGCGGCAGAAGTTGAAACGCTCAATGATGTTTGTGTCGAGAAAAACAATCGAGTTCAGCATGTCGAAAACGAAAAAACTGCACTCGAGGATAAGAAGGACAAGGCTCTGGCTTACATTCGAGACGAGAATGATCTTACCATGAAGCAATCTGCTCTGTATCAGGTCTACATTGCGGAGTGTGAGAACAACAACAAGGTCACCGAGGAAGCCATCATGCAAATGCAGGAGCTGCTCAATATGGAATTGGAAAAGCATGAAGGCAACGAGTCTGGAATCAAGGAGATCGAAAAGAAGTACAAGCGTGTGACCAAAGAATATGAAAGCATGGAAAAAACCACTCAAGCAATGATCAAGGAAATGGCGAAATATGATAAGGAGGCTGTCAAGTTCGAAGAGAAGCGAAAGTTTTTGACGGGCAAGCAAAAGAAGCTTGACAAGACTTTGCAGACTAGCCGGTTGGCGTCATCAGAGTCTGCGAGTCTAGTTGAGAAGCATGCTTCGGACATTGAGAAGAAATCGGCGGAAATCGTCCAGCTTGAAGATGAGATGAAGTCGGAGGAGGAAGAACTCGCCTCAATCAGAGAAAGTCTGAAAGGCAAAACACAAGGTCTCTCGGATCAGATTGCAGCGAAGCAAAAATCTCTCGAGCCATGGAACGCCAAGGTCAATGAAAAACTTTCTTCCATCGCTGTCGCTCAAAGTGAACTAGATATACTCCATGAACGGGGTAATGCAGGTGCGAAGGCACTTGAGGAAGCTCAAGTTCGGGTTTCTACGATCGAGGAAAGCTTAGCCGAGAAAGAGACGGAACTTGAGGCAAAGCATCAAGAGAAGACTCAGCTCGAAGCTGAAGTCGAATCCTTGAAGAAAGACCTCAACAAACTATCTCAAAAGGAACCCGAGCTTCGCTCCTATGTCTCTCACGCACGGCAAAAGGCGGAAGAGGCTCGAGCAAGCCTTGCTAGCACGCAAAACAAGGGCAGTGTTTTGTCTGGTCTGATGCGACTCAAGGAATCTGGCCGTATTGAAGGCTTTCATGGTAGATTAGGCAACCTGGGAACGATTGAAGAGAAGTATGATGTCGCCATTTCGACCGCCTGCCCGCAGCTCGAGAACATGGTAGTCGATACCGTGGAATCAGGCCAACAATGCATCGATTATCTACGGAAAAACAATCTGGGTAGAGCGAACTTCATTCTTCTCGATCGCTTACCCAAGCGGGACATGTCTACGATCTTCACGCCTGAAAGTGTGCCACGATTATTCGATTTGGTGAAACCAAAGGATGCGAAGTTTGCTCCAGCGTTCTACAGCGTCCTGCAGAACACATTGGTCGCCAAAGATCTTGAACAGGCCAATCGCATTGCTTATGGCGCTAAGCGATGGAGAGTCGTCACTCTCGACGGGCAACTCATTGACTTGTCTGGTACTATGAGCGGAGGAGGAACGCGTGTCGCTAGAGGCGGTATGTCATCGAAACAAGTTGCCGAGACTTCGAAGGATCAGGTTTCCAAATTGGAATTCGACCGCGATGAGATGGAGAAGAAGCTTCAACTATTCCAGGACAAACAACGTCAGTTGGAGACATCGCTTCGTCACAAATCCGATGAGATCCCCAGATTGGACACCAAGATACAGAAGCTTGGCATCGAGATAGAGAGTGGCAAGCGAAGTCTTTTAGATGCCCAGCGTCGTATCAAAGAGCTCAGTGTTGAACATAAACCGTCCAAGACGGACGAAAACCGAGCGAAGGCCTTGAATCAGCAAATCGAGGTCCTTCAGGGAGAAGTTGAGAATTTGCGACAAGACATGGCCGGCATCGAGGAAGAGATCCAATCTCTTCAAGCCAAGATCATGGAAGTCGGCGGCGTCCGTTTAAGAAGTCAGAAAGCGAAGGTGGATGGCTTGAAGGCCCAGATCAATCTTCTGTCTGAGGAAATATCAAACGCCGAAGTCGCGAAATCGAAGAATGAGAAGCTCATCAAGAAGCACGAAAAGACACGTTTGGAAGCTGAAAAGGATGGTGAACACTTGAGTGCTGAGATTGAACGATTGGAGGAAGATGTCAAGAATCAAGCAAACGATGCTTCGGATTCAAGACAGCAGGCGGAAGATGCTCAAGAGGTAAGCTCGATTGATTTTACAGATGGAACACATCCTTACTATAGACTAGGCACTTGAAACGAAACGTGGAGAGATCAAAGCCCTCAAGCAGGAGCTGGACGAGAAGACGGCTGAACTGAACGAAACACGGGCCCAGGAGATCGAAATGCGAAACAAATTAGAAGAAAACCAGAAAGTCCTTACCGAGAATCAGAAACGCAGTCGATATTGGGAGGAAAAGCTTTCGAAGTTGTCAATACAGAATGTCAGCGACCTTGGTGATACTCAGGAAACAGCGGAACTGCAGACATTCACTGCTGATGAGCTGGCCGACATGAACAAAGAGTCGCTCAAGGCAGTTATTGCAGCGTTGGAGGAGAAGACACAGAATGCATCCGTTGATCTATCAGTTATTGATGAGTACCGCCGCCGTGTTGCTGAACACGAAACGCGTTCTGCAGACTTGAATGAGTCACTAACAGCCCGTGATGCTGCAAAGGCCCGCTTGGATGGCCTTCGTTCTGCTCGTCTGACTGGTTTCATGGAAGGTTTCAGCACGATTTCACTACGACTCAAGGAGATGTACCAGATGATCACGATGGGTGGCAATGCTGAATTGGAGCTTGTTGACTCTTTGGATCCTTTCTCGGAAGGAATCCTTTTCTCTGTCATGCCGCCAAAAAAGAGTTGGAAGAACATTAGCAACTTATCCGGAGGGGAGAAGACACTATCCAGTCTCGCCTTGGTGTTTGCTTTGCATCATTATAAGCCAACACCGTTGTATGTCATGGACGAGATTGACGCCGCCTTGGATTTCCGAAATGTAAGATGAACTGACTACCCCTGGCTTACAACCATGTCGATGGCTAACTCATATCCAACAGGTTTCTATTGTTGCTTCATACATCAAGGAACGTACTAAGAACGCCCAATTTATCGTCATTTCTCTTCGGAACAATATGGTAAGTGACGCTTCTGCCACTATTCGATTGTCTGCATGGTGTCTAATGCAACCTAGTTTGAACTTGCCTCGCGCCTTGTTGGCGTATACAAAGTCAACCACATGACTAAGAGTGTCACTGTCGAAAATCGTGACTACATATCTGGTCGATCTACTTCGATGACAGCGGCGCCGACACAGTCGTGATGACGTGTTTTTCTTGCATTTTTTTTTATATTCTTTCTAGTCCCGGTCAATTTGTTCATAGATGATCGTAGGGTTCAATGACGGGATGAGCAGGTTCTATCGGAATGGGGTGAAAGCATGCGATGATTCGATACAGTTCTTCTCGCTGCTCAGGAGTTCGGTTGCATTGTGTAAATAGGATGGACTGTGTTTTGATTAGTATTTCTATTTCTCTCTTCATGTTTTTTTCGAGCTCCTCAATGGGCACTATTTTATAACGATACGATCTTCATGCTGTATGCCATACGTGCTAGTCGATTTGTGCACCCGATGTTTTCTTCTTTGCTGACATCTGACACCTTCGTTCCCTCCTCCTATATCCTTCAATTCTGTTATCCTCTGACATCTACCATCCCACAAGTCCTGCTGCTGAATTATTTATGCCCTGGCTTTCGGCCCAGACTTCAAGCACCTTGTCTATGTCTAAATGCGAGTACTGCAAGTCAAAGAACTGCGGTGGAAGAGATGAAAATTGAATCATCGTGACCTGCCGTTCTATCAGAGCCGCACGTAAGACTTTCTCGAGCCGACCTTTTCTTCTGTTAGTTCTAACTTAGGCTTCAAAGTCACACGCGATAATGCCAACATCTTCGCCGAAAATGAACAGAAACTTACGAGCTAGGTTCCATCGCTGCCCACAGACCCGAAGACTATACATTATCAGATCGATGTTCTTCGGCACATCGACTCCAGTGATACGAGCATGCACGATAAAAAATCTCGCTGCTACGAATAGAGGGAAGATAAGATGAGGACTCATATCCTCCAGATCGGCATCGTTCACATTGCGCACGACCATTGTTATCTCATCGCTCGCGTCTAAACATCGTTGTATCGCATGATAGAAAGGTCCGTGTGGCTGTTCGATTTCATTCGCAGGAAAAGCAAGGCGTTGGTAGAGCGCGATGATGGCCATGTTGTACATAGCGAAGGCAAGGATGGTGATGGGATCAAAGTCCCTGTTTTCTTCTACTGCTACATTTGATCCAGCCGCGGTTGTGTGAGGCGTATGACTCGAGGGCATTGCGGCGTAGTGGCTGTGCTGGTTATGGCGCTGCTGATGTTGATCATAGCAGCTCTTAACCCCCGAACTGAATAACGTCGATGATGAACGCCACTTTTGTAGCCTTTCATCTACGCCCTTGCATTCTGCCTGCCATTTTGCTCTCCCAGCTGCAGTGCGACGATCGAATGGTTGTTGGAGGAATTGATGTACAATGTATAATTCGTTGACGACGAGGTTGACATACGAGGTGAAACTAGAGGAGGTTTCCAGATCGCCGAAGGATGCGACGGAGATGTAAAACTCGGGCATCGTGGTCCAAAGCTCATCACTGAAAGCAGACCAAGGCATATTTTGCTCAGATGGCAACGACGTACTGTTGGTGGAAGTTGTTGTTGACGCCGACGGTAAGATAGGAGGCGGAGGCCGAGTGAGCGATACATTCCAAGCAACACCCATAGTTGACGATCCGTCAAGTATCTCCGTCATCCAGTATGCTCTTGTCTTCTCCTCTTGATCAATAAGCGTATTCGGCAGCGGCAGCATTCGTGGGGGTAACATCGACGTACAGTTGAAGTTACTGCATTGATTGACAACAAGATCACGAAGACCTAGCTGCATAGCGATTCTGGGCAGAGTAAATTTTCAGCAACAACCATTTTCTCAGAGGACTAGAGCCTTCTCCACTACGGGAAAAGAAAATAAGCAGGTCTATACCTTTTACAAAGAGCGATTAGGTTCCAGAACTTGGATAATTTGCCATTTCCGAACTCAAGCACGCTGATTATCAAAACAGCTTGGAGTGAGGATAATGACAGAAACTCCATGGCATGGATTGCAATATTCTGCGCGTATTCAGCAGACAGGATTCGTCGTTGATCATGACTCAGAGTTGTCACGAAGCCGACATGAGGAAGTGTCACAGCCGCAATAGCTTTCAAAACTTCATAATGTGGTGACAAGTTGATAGTGACTGACTGATCTTGCAGTGTCTGCAAAAGCGAGGCTTGGTGAAGAATGGGAAACCATCGATGAAACTTATCGAACCATACGTGACATAGTTCTATGAAGTCGGGGCGGGATGGTTCGTTCGTTGTTGTAGCTTGGATGGTAGGTACTGCCAATGTCGGAGAAATGGGTTGATGGCTCAGTACAGGCACCTCGTCCATATTCTGAGGTGGGCTTGGCATTATAGGAGATTCTTTCAGAATTTCTGTGTCAGTATGATCGACCAACATCTGTACTAAGTCTGCAAAGCCAAAGTGCGTACGTTGCATGTGGTTCTTCATTGCTTGAAACTCGGCTTCAAGTGTCTCTAATCGGCGTTCAAGTTGGGATACATAACCGGCGCGCAAACCACGTTTTTTCTCTGTTACAACATACTGGCATTGAGTGTTGTTCTTGACACAGAAACTGCAGCTTGGTTTTCGCCGATCGCATTTGACCTTGCGTCTTCGACAGAGAAAACACCTACATTCGAGGAATGAGCACTCCTGGGGCAAGTGTTGCATGAATAGATTGTAGCTACATAAACATACACAGTTTTGCTCCTCCGAGTCGAAGCTGATGAACAGCTACCATCCTCCGAGATTTCCTCTTCAAAAGGACTAGACATTGAGGTGATTGTTACCCGCACAGCGGATCCGAAAGGACGCAAGAAGAATAATCAGAGCTTCATGTTATCCTTGTGCCGTCTCATCAAGCAAATCTAGATACTGGCTTCGCCCGGTAAGCTGGATGCTAGTCGGTTTAGGAACATTGTGATTGACAGAGACAACAACGAAGAATACGCCGTGACGGGCCATGTCGATGCCGCAGCACGCTACGTGTAGGACACGAGCACTCTCCAAAATATCATGTTGAGCAGACCCACAACGGAGTTTAGTCCGAGACGAAACAATGAACAATGATCAACGAGTCCAGGTACGAGAAGTAACTCAATCGGAGCGTGGACGATAGCTATCTGCATCTTTCAGGTGTTTCAGATATATCTTGTCCGATCCGACGAGTTTTGTATGTAAGGCACAAATGGAAATTCAATGTAGTCTAGAAGTTTGAGACCTTTCAAGTACCTATCCCTTCAAAGTTGACTTACAGTGGGCGTGAGGGGTAACCCGGCCGAAAGATTGAGATTGCACACGCACCGGTGCATAGCCGGTCTACACGGCGCGACAAGGCCCGGAATGACGACAAAGGCGCTTTTGCCTCGTCTGAACCTGCGCCAATGGCTGAAAACAGCTGATTGGAACCTGCCCCAATTTTCAAAGTGTCTGGGGTCTGGGGAACCTAGTCTGGGGAGACCCACCAGTCTCGTTAATTGCGGTTAGGGCTTTCCAGCATCAAATGAGTGCCTTACACAGATTGCACAGACTGAGAGTACGAGATGTCAAGCAGGATCGCTAGACTCTGTAAGGAGACTGTTTCTACGCCGACAATAAAAGGCTTGCTCTAGCCCTGTTTTCTGGATCTCCCTTTCCTTTTCCATATACCACTACCTGTACCGATTTCCGCGACGCATTGTTCTCGCAATACTACTACTATTCCCCTGCTCTTGAGACCTCATATCCACGCCATAATGTTGGAGGGATATCCGTTGGAGATAGCTATCACCGCCGTGAACTCTTGTAGGTCGATTATTACCATGTCTCGATTCAGGCCTGACGTCAATTAGGTGCACAGGCTTGGTACGGCTTCGACCAGGTAAGTTTATGTTTTCATACGTTAGCTTTTACTACGTCTTGCCCTCTAAGCATCGATGCTGTACTCCCGAAAGGTATATTTGGCGGCAGAAAGAATATAATAGCTAATGCTTGGGGCAGGGCATCATCAGTGGTATTCTGATCAGTACCGATTTCATCGACACGTTTCCACAAACCAAAAATAGCAACATACAGGGTATCACATCTAGTTGCTTTTCTGTAAGTAGAGGAATTGGCATTATTCGAATGGCTGGAGTGGCTAAAAGTCGTATGAAGCTGGGAAATTTGGCAGGCTGCTTGGCTGCGTTTTTCTACGGTACCAGTTTAGGGAGAAAATGGACGTTGCGAGTTGGTGCATTGATTAGTGCAATTGGAGCTATTCTTCAGTTCTCTGCGACTACATTTCCCCAACTTATTGTTGGACGGGTCATCAATGGTGTCGGCAATGGTAGGTAGAGCCTGTCAAATTTGCACTCCGCTTGACGAATGATGACTGACGCCCTTGATACAACAGGAATGACTAGTTCTACTTGTGGAATTTTTCAAGCAGAGTCGAGCCGTGGAGAACGAAGAGGAAAGCTCTCCGTCATTGTGGTACTGCATAATGTCATTTTCTACTGTCTAGGAACGTGGCTTACCCTGGCATGTTCCTTTGCATCCGGTGGATGGCAATGGAGACTGCCATGTGCACTCCAGGTGAGCAACCAAAAATATAGTATTTGATCGAAGACTCTTTCCTGGACTGATTTTTGCAACAGCTTGTACCCTTTATCGCTCTGCTATCACTTCTACCCCTGGTCCCCGAAAGTCCTCGCTGGCTTCTCATGCGCGATCGGCTTGAAGAAGGCGCAGAATCGTTGAGAAGGTACCTTGGAAAGGGGCTTTCTGTAGATGACTTTATTGTCAGAAAGGAGCTCGCTTCCATACTTGGCGCTATTCGAATTGAAAGAGAGTCGAAGATCTCCATAAAAGAAGTCATAACTCTGAAAGACCGATCCGGCCATCTGAAACGACTGCTACTTGGATGTGGTGGACAGTTTATGCAGGTTGGTCACCAAAACACCGTGTAGTCTTCGCTTGTTTTGACTGATACTTTTTTTTGAAAGCAACTCGGCGGCATCAATGCATTGAACTACTATTTCCCAACCATTTTGACTGTCAATATCGGACAAACTGAACTGATGGCTCGAATCTTGACTGGGTGTAACGCTACATCTTATATGATCTCATCCGGCTTGTGCTTTTGGATGATTGAGCGGTTCGGTCGTCGATCCTTGATGTTGAGCGGTCTTTGGTTGCAATTTCTCGCTTATTTGATGGTTGCGATTTCTGTTGCTCTTTTATCTCATGCCCCTTTAGAGGTACGTGAAGTATCAATAACCCTCCTTGTCGTATTAGCCATCATCTGACCATTCATATGTCATACAGTGGGGAGCCGTTGCAATCACTTTCTTATTCTTCTACTATGCTGCCTTTGGTTGCACATGGGGAATGGTGCCCTGGGTGTACCAAGCTGAAGTCAATTCATTAGCCATGCGTACACAAGGAGCAGCAGCAGCAACAGCGACTAATTGGTTATTCGGATTTGTCTGTACCCAATTTACGCCTACCGGAATTAGAAACATTGGCTACAGATTTTACATCAGTGAGTTACGGTCCCAGTTATTGCCACAAGTCGTGTATTATTCTAATCAATTCCCAGTCTTTGCTTGTTTCAACCTCATCTTTATTGCCGTTGTCTATTTCCTATATCCTGAGACTGCGAACCGTACGCTTGAAGACTTGGATGCATATTTCGATCGTGATTCTGGACACAAGACTATTATACCAATTGGCGACAAAGTCGCGAAGCAGACTGCCCGCCCGCTTGAGGTTATCGAGGCAGAGGCTCTCCGTGTTGCGGAGAGTAAGACAACGGACCTGCAAAAGGCGACTGCAGTGCATGTCGAGGACGTGGAACCATAGTTTGCGGGGGTACGATTCATAAGTTTCGTTAAAGGAAGGGGAAGCCTGCCAAGTCTTGACTGAATATATTACTTGAAGTCTTCACTTAGCTTTGCGTTGGAGAATTGTCAATGGCCTCGGGAATGTTATATATTATATATCTCACAGTCGTGTTAATCATTTACGTCTCTACTTATTTGATGCGAAAGGGATTAAATAACAACACCTCAACCTCCAATAAGACAATGGTAGTAATGCCGCATCCAGGAATCTAGATTGTCGTATGCGTTACCTAGGTCAGTTGTTAATAGTACCCAGACACTCTGTTGAGACATGCGCGTTACATGCAAGTCGAGCCAAAAAGACTGCCAAGCATAAACCGAAGACCGAACATCAAACCCCTGAATTGAAGTCGTCTTCCAACACAGCTTTACTCGTTCGAATTCTATTATTTTTAAATTGTAGCAATGAAAAAAACCGAGTTTGCGAACTTTCTTTCGGCGTAGTTGCCGAATATGGAGCACGCAGCAGGGCGGGCCATGTCTTTCCGTCTGTCTGCTCCTCCTACTTGGCCCGTGGCTCATCTGATCACTTGCAGACTCCTACAACCACAATGCAAAACAAAACAGAGCATCCAATAACACAATGAGATGCCGGCAGCTCGCTGGAAGCTCTCCTTATGAGTTCCACTGCATGCGGGGTCAATTTCGCTTCATCTAGGCTGATAGGATGAATATCGATACTGTTGTTTTGCCGGGAGGACAAAATTATATAAAGAGCTATAGGGGAAGCATGTAATGACTTTTGAGTTTCCCCAGGAGAGTAGAAGTATAGAGGCAAGTGCGAGTCTTGAACTAAATTATTGCATAAGGTAAGTAACCACTTTTCTTGCTTGAAAAATGCACAAAATCATTCTGATACAGTCACAGTTAAACTTTTGATACTCGCATTCCATTTCCTCATCCCCTTTTCAATCAATAGACGTTGTGATTTCCGCTCGAAATGGCACTCAAGGCGAACCACCACATCATTCAATTGCCAAAAACTGCTGCCCCGTCAAAAGCTATCGATCCGATAGCGATTGCGCAAGCATGGATTACATCGCTCGAAGATATTCTGAGTGGCGCACCAGAGCAATACCAGCGACTGTCCGAGATTTTTCACAAGGAATCTTGGTGGCGTGATATGCTCGCCTTGCAATGGGACTTGCGTACGTTGCAGGATATCGATAAGATTGAACCGTTTCTACGAGCCCATCAACCAATCTCCCAGCTGTCTGGCCTTCGTCTTCAAGATGAAGGAAAGTACAAACCCACTTTCGAGTCGCCAACGGTAGAATTGCATTGGGTGTCCTCCATGTTCTTTTTCGACACCAAAGTCGGAAAAGGTGCGGGAATTCTGCGCTTGACACAAGACCCAAGCTCCGGGGCATGGAAGGCTTATTCAGTTTATACCTCTCTGCAAGAATTTAAAGAGTATCCTGAGCCTTTGGGTCATAAGCGTGCTTATGGAACTATTGAGTCAATGCCCGGTGGCTTTGGTAAAGGGACGTGGTTGGAGCGAAGGCAGAAGAAGGTCAATTTTGAAGAAGAGGAACCACAAGTCCTTGTGGTTGGTGCCGGTCAGTCTTCCCCAGTCATCAGATCTGAAATTATTTTAAAGCTTACTTTGACCGATTTAGGCCAGGCTGGTCTTAACCTCGGTGCTCGATTACAGTCCTTGGGACTGTCAACATTGATCGTGGATAAGAATAATCGAGTGGGAGATAACTGGAGAAACAGATATAGAGTGAGTTACAAGTTTCAATTCTTTCTTTATTTGACACACGTTATAATTCAAGAGTGAGATAGAAAGCTAACACCCGGGTAAAATTGAAGACATTAGTGACTCACGACCCAGCCGAATTTACACACATGGCTTACCTGCCATTCCCTAAAAACTGGCCTCAATTCACACCCAAAGACAAGTTGGGAGATTGGTTTGAAGCATACGCCAGCCTGATGGAACTGAATGTCTGGACCAGGTCAAAAGTGGAGGGCGCAACATATGATGATGCAAAATCATCGTGGACTGTCAGAATACAACGATACAATGAAGATGGAACATCGAAAGAACGAATCGTGAAGCCCGGACATATTGTTTGGGCAACCGGACATGCTGGCGAGCCTCAGATACCTACTTTCCCAGGACAAGATAGCTACCAAGGCGTTGTGTATCATGGTAGCCAGCATGAAGATGCCTCCAAGTACGACGTCAAAGGCAAGAAAGTCGTCGTCGTAGGGACTGGTAACAGTGGTCATGACATCTGTAAGTCTATCCGGCTTTGGTCTGTACTTTCGGTCACAGATTCTCTTGCTAATAGTTGTACTAGCTGAAAACTTTTATCAGAACGGAGCAGAAGTCACCATGGTACAGCGTAGTGGGACATATGTGTTGACACTAGACAAAGGGGTATTCATGCTGCATGAGGGATGCCATGATGAGAATACGTGAGTAAACTGCACATCGGCGAGTAGCCAGTCATTGGACTCATATCTAATGAGAACACAGATTATCCACAGATCAGGCAGACATCGTTGCCGAGTCCCTACCCTTTCCAGTTCAATTTGCATTGAACGTGTCCCTCACGCAGCGCATGGCTGAGGCTGAACGTTCCACTCTTGAGGGGCTCGAGAAAGCTGGCTTCAAACTAGATTCCGGCATTGATAAATCTGGTATTGCGCGTCTCTACTACACGCGTGGAGGTGGATACTATGTCGATGTCGGTTGTAGTCAATTGATTATTGATGGAAAGATCAAGGTTCGTCAGAGCCCTGAGGGAATCAAGGGCTTCACGCCCAAAGCCTTGGTTCTGGCAGATGGCACAGAACTGGAAGCCGATGTTGTGGTTCTGGCAACTGGCTATGATAATATGCGTACCACGGTCCGCAAAGCACTTGGTGATGGTGTTGCGGATAAATTGAAGAATGTCTGGGACTTGGATGAGGAAGGTGAACTGAATGCTGTAAGTGACCGCATTGCTTTCCCCCTCTGAGATGCTTTTAGTCAAAGCTAACACCGTTGATCATTAGATGTGGCGTCCTTCTGGCCATCCACGATTTTGGTATATGGGTGGAAATCTGGCACTTGTGCGGATCTATTCCAAATTCCTCGCCCTACAAATCAAGGCAGTCGAGGAGGGATACAATACTGAACAAGCTGGAAAGACCAATGGTGTGGTCAATGGCGTTAATGGTCACTAGGCGCATGTCGGTTGTTACTCCATTTGCGAATGCTATGTCTGTTACTTCGTGTTTGTCAAAAAATCTACAGAAACAATATCCTGTCAACTACGTAGTCGGGATATTCAAAGGACGTGTAATGTCGGTTCAGTTCTGTCTTTACCATCTTTTTCTTTTTCATTGTCTATATTTCCTGCAAGTAACGAGAATTGTTGTATCTGATCATACAAAGCATGTCCGTATCGCAATTCATACCGTACCAGCGAAGAAATTCCCACAACCATCGAGTGCGCTTAAGCAGCAATGGTAACCTCGACCTCGACGCCAGCCTCGATGTTGATGATGATCTGCTTAACGGTCTCGGTGGGAGCGTGAAGACTGTAGCAAAGTGAGATAATTAGCCATTGACTCTCAAACAGCGATAGGTATCATCTTCGCGATTCGACAATCGTGCCGACGGGGTAGGACTTACTCAATCAAACGCTTGTGGATGCGCATCTCGAAGGTGTCCCAGGTCTTGGAACCCTCACCGTTGGGGGTCTTACGGGTGGAGATCTTGAGGGTCTTGGTGGGAAGACGGACTATAATGGCAGTGGAATTAGACATTGTGCACCTCAAAATTCTGGTTGATGGAATGATACTAACCAGGTCCCTTGACGGTGAGAGACTTGCTCTTGGCACGCTCAATGAGCTCCTGGCAGACCTTCTCGAGGGAGGCAACCTTGCGGGAGCTGAGGGTGATACGGATCTTGTGGATTTTCTGCAGGGTGACAATTAGCAATTGATGTGATTTGCGACTGTTGTGTTGTTCGGTAGAGAGGACATACCGGGCCCTCGCCGAAATCCTTCTCGGGCTTCTGGAAAGACATTTTGACCGGGTGAATTGAATGAAATGAGACAGATGATGCCAATCAAGACCTGAACGCGCAACAGAGTCGAAGGGTTCGGTAATGTGATGAGAGGCGTGGATAGTGTAGTGGAGATCTTTCGAGGTGGAAGTTTTTGACGAAGATTGTCGCGATAAGATAGACGGTCTAAGCGAGGGCGCTGTTTGCACTGTTTGAATGTGCGCAGCTCCGAGCTCTTGGCATACGGCACGTGATAAGACTCGGTTATCGATGCGCTACTCCTAATTGGGAGCCCGTTGCTGAACGAGCGTTGGTGACTAAGCATTCTGATGGAATGAGCCAGTGGCAACCAATCAGATTGCTAGAACGATGACTGCTCTTGGAGGTCCTCGACCAGCTTGAATTCACTCGTTCCATGAGTCTTTTGAGGATGCCCTTACACAACCTCGTCTAGTCTGCTTCACGGCATAGACTTCTCCGATATGCGATTAGCTAGCTCCCGAACGACACTACCATTCATCGAGTTTCTACCGGAGAAGCAACTGACATCACTCAATGGATCTCCCCCGCCTCATAGCGGTCCCGCCATCTGTGGTGCGCACAGCCATCCCAAACGAAGAATGGGAAGCCACCCTCGATGCTTGGATACTGTTAACGGAACTACGACTGCATCTGTCCGCAAACCATTTCGGAGAATGTGCGCATGCAGACCGATTCAATGCTCCCTTCCTGACATCGTATTTCGCAGCTCGTGACGATACTCGGCTTCATGGATCGAATAGCAGTACGACGATAAATAAGAAGCCAAAGCATCTTCGAAGGATCGTCTTTCTGCTTTTGAGAAGATACTATTTGGACGTGCAGTCGTTTCCTCTGGCAGACGAGTTATTTAATTGGCGGTTCCTCGGCGACTTTTGTGACACCTATCACTCAAGCCCGGCTCTGAAACAATTGTTATTGGAAGTATGGACACGATACGAAAATGAGATATCACCAAGTGTTGAAAATGGCAAACTCGAAATCATGGAGGTTCTGTCAAAGACCAACAAAACAAAACAAGTGGACGCAGCTTCCGAAGTAGTCCTTGATATTCGACGACTAAGTCTTTTGTCTTCAGCGTTACCACAAGTTGGCTGCCTACTCATGACAGGATCCGACTATCTCGATACTTTGCATGATGCTTATAGAATATCACTCTCTGCCACCAATGAAGCTGACGGTAAGGCGTTGAGAAATGCGTTCGTTGCAAATCTCTATGTCGGGTTGACTTCTCTGCTAAAACTACCCACCCCTAACCTGTCCTTATTACTCGATCAACTATTCTCTCTCAAAGTCTCTGCGAATGTCGAGACAACCTCCAATAAGAAAGCCAAATTGTCGCCAGATCTATTATCCGATTTGGTGTGTAGTACAGATATCCTCGTCCGGATAGACCGATACTTGATATCAGCACCACAAAAACGTGGCCAGGATCTCGTCAGCTCATTAAGGGAATATCAGCTACAGACAAAAGGAATGTACAATCAACACTACCAGCGACATAAGAAGAGAAAGGAAAAAGGCAAAGCCATGTCAAACACCGACCAATACGATAGTCTCCATGTTCACAAAATCTCCTTAATAACACAGATTCGTGACCTCTTTCCGGACCTTGGCGAGGGCTATGTTGTCCGATTGCTCGATTACTATGCAGATAGCGTCGAGACTGTAGTCGCACATCTGTTGGAAGGCTCACTCCCACCTGAACTAGACGCGCTCGACAGAACTGAACCTCTACCGGATCACAACCTACATAATCATGACGTGATGGAGCCTCATCATACTCCGCCGCAACTTGGCTCACCTCAACCCGGATTTGCGCGTAATATAGATTTGGAGGATGACGAAATTATACAAGCTGCACGGTCTGCGGCTGGTGGACAACAGAAGAAATTGCTCTTCGGTCGAGCCAACATTGATTCTACGGCCGACACTATCCTTGCTGATCGAAGCCAGCATGCTGCCAACAAAGCCGCAATATTGTCCGCATTGGCGAATTTCGATTCTGACGACGATGAGCGAGATGATACCTACGATGTGGCTGATGTTGGCGGTACCGTCGATTCGGCAATGGGGACAGGAACATTAGATGACGAGGGTGAGCAAGAAAGACGTAGCAGGTTAGGTGCAGCCGTCTCTGGAGAAGGCGATAAAGACACTACGGACCTTGACCTGACGTTGTACCGGTTATGGAAATCAAATCCTGCACAATTTGCGCGTGACTCGGCCACTCGAAGATCGCAACCGCGGACGGCACTAAAACGCGAAACTGGAATGGCTGATGAAGCTATTGAAGGATGGGCGGTCATGCTTCAACGAGATGTGAAAAAGCAAAATCGCCTGGATTCGAAATTGGCACTCGATGCTGGAATTGGCGGTGCTGGCGGAGCAGCCGTAGGTCAGCCCGAGTTGGCTTCAACCGCTTATCGAAGACCGAACGCGAAATTGGCAGTTGGCGAATTTGATGGTCCGGAGAGTGATTCTGGGTCATCAACTGGCGCTAGAGGAAGGGGAAGAGGGCGAGGTGGATCCGGGAGGGGCGCACCGAACAGAGGACGGGGAGGGAATCGTGGACGAGGCGCCAACCACCGTCGAAGAGACCAACATGCTAAGAAAATGGTGAAGGCCGGAGTGCTCCCTAGTTGATGATTACCAGTAAGTCTTTGCTATTTGCTAAGTGAAATCATACCACATAGCTCTGCTGGAAGCCTTCCCTCAATGACTGAGATTTGCATGTTTCATAAAAGTCATGAGACCATATATGTTTCTAGATTTATCTGGTGAATTTGATAGATCACAAAGTAACATGCCCCGGTGAAGGCGGGACGTCTCCTGTCTCCCAAAGTGTCATATTCTTGCCAAGCACAAAATCAACGTTTCCTCCATCAACAAAGATATCCTCATGAGTCAACCAATTGCTGGCCCAATCTTGACCATTCACGCGCACACTCTGTACGTAATAAGACCCTTCGTTGTAATCCAATCCAGTGGCAGTGATGTGTAGTGTCTTGTTTCCGTTCACCGTCATGTTGATTTCCGGGAACCAAGGAGATCCAATCAAGTAGTTGGGTTGAGTGACAATGGGATATAACCCAAGTAGTTGCCAGAGAAGCCATGAATTCATGGCTCCGGCGTCGCTATTGCCAGGAATACCGTAGGCAGCATCCTTGAAGCTATACATAATGGTTGTCAGGAAAGACCACAATCGGATTGAGTGTTCTCAGAGTAGGACTTACTAAGTATTGCTGAGATTACGTGACTGTTGCACCGATTTTGCTTGCTTGTTAATGTAGTGATAGAGATAAGGGGTACCAAAGTCAGGTTCGTTCCCAATATTCATCAGCGTAGTAATGCCAGCTCCGTTGGACCCGAGGTCTTGTTTGGCAACTCCAGGTTCGAACTGATAATTCATTAGTGGGGATCTAGTAGTATCAGCCTCATCAACATGCTAACGCACCATCTTGTCCAGTCTTGACTCAAAGGTAGCTTGTCCTCCCATTAAGTCAATCAAAGTCTGGACATCGTGAGGTATACTAAAGGTATATTCTTTAAGCAGTTAGTCGATTGATCATGAGTACATGTCAAAAATCTTGTGATATCAGCGAGGAAGAAATACCCCAAGGAACACCCTCATAGGTGATAGAACTCCATTCACACCCTCCGCAGTACAACGGGTCATAGTCGCTCTGGTATGACCCATTTGCGAATCTGGGAGCTAAGAACCCAGTGAAATTCAGACTGGTCACTTCCTGATTCCAAATCAACTGCCATCCAGCGGATCGATTCATATATTTCGCTTTATCAGCGGGCTGAATTCCTGCAGCAACCTGACTCAACGCAAAATCGTTGAGACTATACTCGACTGTGCGTGAGATACAGCGTGTATTATGGTCAACAGATACGTAACCGAGTTCTTTCCAGTCGTCGAGAGCACCCCGGCCTTCTTTTGTGCTTGCCGTGAAATCCGTGGGATCAAAAGTGTTATACGGTGTGACTTCAGCGTCTTTGACCATGGCGGCGTAACCTTCAGTCCAGTTGATACTTCCACGGAGGCCTTTGACGTATGCATCTGCTAGAACGTTATCGCCATTGGAGCCTCCTTGAACGAGTCCGTTCCAATTCCCAGATCGACCGTCGGGGAGGTACCCCTGATGTCTGAGCAGTTTATATGATATGAGTCGTTGATGGTAAAAGCAACATTTGATCGTTTTTAAACAAGATCACTCACTTGTAAATATCAATCAGGCCACGAATCATCGACTCGTAATACGAGGGCTGCAAGACGTGATAGAGGCTGACCGTACAGCGAAATATATCCCCTTCATAAAGTAAGTTTGCCAAAATCCAAAATGAGCTCAAGGAAAAACTTACACAAGGTATAGAAATCGTCCCAGAATGGCTCATCAGATACCCAAAGAGGGTTCTCTCCGGTCCTATCTGAGGGCATTAAACTAGACCTTGTTAGCCTTGACTCCTGCATAACGATATCACAATTGTAGGGATTGATAATATCAGAGGAAGGAAATAATTACTGCATGAAGTAAAGGGAGCTGTAGAGAAGTCTCAAGTTGGTGATATTTGCTGAGCTATCCGTGGGGACTCTAATCTTACTGAATACGTCCGTATTCCACTCTTTAACGGCATTAGTAACTGTATCGTTCAAGCTCCATGTAGGAATTTCCGAGCCAATATAGCTTTTCGCGGTGTCGATGGATATAAAGGATATTCCGATACGAGAGGTAATATTCTGCGGAGCTGTTGTATTGTTGTTCCACCCAAATAGAGCACCAACACGAGCGTTCATGGGTCCGGAAGTGGCTTTGGTCGTACTACTATTCCCATAAATTGCTTCTGGAATGCCGCCGTTTGCTAGAGTCTGATATCGAGGCATTGGGTCGGTATTCTTCCCGGAGAAAATTTGTGCTGATTGGGCAGCTTGGGAGAATTCGCCATAGAAGTATATGGTATAAGGGGCACCTGATGTTGTCAGCCATTGCATCTCAGATTAGTTCATAACGTAAATCAAGACTAACCGTTATTCCAACCGCCGACGTACGTCCCGTAACCTTGATACGAGTTACCTTTGGGGTTGATTTCAATTTCACCGCCTACATAAAACTGAGAACCTGAATCTCCGGGCGATCCGGGAAGATACTAAATTAAGAACGAGGTGTTGTTAAAAAAATTGACACTATATCTTCCATCTGGTGGAATATGCGTCTTACATGAGATATATCAATTAATATGTACTTTTCACCACTCGGAAATGAGTAATTGATGATACCGGCATGTCGAGAAGCGGAGAGCTCTACAACGACACCGTTTTGCAATGTAGTCTTGAAGTATCCGACACTTGCAGTATCATTACCAACCTGTTGTAAATAGTCGTGATTAGACAGAAGAAAATGTCCCGATAGTAGAACGAATCAAGCAAGGAAGAAGCTTACCCTTGACTGGGCATAAGTCTGGTTGTCAAGCAAATTCACAGGTGCCTCAATCGATGTCAACGGCATCTGAGGGACGACACCGTATTTAGGAGCGCCACCGGTACCACTTTCATGCATCATGGCTGTAATCCGCATCAGAGCCGCAGATACCAACAAGTCAGAATACATCAGAGAAACATACTAAAAGCCGTCACGTTTCCTTTTGGGGTCCATCCTCCATTGAGCACAGCGGTTGTCCAATTGACCGCAGTCGAGTCAAGTCCAAATTTGACAACGCCAAAAGGTCGGGCGCCGCCTACAAATATATCACCACCCCCAAATCCCTCACCTGGCGTTGGGCCCTCGGAGCCCATGAAGGCGTTCACATATTGAGAGTAGTCGACGATGGAGCCCGACTGTCCTTGGACATAGGAGACCAATGCACTCAGCCACAAGAAAATGCGAATGGGAGATGACACAAGCATCTCCGTCTTCCTTTTTTAGATCTCGTTGTCGTGTGACAGTTCTCAGACAGGGCTGTTCGGTGATGGCGGTGTGGCATGGTGCTTAAATAAGGACCACCGCCGTCGGAGAAATTCTCACACCGGTGAGGGGAATGTAACACCACATTCCACTGACTTTAACCTATAGTATATACGATTGACGTCAATTCTGATATCTTTGCAAAAACTGGGTGAAAGTGACTTACTCCTCGTGAAGATCAGCAAACCCCGCATTGTGATTGTGTCCAATGCAACGTCTGGTGTTAGCTGCCTGATGATCGGCTTGTAGTCACCTACTTCGACGCAGAAAAGAGCACTCAACGAGGTGATCCTTGGTGACGCTACAGTTCGACTTGAAATCAAGCCAAAGGACATTGTTGCTCAAGTTACTCATACCTCAAGCTCCACATAGACTCCGCATTACCAAGATGGACAACTCGGGGTCGACTTAATAAACTCGCCTCTTGAGTCACAAACAATCAGCCCTATGATTTTCCTACAAGGTTATGCGTACATATTCACAAAAATAAGTCAGGGTATAATGCTTAACCTGAAGATGTGGCTTAAGGCAATCTGACATGAGTCGCGAGAAAGCGGGTCCAGCGTGAGAAAAGTGAGCAGCTGAGCCGACAGCTCTTGTTGACTTGTTCTCTTTAGGCAATAAGAGGAGATGGAAGACTTCCGAACAAGTCAGTAAATCAGCTACAGTGACTTCAATAGGGCCCAGCAATGTCAAGTGATGGACGAGAGAGAGCAGCAAACATTAACCTACGTTACATGAAACAGTGTCTATTACTGTTTCAGTACTGGAGACTATAACGGTAACAGCCTCACCCACCTCTTGCCTTCCGGTTCTACCACGACGCTTCTACCAGGCGGCCTAAAAGTGTCGTAGACGTGGCGTATGTAATTTTCGAGATCTGATTTACTCTTTTTTTGAAATGCTTCAGTCTTCTTACTTTACATATCCAACTATATCTACCTTCTTTCTTCGGATATTTCTGCTACTTGGTATGTAGGTGGCCGCGATTTAGGGTAAGATGGTTGAAGACCAAGATTGATAAACGCTAAAAGGCTGCTATACTATTCTCATGGCCTTGGAAGGGGATCGTCGGAAGTCTGCTCACTAGCAATCGTAGACAAGTCAAGCTAGGCACGAGTTACATAACCATCGTCGAGTAGTATGTCCCTTGCCATAGTCAACACTCTATCGGATAGATGATGCAATATAAAGGTGGCGATTCACCTTCCCAGTGAGTGCGCGTACCTCGTCTCAAAGTACATACCAAGTTTCTTTCCTGCTAAACAGAAGCCAGGGTGATGGTATCCAATTAGTACTAGGATATCTCAATACGATGTAAAGGATGTGTATTGGGAATGGTCGATATGGTTTTGAGGATTTCTTTGCACTTACGCTCTCGCCACGTTCTGCACTGCATCCTGATAATATCCCCTTTAATGAAATGGAATGCTTTTGCACTTTCTGTATTAGCGAAGTTAGTATACAAGATGCAGTTTTGCTTCAATTATATAGTTCGCTCGGCTCAAAAGCGAAGATTTGGTATAAAGGGCCAACATCAATTTGAAGTTATTATTCTCGTAGGAATCCATATTATGTCTTGCTTTATCTTGACTATGTGAACTATAAACAAATCATTGACAGAGGTACTCTAGATCTTTCAACACTTTCGCCAACTGTTTCACGTTATTCGAATGATTGCCCTCTGTATTTTTCACCCACAATTCGCTTAACCTCTCTTCTGTCATGCCGTCATTCGCCTGCATAGTTGCGGGAGCATCGATTACGTTCACACTGAGATTATCAGGCGCATCATAGAGAGGTATCGAAATAGATCTGACATCAAGGCCCTGGGCGTATTCCTGCTGCATGAACGTCGTCAAAGAGGCAGCCCGGCGGAAATTCCGAACAGCCTGGACGTTCAGCTTGAGCAAGTTGGCATACTCAGGGGCGCGATAGGAAAGATTGATAATCGGTTGCCCAAGCTCCGATAGGAATTTGCTGTAGTCACCGCTAGCGCCAGGCAACACACGTCCCGTTTCAATTTGTCCAGCGAAATCTCGGTCATCGGGGCCTTTGGTTGGAGAGATGATCATGAACAACGACTTAAGTCGTGCCATTGATATACACACGATGCAACCTTCTAAGGACTTTGAATACAACATGCCATACCTTATCTGGTTCCCTGGTCGAGCTACTTCTAGTACATACAAGACTCTTGCGAGGGCAGTGCCTAAAATGAGACCAGCACTTCTCCACACAGCGGTCTACACACGGAATAAAAACCTCTTCGACTGGCTGCTCGACGACCTTAGCACGGCAACGACACTACCTGCTCTTCAGGAAGCCAGTGTTCAAAAGTGGGATCTGGAAGACGGCCATTCTTCTTACTTCGAACGTCGTCTCAAGGCTCGTAGTGAGGAATTAGGGATAGATCTTAGCGGCTTTGTAGAAAGTTGGAAAATGTATACGGCAAAACAAGGACAGAGTAGCGACTACCTGGCGAAAGACCTAACCCCTGACGGGATTCACAGCGATATGGAGGATTGGGGTTTCTATAACGGGTACATAGTAGACGCTTCCCAGGTCGAATTGTGGGCATCAGCACCTGAGTCGTGGCGCCCAGACTGGTGGAAAGTTGAACTAGACTACGAGGACTGGCCAAAAAGTGAAGGCCTCGCGAGTAACCTAGCATCAACAAGTCTCTAGTAATATCATATGAGCCGTTTGACAACTAACCCCTATGATTGGCCTAAGTATGACCTGTATTTGATAAATTCGTGCCGCACGACTGCAAACTTAGTTCTCTGTAAGTTCAGTGGTATTCCCCCCTAACGGTAAACTAATGGCCTCAGGTTCCTCTAATAGGAGAGTTCAGCTCTGGGATCTAGCTACTGGCATTCTGCAGCAGATCCTTGAAGGTAATTCTAATTGGGTTCAAACAGTATCATTTTCTAAGAATGAACAAGCGTTTGAATTCGTGCAATCATTTGGCATCAGCAAAATCCACAAAGCAAACCCCCATTGCCTTCCCATTACCATCAAACTCCACCCCTTCATCTAGCAACAGCTTCATCTTCTCCGTCGAATACTGCCCGCCGTTGACCCATTCGCCCTTGTACCCGCCCAACGATCGATCTGTAGCGAGGACTCTGTGACACGGCACTGCAGGCGCGAATGGGTTGTTCTTCATTGCATTTCCGATTGCGCGAGGTCCGGAGTTGAGATGTTTGGATATTGCAGAGTATGTCGTCCATCGTCCGGGGGGGACGCTCATGAGTACTCGGTAGACTCGTCGGCGGAAGGGGGTTAGAGTTGGATGGGATGTGATACGGAAGAGGGTTTTATGTATTTGAGAGTTTTCCTTGGGTAGATTTTGGTCGATTATCTGTGTGGTCTTCTTTCGGCTCTTTATCTTTGTTAGATCAAGTGGTGCTGTGACCGTTGCCTTGGGAGCTATCGCCATCGCCATCGCTTTATTTTTATATAAAATTGTGCCCTCATGAATCAAAGGTGAACCACTTTGAGTTTGAATGGTGAATACCAAAGATGATTGCTTGTAGCCTCCGCCAAATGGGTATGGAGGTTGAAGTCGCGTAAAGGACAAGTCCAGAGACGCGTCGTGTTCCGTGACGTAAGAACTATTTCCTTAAAACGGTTATCAGTTCCTCAGATTGCCGTATAGTTGGCATACAATTATGTCAATAATTTAGTCCTCACAAATGAACAACAAAAAAATTTCAACGACGACGGAAAATATATAAATTGTTTGATGGACAATGACTCACGTGCCGAAGAAAGTGATCCCGAATTAACCAATAAGATAAGACAGGATATGATAAGATAAGAGCGAGTGATAGGGCTGCTCCTTGATATCCTTCATTAATCCTATCTTCGATCTACTTCTGTCTTGCTTGGTATTCAACTGGCTCCATGCTAAAAAGGTATGCGACTAACAATTCGGAGACAAATCTCGTGTGGTCTGTGATGAAAATGAACATGGAAAATGATAAATACATACGAGAAGGTATCACGTGGAATGTGAAAGATTAAAACAAAGAAGGAAACAAAAAGCCATGAATCTATCATCAAGAGATCAAAGAAAAACTTAGAAAGGAACAGAACAAACGCGTCGGTGATCCTACAGTCATAAGGTCATCAAGCATCAAAATATCGAGTCGTAATATGTATGTCCATGCAACAGAACGATGTACTGAGTCAATGAAAATATAGGTGATCAAAATGAGTCATCGAGCATGGCATTAGCCTTGCGCTTCCCAGTACGTTTGGGGATATCATAGTTGTGGAATGTGCGCAAATGTTCCATCAGATGGTCACGACGTGGGAAACCGATGCTACCTTTGCGAACGCATTTTTCCACGGGGCAATCCATTGGTTGAGGGGAGTGAACGCTCGATTCGTGTCGTTTGACGTCTGCGCCTCGGGTGAAGGACTTGCCACATATCCGGCACCCGAAGGAATGGGTTGGTCTGATTAGAAAGCACTGTGTTAGCTTATGTTCTTTGTTGCGTCCTACTGCTATTGAGAGAATAGCATGACTTACTTCTTTCGTCGTACACGCTGAAGCAAAGGAGACTCGTCAGCAGGAGCTTTATCAACCTGGCTGGCTGGAGACGGGACAGAGTAAGGAGTGCTGGGCGATGGTGACACTGGAATTGGTTGTGATGAGTTCACTGGCTTGAAAGATCTTCGAGCGAAGTCATCACTCTGATAGCTCATCGACGACGCTGAGGCAGCAGGCGATCCTGAGTAGTAGTTTGAAAACCATGGGTGTTCAGAAGGGCTAGATTGCACCGATGGACTCAAAGCAAACTGGGGTGCGGAACGGAAGTGGTGTCTCGGTGTAGGAATCGCAATTGGGCGAGTGCCAGACGCACTACTGACCCCAGTAGGAACAATGGTATCGGAGCAAGGGACCACAGACCCGAACTCATGCGACACCATCGTATGAGGTGGCGAAAGGTACGACTGTACATTGACCGTTGATCCACCGAAGTCATCGTAAGAAGTGTTCGGGGTCATGTCTCTCATGTCGCTGATTGGATTTGTGTGCATGTTCATATTCATGTTCATACCCATGTAGTTGTTCGTATTCATGTTCATGATGCCTAGACCCATATCCTGACCGATTCCAACTGCACCCAAGTCTGATCCCGATCCAGGAGACAGAGCATATCTGGACTGAGAGGTGGCGTACTCGTTGTGAGGCTGGGAGCTGTAGGGTTTGTATTCATTACAGACATCATAGAATTGCTGTCCGTGGAAAGTCAAGCCAGTCCCAGTGTTATAATCAGTATATCCCATAGTTGGGTCATACTCGAAGTGAAAGGGGTCCTAAAGAATTATTAGTTCATTTATTGTGATATGACCAATCATGCGATCGAGTAAGAATTCCCATTACAGGCACCATGCAGATTAGTCAGATCAAGAAGAGGAGCTCATACCATTTCAGGATTTATGCAGTGTGTCCACAAGACACGTACAGGGCAATGGACCAAAAGCACGCCCAGCAGAATATCCCCACGGCATCCAAGACCTCACAGGACTTGAGTAATATTGACAAGGTGGCGGTTATTGAAATTCGGAMAAGCCAGTAGGAATTGGGAGAAAAGAGAAGCAGTCATTAAAGCACAGAGCTCTTATCAAAGAGGAAAGTGATGGTTAAGTAAAAGATTGGTGAGAGATTGACTAGCAGGGTCCTGCGAGATGTAAAAGAGAGAGTTCTTCTCTTAGCGACTCATGAGAGGTGACTCCTGCTAGGGTGTTGGAAGAGCATTTGGCTCTAAGGTTCTGCACGTGAGATCTCAATCTACCCTCCAAGTATTCTTCAACAGCTAACAACTAGCCATGAATAGTGTAAAAAAGGAGATTGGTTAAGCCAGAAGCAAACGAAGAAAAGGCAAATACAAACGGAAAGATTGATTGTGATTCTAGAAAACATTTTGAGGAAGAGACGGAGAATTGAAGACTCGAATCCATTGTCTGGCGCAGCGGCGCTGATTGGCCAAGCCGCTGGGCAAGTCAGGCTACATGGAAGGAGCGTAGAACGACGCTAGAAGCTCTTGGACCCTGTAAATAATGTACTGTACGTACTAGGTGGTACTAGTCTGTGTATTGTATTTATTCTCATGTATGATGTACCGCGGACAACGCCTATAATTAGTAGCACCTACTGCGAGGGCCAAGTAGAAAGAGATACAGTAATGTCTGGAATTATTCATTCTCTGGAAAATTTGCTATCCTCCGCTGGTATTCATGCGATAGACAAGTCGATGTCCGTCTTACACCCGGTACGGAGCAAAATACTCAGCTCTACCGAACGAGTCAAGTGCTCGAAATTAGCGCTTCTGTATCACAATGTAAGAGACCGATCCGTGCTAGCGCACCGGCATCACTTTCGACTTGAACAGCGATCATCTGAGGCAGAAGATCTGATTGGTTTGTTGAGGCATGGAATTGCATACATAGTAATTAGTGCCACGTACTCGGCGGATAATATGTATGGATCAATTAGGAGCGTGCGTAGCTTTTGCATACAGCTTGTCGACGCAGACTTGAAATGATGTATGCTCCGCCCACTGACTAGTGTCGATAAGGAAAGGTGAGCTTCTAGCGCCATTCGCTAATCCTAACCCTAACCGTCTTACCCGACCTAAAACATGCGGTTTATCCGGGTCACGATACGAGTCGATATTTGTATCGCTGTCTATGACTTCACACAGTATACCTACAAGAATTGATTCAATCTATCTCGGAATATAGTTATGTAAGCTGATGTTCGTACGTGCAATCCACAGACACTAGCCTCCGAGTCAGATTTGCTTATCGGCCCGTGCCGAGCATCGATTCATAGCAGTGAAAGAAAGACCAGAAAATCGACCATTATTAAAGGATAGGCCAATGGATAATAAGTACAGAGCAAGCCATCAACTGGGATCAGAAGAACGCTAAAAGTCCAAGTCGATTGAAGAAGCTTAGACTGCGTGATTTTATCTGTTCTTTATTCGCAAGTATGTAGGGTTCTTCTATTGAGCTAGGTTCCTTAGGTCTAGTGTAGCTGGATAATAGCCAGGAATCTCTTTGCATTTCTACTGTCAGGGGCATCGTGGCTGATCCTCCAGCCAAGGTGGATAGATTGTTCCACAGGACCTGCATAAGACAGTTCTTTGTATGGCAGGTATGCACTCACTCCCGCCGAGTTTCGTCTTCAAAATGCCTGCCGACCGAACCGATGACACTGAACCTGTGGTGTATGTAATACTATGTATCAGTATGGTAGTTACGTACTAGCAAGTATTGTGACCAAAAGTGGATCTGGGGAAACCATGACGGGAGTTTCCGGCAATGAGTCCCATGACTTTTTCTCGACAGCCTCAATTATTCCCATTGAGTAAATCAACAATCTGGTTATGGACACCTAGACAAATGTCAATAAATGGCTCATCGCCGATCGAGCCTCCAACAATCGATGAGACAATAATAGCAGTAGTTGTACAGAGGAACGATCCAAGCCGACCGGTCTCAACAGTAGCTACACAATACAGTCTGCACCACGAGTTGAGCATGGCAAACGCGCTATTGTAAATAGCATTCGAGAGTTCAGATTCTTCTATGTTGGGATTTCTATTTCMACATAAACATCGATTTCTGTACGCAGCTGATTGCTCTGATGGATGGATAAGTGAACAGATAGAACAAGAAGAATCATTTAGCCCCCGCATCGTCAACACCGCCTTGGTCCATCTTCTGTATTGCCGATCCATTCGCCACATTCAGTCTCCGTCCCCCGACCTCGACTAACACACAAGGCTGTCTCCAAATCAGCCTAACGTAGTTCAAGTATACGGCCTCGTCTACTTAGGTCCCAAGTCGCGAATGAATGGATCAGTGGTACCCCATGTTTATTGATCGATCGATGCGTGAATTAAATACCGACAAAATGCCGCATACTAGGTGTAGAGTGAGGCGAGTAGTCTCTGAAGAATTGGGGCTTGATTCGGCACGAACAACCGCTGTAGCCAACTTTAAATAATACCAACCATATTTTACACCGAACGAATTAATAACACGCAGGTTGCTTTGAATGGACACCCGACGCTGCGCAATCGAGTTGACTGCCTATTCTGGAGAGTATGCGAAATTGAAGTGATACAGTACTCAAATCGGAGAAAGGTGAATCAGTAGTTAGTACGTAGCCTTTGGGGACTTTCGGTTGTTTGTTAGAAGTATAGGCGACCTCAATTGATCCCGATGCTGTCATTATTTTGACAGGTGGAAGGCTTTCCGCTGTTTGCACTGTTTGCTTGGTGGGTCGACTGTCGGGGGCGCATCGAAAAGTCTCCCAGTCTTGGCATTAATCCAACTTACAGGGAGTTCACCTCACTGCAGGCAGTCACTTTTGGATTATGCTTTGGATACTATGGAAGACCAGGATATTATCTTTAACAGACAAGCAGAAGAAACGGTTCACTCATTTGGAAGCGATGACGGGACTGAAGCATTCACTACAGAGGACGGGTTGAGTGACCATGAATCGATTCGAAGAAAAACACAACTTAGGTGGTATGGACATACGAAGCCGGAACGAGATCTAATCAAGCAGTTCAAGGCGACGCACAGGAAGAACCTGTCTTGGTTACTGTATCGAGCATTCTTGATTGAACAACGCCGCAAAAGAGAAGTTATCAAAAGACGCCATCTAGAAGAAATCGCAAAAGAGGACCAAACCGACGAAGAAGAACAAACCAAGAACTTGAAAGTTGGATTGAGAAGCAGAGACTATATCACGGCATGGCCGGCCCAGCCAGAAGTTCTGCAACCAGAAAATTATGGACTACGTCAGGGTTCTTTCAGTCGACACAAGCAATATCCAACACGAAGAGGTTTACCAAATCGGGCATTAGTTGATCTGTCTGGGCTGCGACCGAATGCTGTCCCTGATCAACAAGATACCACTTCGGATTCTGAGAACGAGGAGAGTCAATCAGAGGAATCTGTCACCGGTCCAGGTGGATTCGCGGAGTTGAACGAAAAACTTCACTCTTTCAAAAGAGAGCCAGAACCCCGACCGAGTGCACAGATAGAGGAGGTCCTTTTGGCACGCTTGATGAAAATCAGCAAGGAAAAGTTTCGCAAACGAATACACACTGGGCAGCTGCGTACTGATGGCTTCGATGTTTCGGCCGATGATGGATTGATGACTGTTCAACTACGGCCTTTGGCGCGAAATTTGATCGCCGGTCTGAACACCTTTTTACGTGGCATGGATGAGCAGGCATTTGGGCGCGGAAAGAGACGGCTCCATTACAACAACTGGGAGACCGTGATGATCATGGCTTCGCAGCAGGGATGGCCAAAAGCGATTCTACGGCGAGCAACAGCAAGGTGCAATGCTATATTCAAGGAAAGTGTACGGCCAGAACAGAATCTGTCCACAATCAAGGAACCAAAACAAGAAGAGTCGGCGGGACCCAAGCTCCACGGTAAAAACCAATATCTCTGCCCTGTGACAAACTGTCTACGACATAGGATACCATTCGTCCAGTTTCAGAATTGGAAAGAGCACATGGATAGGAGCCACGCATAGTACACAATATGAGCAAAGATGCATTCATTCTCTTCAGGTGGGTGTCATTGCATTTGTCAATCGTGGAGAAGTGCTTGCCATGATTCGGCACCAGACGAAGCGATTCCGGTCGTGCCTTCTGTTTTGGGCGGACGAGCACGTGAGCATTCGTATCGTGTGGTTGTATGCGCCGCTTGGCAAACTCTGCTGAAGATAGAGAACTTTCATCTGCGGAGGCAGGTGCCATCCAGAGTGGGCCCCCTGGTCGCTCCTGCCTTTTTCGCATTCCTCCCGCGTGGCAAAACGAGCCGGCAGCCAATCAGCTTGTCTGATAACCTGCTCCTATCAGATGCTTTATCAGGAACTAGCCAGAAGCAGCAAGTGGCCGCGCATTGTCCAATCACAGCGCTCACAAGCAAAACGGAAGGGGTGGGGCCGCTGATACACAACCCCTGCCTGAGGCCAATCATGTATTGCGCCCTGAAGTCGCCCATGCGAATTTTCTTCCTTCAAAGGAAAGCTTCTCTAGCCTCTCCGCCCTCCGCGTCTGATTTTTCTTCGCCCACTCTTGTCTTTCTATCTCTTCTTGCGATCAGCTAGGGTATATATAGAGCTCCGCCAGACGCGCGTTTCCGTCACCGTCTTACTCCGTGTGTCTGCTTGGCTTTGTCGTTTGATTGTGCGTTGTGCTGCGTACTGCTAGAAACGCTCCACCTGGTTCAGGTAGTCGCTTTTGTTTGACACTATGGAGTACGATGCTGAGAAAGGCCACGGCGCGCCTGATTATGCCACCGACACCAAGGCCACTTTGAACGTGAGCAGTTCCAATGACGACTCGTCTCCGTCAGAAATGCGCAATAGCGACGGCATTTTCGCCAGTCTCAGTGCTTTCGAACGGCGCATGGACAAGAAGTTTGGCATGGAGTCGGAAGCCATTGTTCGCAAACGTCCTGAGGATAAGCGACCCGTACACTGGCGAGAAGAGTTGTCAATGGCTCTGCTCTGGGCCAGTGGCACAATGAACATTTCGTGTTTTGCAACTGGTTTCCTCGGTTGGGAGTTTGGCCTTAGTCTCAAGCAATCCATCGTCATCACAATCTTTGCGTCGATCCTGGGAGGTGCCTTGACCGCGTACTGTGCCACTTTTGGAGCTGCGACCGGTCTTCGCCAAATCAGTGTCAGCCGTTTCAGTTTCGGATGGTGGCCGAACAAGCTTGTTGCCATACTCAACGGTATCCAGCAACTGGGTTGGGCCGCTGTTGCGTGCATTACTGGTGGTCTCGCCTTGACTGCCGTCTCTGACGGTCACGTGTCGTTGGTGCTCGGTATCATCATCCTCGCTGTCGTCGCCTTGATCATATCCTGTTTCGGTTTGAAGTTCATTTTGATCTATGAGCGCTACGCATGGATCATTTTCTTCATCATCTTCCTCATCATCTTCGGCGAAACCGGCAAGTACGCTGACAACACATCTCCAGCCTCCGTCACGGGAGCGAATCTGTCTGCATCTGTCCTGAGTTTACTGGCTATTGTCTACGGCTCAAGCGCTTCTTGGTCCACCATGGCTAGTGACTACTACGTTCACTATCCCGTAAACGTCAGCCGCGTCAAGGTGTTCCTCATGACTACTTTCGGCATTGGTATTCCGACATCCATCGGCATGGTGGCTGGATGTGTTGTTGCTTCTGCATTGAACAACCGACCAGACTGGAGCGATTCCTACGATGAGGGAATCGGGTACCTTGTTCAGGACATGCTCTATCCCCGTGGCTTCGCCAAGTTCCTGCTTACCGTTCTCGTCTTATCTGGTATCAATGTCAACATCATCAGTCTCTACAGTGCCGGTATCTCATTCCAACAAGTCTCGAGACCCTTTGCAGCAATTCCTCGTTTCATCTGGACACTCTTATGCTTCGCAGCTATTCTGGGTCTTGCGCTCGGTGGCCGTCAACAACTAAATACCTATCTACAAGACTTCCTCAGTCTTCTTGGCTACTGGTGCACAAGCTACACGATTATTCTATTCGAGGAACACGTTTTCTTCCGCAAGGGCAATTTCGACAATTACGATCTTGAAGGATGGAATGACCCGTCCAGACTTCCCCATGGTATCGGTGCAGCCGTTGCATTCCTACTTGGTGTGGTTGCCTGGTGCATGGGTATGGATGAAACGTGGTTTGTAGGACCTCTAGCGAAGCTCGTCGGTGACGCTGGCGGTGATGTTGCCAATGAATTCACATTTGTGGTGACCGCTTTGTCGTATCTGCCGGCTCGTTATCTCGAGCTGAAGTATTTCGGCCGTTGATCGGCTGATGCACAATTATTCAGAATCTCGTACCTCGCCACTTGATGCACTTAGATTATATGTCGTTTAGTTACAGTTAATTGATAATAATACCCATTGATTGACAATTTATCTATTGCAAAAATATGCGTAGATTTTATATCCATGTATACGCAAGTATTCCACCCATCACCCACTTTGTACGGTCAACATTGCCTCTTCTTTGTCTGGAACCAGTGTTCTCGGCCGTCACATGAACAGGACCCTCTTTTCGTATGTATCTGCTGTGAAGATCGACTTGCTAAGAACCAACCTAAACGAAAGAATTGAACCCTTGCGAGCATCCTATGTACATACTGGTACTCCGCATGTCGTGGTCTACTCACCGGAAATTATATGTTGAGTGTGTATGTACCGGATATATTCAAAGATTCTCTACTTTGCATTTGCTGAAGAAAGGAATGACTACTTGAACAACACAAGTTCCAGGGTATTGAATCACAAATCGACTTATCCAATGCGTACCATTGTTCGCGTCGTTACATACTTGCGGTACTTCTGCCTTCCGCGAATCCCAAAGTTCCGGGCTTATATTAAACAACTGATGTGATGATACTGACTCGATAACATCTGCACTCAACTCCAGGAAACGAGATATCCTCCACTATCTACTCGACCTATGGCAGCTGGACTGACTAAGGTACGAAAGATGCAGAGAAGTACTTGGTTGTCTCGAAACTTCGAACACATATCCAGTGTAGGCACGTTATCGATCCCATAGAGGACTATCTAAAGTATTATAATTGTCTAGACGCAAGAATGATATATGTAGTAGTAAATGGTATACATCATTTAGGTGTGACAAATGAAGCTTCGCTCTTTCGACCTTATGGCATCATTAAAGCAGTAGCTTTCGGTTATACGCAGTACGTGTATTTGGATACACCGGGCGTACTAGAACCGTGGTACTTTTGCCTGGCATATGCATCGTAGAGTACGGAAACAGCAATCTAGACCAATTATGGCTTACATTACAGCAAACCGTGTAAAGCTGAGAAATTTGAGTGTGAACGTGTAATGTATTGTATCGTGTGTCTAACTAGAAGAGAGAAAACCATCCAGCATAGGCTGCCATACAGGAATATTATGCAAAGCTAAATATATTTGGCTAGTAAAGGGATTTTTTAGCATTATCTTATAGTGAGGTATGCTTAGTGTTTAATGAAAATAAGTGAATAGATTTATATATTATACTTATTATATTTAGAATAATCTTCGTCCTGGTGAAAGCGGGGCCGGTTTCCGCGTCGAGTCTAGCGGCTAGCGCGATCGGGTTTAGCGGGACGGCTGCGGCCCCGTTGGGTTTAGCGGGCCGCCCGTTCAGGTATGGCCTCGAGACCAGCTGTCTGTCTATAAAAAGGAGCATCTCTCGCTGTTTTAACTCAACCTCTTTTTCCCTTCTCTTTTCCCTCGCAGATGCTTTCTCAGCTGATGGACTGAATTTTCAGTTCGGCCGCGTGATCCGCCACGGCGTAATCAGAAATGGGAATAGCCATGGCTGATTGGTGATTCTACCCTCGTCAATCCACTTTTCATGTTATGCTATCTCCCTCTTTTCTTGTTTTTTACGGTCATTCAGCTCTAAAATGAGACGCCTATATCAGGATCCAGGCTTCTCTCGCAGGTTCTTGTCCCTATCATGTCTCGATGGCTCATCTCAGCCCCGTCCAAAAGCAGGAAACCCAAGATTTAGCCTTGAATAGCGCCAGTTCTCCCAGTTCTGTTTCTCCATGACAACTTCTCACTGGCCGCACGTTTGCCGTGAATCAAATCCGGTTTTGCCGGGCTCTGCCTTGTCTCATGATTACGCTTCTAGCTCCCCATTTCAGTCAGCCCAACCGCATGCGCCAAGTGGACGATGTTACCTTGTCTGTCGATGGTCTCAGCGATTACAACGCGGTGCTGACGTGGAACCTGCATTCTGACTCTGCCAGCAGGGCTATGAGCCAAATGCTGTGTGATTTCGGCCTAGCTTGCAGCAATAATTAAGACTTACATATGCGGACGAAAGGGGATGGATTAGACTGGTGCTAGAAGCCAATAGATCTGTCTGCTTCTAGTGATCCTGGTTTCAGGCGATTGACGATCCTGCACAGCCCCTGAATAGCTAAACATCTATATTAAGTTATTATAAGGGGTTGATGCATGGCATTGCGCAGGAGCTCTTGCTGGAGGCCAATAAAGTTGCGCCAGTGCCTTCCAAGTCTCTATCAATGCAGGAATAGAGACACTATCCTTCTTCCTTGTTTGCTCAACCAATAGCAAAATAACGCATTGCGGCTAGCTAGGAATTGAACAATAGCGTCAACACCAGGGTTTCAGTTCGTGATACTTGTGTACTGCCTAAAATTAAGTTAGCTTCTAGCCGCAGGATCAGAAATCCACGGGAATTGGTTTGCCAGACTTTCCGAAAGAACGTGACTTACAAGTCTCCTGAACCTCATAAACCTGTAGCATTATTCCTCTCATCTCACAACCAGGACAGACATCCTACCATCCTGCTCATATTTGCCTCTGCTTCATCGAGACAATATGGATAACATCATATTTAAAGACCCTTCACAACCACACAAAAAAAAAACGAGTTCTCACGTTTCTGTCCCTGTTGCAAGATGTGACACGGCAATCGAATAAGAGCCAGGACCGATTGATCCTTATTTTAGTTACAATACCAATTTTGACCTACATGCCCAGGATAAGAAGCCAGTATCCTTGTACGAGATATTCTCGTTATCAGGCGACAAGGAGATGGGAAATGGAGATCTTATTATTAGATCACCGCAAGCCTTATCCCCAGGGAACATGAATGGCGAACAAGAATGGGCTGTATCTGGCGTTCGTGAATCATAGACCTTATACCCCGCGATTATCAAGCCTACTAAACTGATGTGACAGCAGGCAGCTCAGCTGAGGATATCATTCCTATTGACTCTGTAATTCTCGAAGAAGTCAATATGCGCAAGAAAAATAAAGATAAGAATCTTTCTCTTAGTTCCCCTGGCTTCTTCTATCTTACATCACCAACATCACTAGCACTATATAGACAAGCTCAGATAATCATACCTCCCACTCCTATTTCTAACGCAAACCCAGAACCACAGCGGTTACCATCCAAAAGGCGACCGAGCAATAAAACTCATTATAACAACCCCTCCAAACAATTCAGGAGTGGCTCACTGCCGGCAAAAGATCAGCAGTATACGCTACATTCATACTTTTCAGTTACGCCACTTCACAAACGTCTCGATTTCCTGGCTTGGCTATTTAAGACGGGCTTATCCGAGTCATTATCCGCAGCTAGCGTTGAGCTTCCCTCCGCGCCAGTCAAGACGGCAGATCCGTGTATTGAGCCCACTTGATCAAAGCATCGTCGACCCCAAGCTGCCCGCAACCGCGCTGGTCCTACTTCAACCAAGTCCAGGAAGAATAAAGCATAGGAACACGAAGAAGAAATGCTTCTTGTGCAGTTAAAGAAAGATGGTTTGCCATGGTCCGTGATAGCGAGGAGGTTCGAAGAACGATTCCCAGGGAGGACGCAGGGCACTATTCAGGTCAAATGGAGTAAGGATTTCAAACATTTGCATTGACTGTAATGACTAGACTGTATACAGGTCTCTACCATGTTTCTGTTACTGGTCTTTGGTGAATTTTTAAAGCGAGCGGAATCTGGATATGACATCTCTCTTGTCCTTAGGTTGCGTCGTAGTTCTTAATCCTTTTTAAGTCTGTGATAAGAGCGACTGGCAGTGCGCAGAGCTTTTTATACTTCAGTTCACTACTGCCCATAGCAGCGGTGTCTGACCATTTTTATCCACTGATTCCACTGCAGCACCTTTCTCAATCAGCACCTTCACTACTCCCTCACGCCCCGTCCGTGCAGCCCATGATAGCGGTGTCCAGCCATTTA